GAGGGATATCACATGGAATTTTGATAAAATGAGTATGGAATTCAAGGTACAAGGAAGAAAACATGTTTTAGGAGAAGCATCATCCTCTGGATTATCTACAATAAAACGACAACAATTAGGTAAAGCCTTAACTAAAGGTGTACACCTATCCATGTTACAGGTTTGTGGTGGAAATAACAATTTTTTTATACTTCTTACCAACTCATGCAGATTCTTAACCCACCTCTGCCCCTACCTAACAGTTGTTATATGAGTTCCAAGATATTTTTTAAACTCCTAATCAATTACCACTTAGAACGCAAGACTTTAATCACAAGATATCATTAATAGAAGATAATAATCCTATTAACAAGAGGCCATATAGATATGCTAAGAATCAAAAGGATATTATTGATGGGTTGGATAAAGATTATTTGAAAACAAGAATTATTCAGAAAAGTAATAGCCCTTTTGCTAGTCCAGTTGTCTTGGTTGGAAAAAAAAGATGGTTCTTTGAGGTTGTGTATTGACTATAGAGATTTAAATAAGGCCACAATCATGGACAAGTTCCTTATTCCCTTGGTAGAGGACTTATTAGATGAGCTACATGGTGTAATAATTTTTTTCTAAAATTGATTTGAGATTGGGGTACAATAGAGTGAGGATGGATCTTGTTCATATCAACAAGACTGCATTCAGAACACATGGGGTCCACTTTAAGTATCTAGTAATGTCGTTTGGGCTTATTAATGCACCAACAACTTTCCAAGGATTGATGAATGAAGTATTTAGGAACTATCGAAGGAAGTTCCTTCTATGTTTTTTTTTTTTATGATATTTTGATATACAATGGTTGTTTGTTCAACCATTTGAACCATCTCGAAGTATTGTCCACTATGCGAACACATTCACTATTTGCTAAAATGTCAAAGTGCTACTTTGGTGTTCACCAAGTATAATACTTGGGCCATTTCATATCCAAAGAAGGAGTCTCTATTAACTCAAGGAAGATAGCTGCAGTGCAGAATTGGTCGTTACCTCAAAACATCAAACAACTGTGAAGTTTCTTAGGCCTTGCAGGTTATTATCAGAGGTTTGTGAAACACTATGGTAGTATTGCTAGACCTCTCACCGATATGCTTAAAAAAGACACTTTTATGTGGACTAATGAAGCCAAAACTACTTTTCAACAACTAAAATTAGTGTTAGTTCAAGCTCTTATTCTTGCATTGCCCAATTTTGATAAGACATTTATAGTTGAAGTTGATGTCTTAGGCTTTGGTATTGGTGTTGTGTTAATGCAGGACACTCACCCTATTGCTTACATTAGTAGAAGACTAAATCAACAACAACAAGCCCTTTCAACATATGAAAAAGAACTAATTGTAGGAGTTTTTTCAGTCCAACAATGGAGAATTACCTTTTGAATAGGCATTTCATAATCAGGACAAATCATTGCAGCTTAAAATTTATCTTGGATCAACGATTTACAATTGTTTTAAAAAAAATGGTTGGTGAAACTAATGAAATTTGATTTTTCCATTGAATATAAACATGAAAGGAAAACAAGGTAATTAATGCTTTATTTAGAATTAATAATGTTGATTTGCAGGCCCTCATAGTTTATACATTAGAGTCAAATCTCTTAAACAAAATCAAGCAAATTTGGGAAACTGATCCAACCATATAAAATGTCATTCACGAGATACGAGATAGAGAAGGATCCTAATTCTCATAAACATTACACATGGCAAAGATTTGAGTTGAGAAGAAAAGGTAGACTAGTCATTGGGAGGGATGCAACCTTGAGAAGGGACATCATGGCATGGTTCCATAACATTGCAACAACTGGTCATTCAGGTCAACATGTCACTTTGAAAAGAATAAAGGGAGTTGTTTACTAGAAAGGTATGTCCAAAGTGGTATAAGAATATGTGCAACAATGTAGTATTTGCCAACAGTGTAAAACTGAGATAGTAGCATCTCCTTGCCTCTTACAACTCTTATCTATACCCGACATGATTTGGTAGCACATAACCATGGATTTCATAAAAGGTATGTCTTTTGGTAAATAGGTTATATTTTTTGTGGTTGATAGATTAAGTAAGGTTGCACATTTCATGAGTTTGTCTCATTCGTATAACGTTGGTGAGGTTTCCTAAGTATTCATAGATAAGTTGCATGGTTTTCTTGAATAGGGACACAATTTTTATAAGTCAATTCTGGCAAGAATTTATGACTTTTCAAGGTGTACAAATCAATCTATCTTCAGCTTATCATCCTCAAACCAACGGTCAAACTGAAGTAGTTAATAGATGTTTAGAAACATATTTGAGATGCACGTGTTCGGACAACCTTCACCAATGTTCCAAGTGGCTATCTTTAGCAGAATGGTGGTATAACACTTCCTTCCATAGCTCCATTCAAGCCATCCCTTATGAAGTTGTTTATGGTCAACCTCCACCTACTCATCTTTCATACTTGCATATGACGCTTCTGTAGTTGAATTGATGGATCACAACTTGAAAAAAAGGGAAGAAATGTTGAAGTTATTTAAATTTCATCTAAGAAAGGCTTAGGACATAATGAAGCAACAAGATGATAAACACAAATTTGACTGACAGTTTGTAATTGGAGACTTGGTTTACGTGAAACTACATTCTTATAAACATGTTTCAATTACGAATAGGAGTAATGCTAAATTGGCTCCCAAAATTTTTAGTCCATTTTTGGTGTTGGAGAAGATTAGGGAAGTTACTTGTAAGATGTAGTTGTCAATACATATTGTTTTCATGTTTCATAATTGAAGAAGCATGTGGGAGAAAGTATTATCTCAAGTACACTTCCAACTGGTGATGAAGATACAATTTTACTTAAAGAACCTAAGATGATATTAGACAGGATGACAGTAAAGAGGAGAGGGCATGTAGTAACAAAAGTCTTAGTAAAATGGAAGCATCAGCTAGTTAAAAATGCAAGCTAGAAATTTTAACACAATTTGATAAAGAAATATCTTCACTTCAAGTCTTAAGGCCAAGTCTGTTTTGGGGGAAGGAGGTTATAATTGTTGATATCCTTGAGGACAATGATTCTTTAATGGAAGAGGAATTGTTATAGTCCTTTTAATAATACATTAGTTGGTTGTAATTGTATAATTGTCCACTTAGTTAGAGCCTATAAATAGAAATTAGACTCAAGTTTTAGGGTCAGATTGTATTAGAATTTTTGTATTCTTCTTAGTATTTAGTTCAAATACAAATTTTTATATCTCTTTTTTTCTTAGAACTCCTTATTTTCCCTTTTTATGTTCTTCAAACTTCTTAAAATTTCTAGTTCATATTTGATTTGGTTATATTATATATATAATATTTTTCGTATTGGTCGCTTTCTTTATATACGAGTCTTTATAATCCCTTAAATTTAATTATTATTTACTTTTGATAATAAACATGATTTTAAAGGAGATTCTCATCTTATATTACTCAAATAAAAAAATTCATTACACAAATAGAGATTGATAATTAGATAAATTATTTAATATATATATATATATATATATATATATATATATATATTAAAAATTAGATGATGTTTTATTTAAATCTAAATCAAACCTAAAAAATGATAAAAGCACCAACCTATTGTGTATATTTTTATAAATAAAATGTGTATTTTTCTCCTTCCATGTAAAATCTTATTTATGATTATTTTATTTGTAATTGAATGTTGTTAAATAAAACAAATAATAGAATTCACGAAAGTTAGGATTTTTCCGAAAATGGATACCTATGGCAAGTTTTCATAACTCCATGAATAAATTCACAATAATTTGAGAAAAAAATTCTCAATAATACACAAGCACAAATTCAATGAAGTCATGTTTTTTGAGCTAAAATCTGTGAAATGTTTTTTTTTTTTTGCCTCATAAAATAAAAAAATAAAGAGTCTTATTTCAAATGAAGTTGTCTTTTGGTGCGAGACTTTTTAGTTTGGATTGGATAAATTTTAAAAAATTTGCATTGACGTAATACCATTTTCGCAAATTACTCAATTTCTATGTCACTTCGACAAATTTTGAATAAGAAATACTCGGTTACGGATTTGCGTAGGTTAAATTGTTAAAAATTTAGATTGAGCAGTTTGGAACATGTTCGTCATGGTCCTTTAAAACAATTATGGTAATTAAATTTTGTTAGAGTTGTCGCCATATCTTCACATAATGAATCAATCTATGTATCCTTTCAAGTTTGAAAAGACATCAGAATGTAAATGTATTTCCTGTAAGTCTACCGTCTAGTCTGTCTTTAAGTTTTTACCGATTACCTTGGAACTTTATTGCAGATTCAGTTTATGCATAAACCTATTTGTGCAGATGTTTTGAATTGTTTAAAGCAGGTACCTTTTTGCTCCTCTTCTTGTATATTTATACCATTTCCCTTTTTTGTCGGACGATTTTCTGTTTATTGATGTTTCATTTGAGATCCCTGATTGGAAGGGTTGAGTTTCTGAATTTTCAATTTCAGATTGGGTATATGATCGAATTGATTACAATCTTGAAGATGAGCTCTCTATTTTAGGGTTGAAACATTAGTGGTTATTCTAGAGATTTTCAATCCCAATGGATGGAGCTGCTGTAAAATTTAAACTTTCACCTTGATACCCTAATCAAATTAGTTTTTTTTTTTTTTAATTTGTTTTATAAACAGTATTGATGTTATTGAACTACACTTAGACTGGTTATAGACACTTGTTCTCGACTTAGATTATTTGTGAAAAATAGGGGTTGTGAAGCCTATGTTTTGTACCATGATCGTGGGAATGTTTTAAAAATCATTTTTGCGAATCTTGGTTCTTATAGTTGCATTAAAACTGGTTATGATTGTTTTACAAACGGCTTAGGACTCTGAACTCTGAACTGCAACATGTTGAACCTAAGCTAAGGGAGAATTTGCAGGTGCATAATTCTGAAGATACGAACAAGTTTTTGGGATTTCGGGTGGTAGAAAGGAGAAGATAAACTTATGGACCGACTTAATGGTTCTGCCAATCTAATGATAGTGTCAGATCTTGATTGCACAATGGTAGACTTCATAATTTTGACAATGATCGCTTTGGAATAATGTTTGGATGAAATCTGGTGAAGCTTGTGTATCTCACTGCAGGTAGACCATGATGATCCAGAAAATCTTGCTCTTCTCAGGTTCAATGCGCTGTGGGAAGCTTATTATCGTCATGATTCTCTGCTAGTTTTCTCCACCGGTAGATCGCCTACTATTTATGGAGAGTTAAGAAAACAAAAACCTTTGTTGACTCCTGATATAACAATAATGTCTGTGGGTACTGAGATAACATATGGTGAATCCATGGTACCTGATGATGGCTGGAAACAATATCTGGATCATAAGTGGGACAGAGACGTAGTTCTGGAGGAAACAGCCAAGTTTCCTGAACTAACTATGCAAGTATGTACTACCTTGTAATCTATTAGTTTATCAAAATTATACGTATTAGAACTTTTATATGTTGAATCGTGCGCTGGAGAATGACCTTCAATGAAATTTGATATTAGCTATTCAAGAGAAGCATTGATATTCACTTATCAACTTTTTTTCTTTGAAATTTCTGGAGTAACTGTAGTCAGAAACAGAACAACGGCCTCACAAGGTCAGCTTTTATTTGGATAAAGGGAAGGCCCCTTATGTCATCAAAGCTCTCTCAATATGTTTGGAGAAACATGGGGTAAGATTATAGTTCATAAAAAAACTTAATGGCAGAACTTTGTCTACTTCATTTGAAAGCTTTACCTACAATTTTTTTGGATTGGCGTTTAAGACCCCCCTCCATCATTTTTCATCTCTAAAGACAAACCAATAACAAGTATACATAATATAGCTGATCTGGTAGTCTTGGTTTGATATTTTATTGACATGCTACAGTTTCATTATATTTAAATTATTGTGATTGTGATATTACCTTTTTCTCTTTTCCAGTTAGATGTGAAAATAATTTATAGCAATGGTATTGCTTTGGATGTATTACCCCAAGCTGCTGGAAAAGGAAGGGCCCTTGCTTTTCTATTAGAAAAACTGAATGCTGATGGACTTGGGCCACACAACACTCTTGTTTGTGGTGACTCTGGAAATGATGCTGAACTGTTCACTGTTCCTGAAGTTAATGGGGTCTTGGTTCGTACCATTATAAGAATTACTAACTTCAACTTACAGTTGTCTGTCTTGTCTGCAAAAGTGATTGTACTGTGAAAAATGATCTTTCATCTCCTGAATTTGAATTGAAGGTCAGCAATGCACAGGAAGAATTGCTTCAATGGTATGCAGAAAATGCAAGGGGAAATCCCCAAATAATTCATGCAACTGAAAGATGTGCAGCTGGAATTATGCAAGCCATCGGTAACTTCTCTCTTGGTCCGAATGTGTCTCCAAGAAATATTGGACATTCCATGTGTTACAGGAAAGTTCTTGGTCCTAGCCATGAAGTAGTGATGTTCTACATATTTTATGAGAGATGGAGGCGTGGTGAAGTTGAGAATCCTGAGCAGTATATGCAAAATTTAAAAGCAGTCTTTGTAAGTTTGATCCAATTGTAAGATTTTAATCGCAATTGCAAATCCATTGCTAAGCTTCATCAAAGCTGAATCTTTTTTGCAAATCCATTGCGAAGTTTGTGAGTTTTGGAATTGGAATACCTAGAACTGTTAGGGTATTGAAAGAAACCACACAGAAGTTTAAGTTGCATAAGAAAAGACTTGGTGGCTTGGACAAGACATATTGTTTTATCGTAAATAGTGAAAGGAGAAACACAACACATGAAGTTCCAGTTGATACGTCATATATGAAGTATATGAAATTTAAAGTTAAAGGGAGGTGATGTTACAAATTGAAATTGAAACTAGAGGGACCTTTTGTGTAGCTTTTGTTAACCTGAAGAGGTGCTGATGCTATTATTTTCTCAACTTTTTTGTTTATCTGTAGCATTCTACAGGAAATTGTGTCCATCCTTCAGGAGTAGACCAACCTATGCACCAAATAATAGATACCTTAGCAGAGGCTTTTGGTGACAAGAAGGACCAATACTTTCGAGTGTGGGTTGATCATGTATCTTTTGCAGAGGTTAGTTTGGGTTCGTGGCTGGTCAAATTTGACAAGTGGGAGATATCTGGTGAGATTTTGTTTTAACTTTAAGTCATTAGTCTTAAGTTCTATTCTTCAATTGGCGTCTTTATTTGCCTCCTGGCTTTATGTTTAGTATGAGCATTTGGGTTTGCCAGAGCAGGTCTAGGGTTGTATGAAAACTGGGCTTTCCTGTGTTAAACTTTGGATTTTTTTATTTGATTTTTTGAAACATTAAATATTGAAGAGAACGTGACATAATATTGTTCATTAGAATTCTCTTATTTTGGTTTAGGTTTGTTTGGTCAGCTTGCCTCTTGCATCAATATTATTAAACTGGTCTTTTATTTTAATTAAAACTCTTACATAGTTAAAGTCCAACATAAGTTGAGTAATCCCTTCTCCATAACGAGATAAGCCTTATTTATTCTCAATTGTAATAGATGTTGATATGCTTTAGAGGAGTCAATATAATTTTAAGTTTTTTTTTGTAATTTTTATTTTTAAATTAAGTGGGCTCAAATAATATAAGTATGGGTGGACCAAAAACCTCAAGAGAAGATAATCATTCATATTCTCATGATGGGAAATAATAATGTTTATAACGAGAATTAAAAGCAAAATTAGTGAAAATTAATTAGGCACTTAATAAGAATTATTATTGAAGTCTACACTTTCAATTATAGGTTATTTGAGTTTTTTATGGTGTTCTTTAGTTATATGAACAAGGTAACATGTTACTGTCAACTTCATGACTTATCACTCACTTCTCATCTTTCTTGAGTGTGGGGTCAATAACCTTCTCCACACTGAATATCAAAACAATGTCATAGAGGCTACCAATCTATGGTGGCTTTGAAATGCATAGTCAGATTATTATAGCAAGTCCACTTATACAACATTGGAGGCAATGATGTAAATTTGGAAGAAATCTGATTCATTTTATTAATTTCTTAAAATAGATGCAAGAACATGTTCAGTTACTATATGCACTCTTACCCTTGCATATGCTAAGAGACTCTTTTCAGTTTCGAACTCAAGACCAACTGATTACCAAGATACACTTTACTGATGTACTGGGGCTCACCCCCGATTTTCTCACAAATAAACAAGATAAAGTCCCTCTCAACCTTCTTCCTATTTATATACAGCTACTACTGATCTGCTAACGAAATCCCACCCTTAATGAGCCAAATCAATTGCAGGCTCATTCAAACATAACCCCTAGTTTTTCTTGGACTAACGAATTACTGACAGAACTACTTACTGACCTATCAATAAGAAGCAACAATGATAGGTACTGACAGAAATATGAGTATGCACTCAGAATCACAGCAGCAGCCAAAGTACTTTAAAATAACAGTCTTTCGTCACACATTTGGTTCCATCATCATCAGTTTCTGATTGTAGCTATTTAAACCTAAACTCAGTTTTGTTTTCTGAATGATACAATTTTTATCAAACACTGAGATACTCAATTACTAGTTTAACATCTACCTCGATCTCATAGAAATAAGGAGTCCTCAATGCCTTAATTTTTGTATTACTGCATCAGCTATAGACTTCTTCAAGAAGGCTCTTATTTATTTGTCTTTGTCCGCAAAAAATATGTGTTCTATTGCACCATCTCATTGCTTTCTAATCAAGGTTTAATTGAGGACAGTTATTTTTGTTACATTTGTAGCTAGGAACCCCTTTCACCTATCCTAATAGATCAGCACTGAATTCACTGTTGTAAAATGTGTTCACATGTATTAGGACTTCAGTATATTTTTAATTTTAAATTTAATTCAACCAATTGATTTTAAAAAAATCCAAAATCAATCATCCTTAGACATCACCTGATCAATAAAATTTTTGGTTAGTCTAAGCCAAGGAGTCATCAGCATGGTCTTGATTGGGACATTGTCAGCTCAATTTCGATTAGGGTAATGTTGAGGACCACAACTAGGGCATTTTTATCTCAGTCGAGTATCATCAACTGGATTAGGGCATCAAATTAGGTTTTAAAAGTAAATTTAAAATGAAATTGAATTGACTAAAAAACTGGTTTTAAATCCAAATTTAGACTAGGTTCAAACATTCAAGCCAATTTTGTCTAATTAAATGGATATGGATTTGAAATCCAATTCATTTTATTTATTTTGAATTGGATATGAATTTAACTTTTAAAAATCCATGTCCACCCCTAGAATATAGAAAACAAAATATGTCACCAAGACTTTGAATGATTGTGATATGTTTGATACAATACAAAACACTGGCAGGCTAAACTTGTACTCCAAATTTGGTAATAATATAACATCATATGATTAGCCCTCGAAAGTTACCCCGACAGTCACCTTTTCTCTGAATGGAGAGCAAAACACTGTTCCACTGCATCAAAAAATGGAATATGCAGTATTGGCCAGCTCTCAAGAGAATATGCAGTACTCATTCTGCAGAAACTTGTATTGGATTTTATGACACAAATGATTGATTGCATGAGTGACAGTGATTGCCTAACTCAATGCAGCATCCTGAGATTCCTCTTTTTGTGTTCAAGTTTAATTCATTTGCATTATACTACTTTAGGTACTTGTCTAAGGTTGTGTAGACAAGTATTGAAAGATTTTCAGTCCTTTTACAAATTAGTTTTATGAACCCTCTTTCCATTACTTACAATTCATTGGCTTATTAGACTCTTTCCTATCATCTAAATCAGGGAATGAGTCACGGGGTTGTTTAACAAAGGTTTTGATTAATTCAAAGGTAAGCCCTTAACTCAGCCTCTTTAGCTCTTAGTTTTTGTTTAGCACTTCATTTTACCTTAATATTCTCACACATTTATCTGTACTTCTATAACATTACTTTATTATATAACTGTTTTTCTAATTTTCTTTAACTTTTTTTTTTAATATTGATTTTATCTTTAATATTTCGATAACACTTTTTTTAGAAAAAATGGATACATAAATGCTAATTGTGTTTCCACTAGTTTTATCTATTAATAGGTTTTGGATTTTGGCAGGTTGATGCACCAGATCGTTATATCTGGATGCACTTACATCAGACTTGGTTGGATGGCTTAGGAGGACAGAATGATATGTGTTGGCTGTTGTAGTTTCTAAGCACTTCTCTTAAAAATTATCATTAAAAAACCATGGTTCAACATGAAATAGATGGTTAAGGGTATTTCATTTTATCTCTTGTTGAATAATGATGTTCTATTAAAAATATAAATTAATATTCTTGTCATTCTTGTTATAACCCATTATAATCAGAATTAATTTTCATTTGAATAAGTTTGTTGAAAAATAATTGTGCAACTAATCAGCTTTTGCATAAAGGAAGTATGTATGAAGTTGAAAAGGAAAACAATTGTTGAAAAATAGTCATAAACTGCATATCTTTAAATGCAAGAAAACAATTTCTTTTTAGGAAATAAAAAATGCTTTTTTTACAAATTTAAGCTATTACAGCTTCTTTTACAAACAATTTTTCTTCCTGAAAATGCAGTAGAAATTTTAGGATAGGTTTTCCAAATATGTACATGTAATGTTATAAATTTGAATTTGGTTTATTAATTTTGACTTAAAATTAAGAACGAAATTTTAAATTTTGTTTATTAATTCTTATGGCTAAAATTAAGTATGGTTCCAAGAGAAAAAAAAAAAGAATGTTTTCGTTTCATTCGTTAAATTCTCTCTTTTGTCCCTATATTTTTATTTATGCAATTTGATTCCTACATTGTTAAAAAAATTAATTAAGTTCCCCAATTTTTAAATTAACATCAATTTTGTCTTAGATTGTTTGATAACACGTTTGTACTAATTGACAGAGAGGATAAATTGGGTTAGTTTAAAAATTGAAGTTTTTAATAACATAGAAACGAATTTGAATAAATTGTAAAAATACAATGATCAAATAACTAATTTAGTGTTATTAATTTCTGGAAATGCAAAGATGAGAATTAATATTCTCACATTTATTAAATACGAACTAAGCATGTTTATGAGATTTTTTTTGGTGTAATAATCCAAAGGATTTGATTTCTAAGAATAACACAATGATATCATAATCGGTAAATACTGAAATAAATCTTATTTGGATATCTAATAATTCATTTTCTATCTTAGTTTGAGATGAAATAATTTCTTCTCTATAAAAAAAGTAATAAAATTATAATGAAAGCATTAAAATAACTATTGTAATACTTTTGATCTATATTCAATAGAGAAGTTATATATTTTTCTTCTTAAACTATTCTTCGTCTTTTTAGGATTTATTCATAGTGGATCTTTAAATAATTCATTCAAAAAGATGATCAAAATATTTAAGATAAAAAATTACTAAAAAGAATTTATGAAAATATGCGTTTTATTTAAAGAATACATCTCGTTGGTCAATCTTCAAAGTTAGACTAATATGTTCTTAAAAAATGAGAAAAGAAAACATTTTTTAATTATTTTGCTACTATCCAATGTGAGGATTCCTCATTATAATCCTCCACCATGTCTGTAAAGCCTAATCCAGATAAATATTCATATATTCAACATGTTTGAATAAAAAAAAAATCAATAACAAATAACTTCATGTTAAGCTAACATAGTAAAGGAATTCAACAATAATACTACCTGAAATAAAGTCGCATATCTAGTTAAGTGTTGGCATAAGACCTATCATCAAACTACTCATATATATATATATATATATATATATATATATATATATATATATATATATATATATATAAGTGATGCAACTGCTCCTCAAGAATATCCACCGCAAGTGGTCAAATCTCAAAATAAACCAAAATATGATACACTAATAGAGGTTGCACTTTGTCAATAGAAATAATGCAACCCAGAAGATGCATCAAATAAACTCTAGCTGCAATTCTTCATCTTCTGTGTGTACAAACATTATCATACATTTCTCGCAATCAACTAAGACAAACATGTTCACATCTATAATGTCTCGTCTCTACATAAGTCATCTCAAAATCAACTCTTAAGAGTTCTACTAACACATCAATTGTTTCGCGTGCTTCCAAGTGAATATTATCACAGAATTACCCAACAATTGGCAGGTGCATTATGAAAACACATCATCTAGTGTGATGGTCATCTCACCTATGGCAAATGGAAGTTGTTAGTCTCACTACTAGCTTCTCAGCAAATGCAAATAATAGTTCCTTATCTACTGTGTCATAACTAGCATCCACAAGTGCTTCTAACCATATAACTGAATAGCAGCCACAACCCACAAGTGTGGAGCCCTCAACTTATTTATTTATTTTTTCCATGGAAAACACATTTTAACTCCCCCACGATCTTACAAGAGAAAAAAAATTGTTTAAATTTTATAACATTAATCTTTATATACACACTAATTTATATGATGTGAAAGACACTTATTACTCCCTCTCGCAGATTTTGGGCAACATGATTTTCATATCTGATTAATAAAGAAGTATATATAGGCCCTCGTGAAAAAGATTGAACATCTGCGGGAGGATTTTCATATTGTTCATCTATTAGAGGATTTTCATATTGTTCATACTCATTAATAACACTTGATTTTCCACGAACCCTACGCCTTACAAAGGCAATTGGGTGAACACGATCTATGGATTAAGAACCACCTCCCTTAATCCTGACCATAATGCAAAATTACAATGCACAAAAAAGAGATCATCAAAACAAAAAGAAGATATTTTTCAGAATGCATTCCAGAAAAACCAATCCAGAAATGCATTCCAGAAAAAGTCAATCCGAAAATGCATTCTAGATTGGGTGTTTTGAAATGCATTTTTAAATTGGGTGTTTTGAAATGCATTTCTAGATTCGGTGTTGCAGAATGCATTTTCAAATTGGATGTTTCAAAATACATTTTCGGATTGGGTGTTCTAAAATACGTTTATAGAAAAGTCAATCTGAAAATGCATTTCAAATTAGATATTCCGGGATTCAATACACTGTTCCTAATTGAACAATTTGGGTCTCTATATTATTTAAGTACAGAAACATATAATATATATATATATATATATATATATATAATATTAACAATTACTCACTTTTAATTGATACAAAAGTCTTTAATAAAGGTGATAGTAAAAAAAAACAAATAGATGAGGGATGGAGGTGCATACCACTATTGAGGGATGGAGGTGCAGAGCATTGTACAAAAATAGAAGAAATTAGGGTATAGGGAGAAATTATAGGAATGCAATAAGAAAGTACCCATATTTGATCCCAAAAGCCCACGGAAAAATACACGGAAGTCCAAGAAAATGAAAAATATATCAATTTAAAAGAATTTTTAAAATATTTTCATTCATTCTTGACATAAAATGTGTTAAAACTAAAATCTATCAAACTAAAATATACAATTAAATGAAATTCGTATTTTTAGTTAGTTATTTGCATAACTTTTTTGTTTAAAATATTGAAGTTAGGCCACAGATGAAGCTAGCAATGTCTGCGAATTTAGCAGATCGGGGCTACAAATTGTGTATGATTATGCAGGTTTTAAAAAATGGGATCCATGGACTTGACAGAATGCGATCTGAATTTGTATATATGAACGACTCTAAATTACATATCTCTTGAAGTTCCATGCCATTAGTTCATTATTTTCAGCTTCTAAGGAACCAACTTCCGCTTGGAAAAGGATTGTATACTAAAGAAGAATCACATTCCAGCCAAAGACATGTCTATGATCTGCCTCAACCAGAAACACTTCTCAAAGAGCCCTAAAAATCTTTCACTCTATAATCTTTAAAAGCTCTCCCATATGCCATACCTGAATAGGGTTTACCCCACAGCTGCACCATTTGTGGTCCAATTGCTTGGAGGGACCAATTAACTTATGATTTTACATGCCTTCTTCGGGTGACAATCCACAACAAATGCAGACTCATACCAAATTCTTCACTGTGTAGTATTATAAGCTTCCATGTCAAATCTAAGCCTGTTCCGGCCACTCCAAATTTCTGAAATAATGTGCTCAATAAACAAGTTCCATCACTCCAAGGCTTGTCAGAGATCTTCAAGACTGTCTAATAGATGTCATGAAGATACCTCTTTTACTAAACATGTCATCTGTGAGCAAGTTATGAGCCAAGAGCCATAATATAAAAACCTTCGAAGGAGGAATAATCGAGCGCCATATCCATCTAATCTAGCCAATCTTCTATTACTTGTTGAGACAAAATTATTTAAGCCTACACTAGTAAATAATTTTAAATTTGTATGAAATTTTAAATATATGAACTAATTAAGAATATCACATTCACCGTATTGATTGGTTAAATTTGTTATTGAATGTACAATTTATTACGAGTGTGTGCGTTGAAAGATAAATTTAATTTAAAACAAAGCACCAAAATTTGACATGTAGCATCTTTTCTAATAGTCCAAAAAAGAATCGACCAAACAAAACTTGATGCTAAAATAAGTGGAAAAATAAAACAAAAGACCTACTAGCTAATAATCATTCACAGATTCCTCACTTGAATTGTAAGTTATTTGACAACCAGCTAAGCCATAAATTCATGCCTATTTCTGGCTATGATACAAGTAACGAGAATACAGGGATTTTGTGAACATAACTGATCAAATCTTTGATCTAGTACTAAGACCTAAAACCATTACAAGTAGAGCACAGATTATGTTCAACCATATCATACTATTACAAAATTGTGAAAATGTATGCCTTGCACACTCCAAGAAGCAAGACAAATGAGATTGACAGCATTGCACCTGATGATTTGCTTTCAATAGCGTCACTTATCCAGATTCCTCCTACCTGGACAGAAATTCAGAGTCCACTCACCATAGAGCTTATTAATTTGTAGCATTAATGAAGCCTGCAGCAGCGACAAAAAAAAAACATTTTCATAAACAATAGTATTACTTCTTTCGCTGCCTATGTTTAACTTTCACAAATTTTCGACCAGACTTGTCACCCCCACCAGTGCCCAATGAGAAACTCCCTCCAGCATTAAATTCTAGACTGCCAGAAGCTTGAAATGGAGATGGATTCTGTGGGGCAATATTCTGTTGACTCGCAAACTGGAAAGGATTCGCTCCTGCTGGAGTTGATGCTCCAAATGCAAAATTTGATTGAAGTGGGGCAGGTTGTTGGCCAAATACAGGAGTTGCGGGGGGAGTTGCTTGAACTGTGTCCTCGGCCATACTGTCCTCCATGTTCATCTGATCATTATTAACAGGAGCTGAACCAAATGAGAAGACAGGACTAGAACTTATAAAAGCAGGCTGTGTGTTGGTAGTAGCTGTAGCAGAAGTGAATGAAAACTGAGGAGTCGATGCAACAGCAGAGGATGCAAACATCATGGGAGAACTGGTAGAAGTAACAGTAGATGTGGATGATCCAAAGGAAAACCCAGGGGTAGATGAAGATGATGAACTAAAAGATGAACCAAAGGAAAACCCAGAGGAAGGTGAGGATGATGAAATAAAGGAAGAGCCAAATAGAGACTTGTTCGGTTGCCAACTTGTAAGCCCAAACCCAGTAGAACTTGTGCCACTACTGGAGCTAACAGGGTTGGCTTCTGAAGAAGCAGCAGGGGTACTTTGTCCGGAAGTTGTACCCACATTGAAAATGTTTGTGGCCGAATTAGAAGGAAACGTTGAACTCCCTGAAGCAAACCCAGTGTTAGCAGTCAACCCAAATAATGGGGCTGATGCAGATGAACCAAATGCCCCTGGCTGACTCTCAGAAGAAGTTGCAAAACCACTGGTAAAAGAAGATGCCAGAGTAACAGGAACAGACCCACTTGTAGTGCCAATGACAGAACCCAGAGACTGGCTACTTCCAGTTGTCGATGCTGAGGAATTAAAGCCAATAATGCCACTCGCTGTGCTTCCAAGTGCAGCAGAAGAGCTCCCAAAAATGCTGCTCGTGTTTTCCAGTGGTTCTGAGCCAGAAGATGATACTGGTAAACTTGTTGTCGGTAAAGGTGTAGATCCAAATTTGAAAAATGAAGTTGTGGGAGATGAAGATGCCACTTGGATGGAGGAATTGCTATTACTGGCATCAACTACAGCAGGGGTGCTATTTGTCTTGTCAGTGCTAGTGGAGGTTACGGTGGCACTAATGCTGCTGTTGTTGCTTGCCGCAACTGATGAGCTACTAAATATATTCTGATCTGCAAAATTGCTTGTAACAACAGGGGAGAATGGAGAAGGGCTGGAAGCAGCAGCTCCAACATTTAGATTTGAACTGTGACCAAAAGTAAATATATTTGTAGGTGGTGTAAATGATGGCATATGTGCTGAAGAAACAGCTGGTTCAGATGACTGAGCAGAGAAACCAGTGAATGTATTAGTCTTAGCACCAGCATTATCTAAATCATGAGCTTTTGGCATTGAATCAACAGCACCAGCAACAGTAGTTGAGCTGCAAACGAAGAAGACATTTAGTATATTGATTGATGTAGTACTTCACTGACTATATAGCTATATCTCTTTCAATTTCAATAGAACAGTGAATCGAGTAACAAAAACATAAATATAATAAATAACAGGAATTTGGGTCAATTTACAAAATGTAAACACAAGTTCAAATTTCAATCTAATTATGAAACTATACAAGAATAAATCCAAACTTCAAGATAACAGAAAAGCATGGCATGATTCATGTGATGAATCTTCGACCCTCAGACCTAATGCAAAATGCCAGTTGCAAATCAATCAATACAAGAACAATAAAAGCCAAAGTACTAGATTAATATATAAGCCATATATGTAACACAGTGAATGGTGGTATTAAGCTGATAAATAAAAATATATGTACTAAATGATTATGCATTCACTGACAGATCTTTATTTATTTTTCAATGATAAGTAAACAGAACAAGCAGAACAAAACACAATCTAACCAAACAATAAAAATATCTTAAGAGAGTAGAAGATCTATTTCAAGCGAGATTTAAATGCAAGCACATATGCTAACCTCATCAAGCTTCTTGGTTTAGAGTCAGAAGAAGAGCCAAATTTGAACACAGTAGATTCACCACCAGATGAGGAGAAAGTAAATGGCACTTGTGGAACCTTGTCAACATTTTTGTTGAAGCCAGAATTAACCAAAGGAGCATCAGCACCAGACTCTTTAGGGGATGCAACCTTACCCAAACCAAATAGTGGACTAGGTTTAGTAGAGTCCTTTGATGGAGTAACAGAAGCTGTCAGCTCAGTTGATGGAACAACTTTACTCCCAAAGTTAAACAGGGTAGAATTAGAAACTGATCCATTTGGTGTAGTAGACTTATTAGGGCCTAAACTTGTGTTAGAAGCGGCTGTAATTGCACCTGCAGTTGTCTTAAAAATAGGATCAGAGACAGATGAAGTTGTAAAGGTTGATACATCAACCTTCTCTTCAACAATAGACCCACCAGCTGTCCTAACATCAGGTTTACCATCTATTGTAAAACTTTTGGATGGCATTAGCACAGATGAACCTGGCGGCTTCTCCGGTACAGCTGTTTCAATAGAAGAGGTAGTTTTATCAGCCAAAGCATTGGAGACCGTTGTTTCTTTCCCCAAAGTAGAGGAAGGAGACACAGCTCCATTAGGATTGGCATCATCATCCAGCTCCAGACAATCCTTTACAAGAGATAGAGTGAAAAAAAAAAAATCAACAGTGAATAATTATGATGACAGATTGAATATATTTTCATTTGAAAAGTCATTCAGTAGAGTTTGTCAAATCAGAAATAGAGAGTATCCAAGAAAATTTCCTGACAACTGCTTCGATAATCATTATTTGGAGGAAGAAAGAAACAAATCATTATGGACGAGAATAATAGTACCAGATCTTTCCACTGAGATATATAAAATAATTATCATAAAATCACATGAAACTAACAAATACTTAAAATTAAGATAACTAAATAAACCATCACAAAGAAAATAATAGAGCAAAATCGCAAACCTCAGGTGCACTCATATGGAATGCCCTCCTTTTTTGTGGAGGATGATACACAGGTTTTGCTCCAGATGAATCTCCAGATTTTAAAATAGATATATCTTGCTTCCTTGGGACTTCAGCATTTGCATCAAGAGGAACCATTGCATCAGTAGGAGAAACTAGTTTTGATGAACCATTTTCAGTTTCATCTATCTTTGATTTTAACCTTTGAGAACCAGCAGACAAATTTCCATGTGTTCCATCCAATTCATTATTCCGAATGTTATCCAGGAATTTTGATGAATCTACTGTTTCCATACTTCGAAGAGCCTGCCCTCGTAACATGGATGAAGACAATTTTGTTGGAGATTTTTCTTTAGGAGAAACCAATTTATCAAGTTGCTGCAGTATTTTTGAAGCCATTTCACTAGATTTTGAGGGTAAAGGAGGAATGCTGGTACTAGGCATGGTGTCATCTACAGTTTCTGCAGACAATTTTGTATGCATATGTCTAGCTTCACTTAACATATGAGCCTTCTGCATGGAAGACAAATGTTGCTGAGCAGCATCAACACCAACTCCACTCCTATCTATAGATAGAGGGTTTCCCAAATGAGACAAGGTCAAGCTTTTAGAAGGCAGAAGATTAGACTTGTGACGAATTCGGCGAATAGGACCAAAAGATCCTATATCATTATCTAATACAGAACTCCTACGTTTTAATAGCTGTGAAAAATGAGAGGGGACAAAAGAAAAATTCCAGTAAAATATCCTTCAAAGAGAGATCTTAAACATATAAACTAAAAATGATTGGACTTGCAAACATAAGTTTCTGTACCCCTTGTTTAGATCCAGAAATCATATCATGATTAGTCACATGCTGAGCTGAAGATGATGATGGCTCCCCTTCAACAGCAACCCTGGTATCCTGTAAGAAAAACCGGATATAAACTTCAAAACCAAAGACATTATGATAAAAAATATCATTCGGTAAATGGAAAACCTTAGGCATAGAGCCTGGATGAACTCTTGCATAAGGTGTTCGAGCCATATTATATATTGCTGATCTGCCACGAGATTTTGGGGTCACAAAACCATTTTCATGAACCCTACTAAGGATAGTAACCCTTGGCACAATTGACATAACAGGAGATTTCTGAGCAAAATGTTGACTTTTTAGCAGTGAATCCTCCCTGAGAGAACTTCGCATGCCTAACATTGATGGTGATAACTTCGAAGACCTGCTCCCCATGTAAGCCTTGGCAAGCTCAGCAGGGGAAGCAACATCATCAACAGAAACCTATAGACAAAATCTATAGATGTTAGATGAATCAAAACAGGTAATTAATAATTGCACAGATACAATCAAACATGTAAACGGTCATACAGTTGAAGTAACCTTCGCATCATATGGGGTTGAAACAAGACAGTTTTCCATAACATTTTCTAGTGCTGGAGTTTTGGGATATTCTTCCTTTTGTTCATGAGGTAAAATTTGATCTGACAGAATCACTTCTGTGTTCTTCCTTTCTTCCCCAACAGACGAACCAACAGTTCTTGATCGCATAATTTCTGTCAAATGCTCTATCTCTGATCTGTGGAATAAAACAAACTTATTACATGCAAAATCAACATAATACTTGTCCTAAAAGAAATGTGTGAGAATAGAGAATGACATGAATTTGCAGTGGACAACAGACGATGCAAAGTGCATGTTCCAAGACAAGAACTTCATAAATTCAATAAATTATGCGGTAAGTGCTAATTACAAATAACAGCCATCATGCACTATACATGACATGGGCTCAGCTACATGGATCAAGGGCCAAATTGGCTCTATTGAAAACCAGAAGATCAAACCACCCATCCACATCATATTGAGAGAACTATGTTGTATGTTGATCGTACCACCAATCCACATCATATAGAGAGATATAAGTTGAACGTTGGAAGTAAACTACTAAACACAGACCAATCCACTCAATACCAGAATCAGTGATGCAAGTGGCAATCATGCAGATCATACAAAAATACCTGGTGAAAGTCTTTTGCTTTAGCAGTTTCTCAAGTTCAGTTATTTCATCTCCGTCAGAACAGTTAACTCGGACACTAGTTTCACCTACTACTAGTTGCTTGCCAGAGGATTCATTTGCAACCTGTTCCTCAAATAGCAAAACAAAATGACTATCACAACAATAATAACAGAAACTAATATTCAGTAAACTTGGCATATTAGACAAGAATCAAAATAATAGAAGCAATGATAGAAACTTGGGTATTATGGGCTGCCTAAGTCCCACATCCGGTAGTATTGGATGCTTAATGGAGGATTTAAGTGTTTGGTTTGCCCCCCTTAGTAGCTAGCTTTTGAGAGTAGGCTCCTCAAGTGCTTGGTGACTTACCAATTTGCATCAGACCCTCTGAGGCTCTTTAGGGCAGTGCTTGACATCTACCCAAGCTCCTATTAAGCAACCTCAATGTTGAAAATCCATCGTCTATATATATATATATATGGCCAAATTATATATCATAAGTAGGTGAAAACCTCATCTTACTTTTAATTTATATTTTATAGTATATATGTGAGTGCAAACATAATTATGGTATGTAAGTGATTTGTTACAAAAAATATTTTAATCATTTTTCATTTAGTTTATCAACCAGCAAGAGAGAAGAGTAAATCTTCATCATTACTCAACCTTCATAACGGAGTAATTTTATGCTGTAATTTAATAATGAAATAGCCAAGTATTGCTAGCAGCACAATCGTAACATATGCTCATCACACCCAAAAAACTATTCCTAAGAAGAAGCAAACACAAACAAGAAATGTGAAGCATGCCTACTTACAATGAGAGTTGTTTCCTGGCTATGGTCCCTCACTTCCTGCACTGCTTCTGTGCCAAAATGTATATACCATAAATAAAAACATGGAATCATGTTTCTTACTTAGATGTCAGAGAACAGCAAACAAAATGAAAAGGAAATAAATAAATAAATCACATAAAAGTTACATAACGAGTTACCTGTCCACAAAATATCCCACAATTTACCCAAACTTGTACTCAGAAAAATAGGAAAAGCAGCAGGCTTAGAGAAAAAATTCATAGCATTTGTTCCCATTTCTCATTTACACTTTCATACTCTAAGCTTTAAATTATATATGCAACACAAATGCATAATTGCTGATACACAATACCATTTACAGCATGTTTGGTTGGGTGGAAAGATAACAAGAGATGAAAGAAAAGGAAAGAAATGATGGAATAAGATGGTAATGCATCCCACAATCTAAACTTTCCATGCTACATAGCACAGAAATGCGTGGAAAGCCTAATTCAATTATGCGTTACCCTGTTAAGCCAACTGCATTTCTCCCTCCCTGTATCTTTATATATTAATCCAACCCCTTCCTGCATTATTTAACATGGCCCATCCCATCCCCCTTGCCTCTTGTGCAGACAGAACACCAAGCTCCCACTCTCCTCTTGGGTAAAACCTTTTCCCTTTTAATTATTTTATTGATAAAATAATAATAATAATAACAGAAAAAACAATATATGTAATATTTAAAAGAATAATAAATATCAATAATAAAACAATATTGGTAATGAAATCATAATTGCTAATAATAAAAATAATTATTGTAATAGTAATTTATTTTATCACCTTTCTTTCCTTTCTTTCAAATCAAAGACATACACCTTTACAATTTCCATTTATTTCCTCTCTATTTCACTTCAACCAAACAAACTCAGTTTCCACTTACCTCTCACTCATTTCTCTTCTTTTCTTTTCTGGTCCCTTCCCTCAATTTATATCTTCCCAACCAATCAAAGGCTTAAGGACACAAATTATACCAAGCTAATCACATTACAAACTAATATCACATTGGGGGTAAATATGATGGCAAGTATCAAGGGAAGACCAAATCTACAAATCTAAACCAACCCAAAGCCAAGCCGAATTGGTTCCAGGATGCAGTTCAGTTCCCAAATCCTCACATCTACTCATCTCTAAAAAGCAAACTTTTACTGTAAACTCGAGAAACAACTGTGCTCTATCTAAACATTCTAAGTAAAAAAAGTATTCCCATCGTCATTCATCTCCAAATTTCCATCTGTACTCACCTAGTTCCATTCTATTTTTCACCCACATCCTCAAAAGAACATGCTCAATTTAAAATCCCATTTACTTTACATTATATTACAGCACCCTCTGATAACATAACACAGGTTTCATAATTACGCAAAAGAATACACAGTATCACACCACAGCAAAATTCTCAACCGTTCAGAAACATAACAAGGTGCAAAATTCTTGAGCTTTCAGAAACATAAAACACCATGAACTAAAACTCAATTAGTTCCGAAATGTACACAAAATAATAGTAATAATAATTATTCAACTTCCGCCTTAAATGCTTTAAAATTTGAACACATTGGCATTATTAATTATCAGCAATAACAATGCCGAAAGAGGTTATATTCTCATCCAAAAAAAAAAGCATGCAAAAGAAAAACCTAAAATTACAAAGTAGTCTTTTCCAATTTAAATGAATTGAAAATTTGTTAGAGAAACCTTGTTGTTGTTGTGGTGGTGGTGGTGGTGGTGCTGGAAGACGTTTGCGAAAAACCGAGCCGAAGAGTTTGTGAGCGCTGGAAGCGATGAGCCTCTGCGCGGGATCGACAAGCTTCGAGAACCAACCGTTGTTTCTGTTAGGGTTTCGGAGCGCTGTCGGTGGACGATCGTACGGCGTCGTTTGGGTTTTTCGGAACGGTCGTTTACGGAACTTGCCGAACCCCCCGCCGCCGCCTTCGTAAGGATTCTCTTCACGCGCCGGCGCCATGAGAGAGAAAGCAAGAGCTTCGAATTCGAGGGAAGAGAGGAAGTTAATAGAGAGCAAAATTAGGGTTTTAATCGCATAGAGAACGAGGAAGAGAGAGAAAATAAAAATAAAATAAAATAAACAAAAATAGAACGGAAAATAAATAAATAATTGCTGAATGAAAACGAAACAGGGTAACGGATATCCGACGAGAAAGGATGGGAATCCTCCCTTAGTATTTTTTGGACTTTTACTTTCACATAAATAAATTTTTAGAACTCACAAATTTTAAATTTTTGTATATGAGTCTTAATAAATAAATAAAAATTTAAATTATTTTATTTAAAAGAAAAAAACCAATTAATGTACTGAAACAATGTTAATTAAGGTTTGTATATTTTATCATCTATCTTTTACTTCTTCTTTTTTTCGTTTAAGTAATGATAATGGAACTCAGGTATAATTTAAGGTAAAAAAAAAACATCTTCTTTGAGTTTCACTTTCAAATATAAATTTTGAAAATAATAATAATAATAATAATAATAATAATAAATAAACTTAAAAAATTATAAATTGTCTTTGTAATTAAACAACATTGGTTAATACAAATAATAGAAATTCTTTAATTAAATCGTTTTAGGTTTGAGTACAAGTGATTCCCTTTTGATATGAATTAAAACATATCACACTAAATGTAAGGAAGAACTTTATAACAATTATTTATAGTTTGTATATCGATTTTAGAATTGATATAGATTGAGAGAAAAAAATATAATCTTTTTATATATTAGTTGTTAAATAACTAATCTATTAAATATATATTATATTGGTTGTTAACATACTCGTAATTATTTTTATATAATTATATTTTTTTTAACATTTTATGAAATATTTTTAATATAATAATAAATCTAGAAAATTATACAAAAACATCATCGAAACAATTAAACATAAATATATAGAAATTTCTCACTTAAGTTGGATGAACAGTGGTGGTGTAAACCTAAATAAAATATGAGATTATGAATACAAGGAGAAGGGGACATCAAGATATAAAAGGAAAAGGAAGAAGTGCATGCACACCAAAAAAAGTAAAAAAAAAAATTGAGGAAGATACAAAATAAACTTATGAATTTTAAATCTTACATTTTCTATAAAAGTTCATGTTGAATCGAAATAAAAGGTTTCAGGTTAAAAATTTACAAAATTGTTTATTATGATTATTCAGACTAAAACTAGTATAAAAAAATGTTATATATGAATGTTCAATTTTAAATTTATATAAAGACAACTAGTTAAGTTGAAAATTGAATTAACATATAAAATACTTTAATTTAATATTGAACCAAAATTGAAGATTACTTATTATATAAATTCAAAATTGAATAATCATAGAAAATATGTATTATAAGTATTAAGGGTGAGTTTTTATTATAAAATTATCACCGTGTATTTATTATGACAGATATCACAATAAATCATCATAAAATATGATTTTTTATTAATATTATAAGAAATATTCATAATTTATATTTAAATTATTTATAAAATAATTTAATTAATATGAAACATTAACTTTCAAAATTATTTTTAATATTAAACATTACTAAAAATTATTAATTTTAAATATTTAATTATTCATAAGGTATTGTATTTATAACTAAGAAAAAATGTTGTATGTATCTCTTCCCACACATTTGTGCATTCAATAATTGTCTTAAATCAATCATCTATTAAAAAGGCATTCTAATCTTAGATTGATGTGAAAAAACATATTGAAATTACTAACACATAATACATATATTAAGTAACAAAAATATGTTTGGAACACTTACATGTTTGTTAAAGAATTATTCTCAAAAACCTAATTCTTTGTTTGTTTCGCATAATGTACTATTTAGGTGGATAAAAGAGGAAGTAATTGGATTGTTTATTTCAATTTATTCCAGTTGATTTAAGAAAGAGGATTTAAGGGAGAGATTGCATGAAGCTTCTTCGTATGAATGAGAAGAATTTACAAAAACTACACCGAAGCACCTATAAATTTACATGAGTATCGTCAACTCGAATTAATTCAACTTTTGAAAAATCTATTATCTCCTATCCAATCTTGATTTGTTCTCTTAATAATCGATTTTCTACCATGTGACAATTGATTACAGTCTTCATTCTATCATTCTATCGGTAACTTATCTTCTTTCCACTCGACATATTATCTTATTTTAGTTTTACAAAGTCACAAGTGCAGTAACCTCATGCAACTTCCATGTTTCCCATCCTTTGTCATTCTCAAGCAATTCATCTCCTATCATTTTTGCATATATTGCAGATATTCTTTGGAGTTGAGGGGGGCCGTGACCCCTAAAATTTTCAGTAACTCCAAAGTAATTTATGATTTTAGCACATCAAACTTAATGAACATTTAATATATTTTATTGTATATTTACAATTTTATCCTCTCAGCTCCTCCTAGTTTTGTAACTCGCATATAATTTATGATTTTGTCTCCCTCAAACTTAATGATCATTTAATATATTTAAGTATATATCTATAATTTTATCTTTTCATCATTTCATCTTGTTTCTTTTTTTATATTTATTTATTATTTATTGATAATATATTATTTGGTCCTTCAAGATTAATGGTCAACATCCACATGAAAACCATTTTTAAAGTAATATTCAAGCAGAACCAGTTATATTTTTAATTGACCATTTATCGTCAACTTGTAACTTATTTTTATATCATTCAGTGGGAACTACGCATAAGTTATGGATCTCCAAACAAGTACCGATACGAATTGAAACAAAGATATTTTTGTGGTATTAAATTTTGAGTTGACATTTACTTTCAGTTTGACAATAAACTTGACCAATAAGTTAAAAATTTGGATAGATCAATAATTAAAATAAAATTAATTTAAATAATTACAATATTTTAAATTATAAATTTTTATCATAAGATAATTTGGTAATTTCTATTTTTTTATTAAAACATTTTTTTATCATTCACATAAATAAAATTAGTCACAAATCATCTTCTCATTTTATTATATTTTCTACCATCTTTCCCTTAATTCAAACAACCTCTTATTTACATCTTTTTTTCCCTCAAATATATCCTCTTATCCAAATAAAACATAAATGATGACTTATCTTTTGGAAGGACTTTAGAATTTTCTATTTTTGTAACATATTTTGACCAATAACTTTAAAAAATAAAATAGCATATATAATGATTAAATAAATGTGAGAATATAAGAATTAAAAACATATAAAAATATAAGCAAATATAATTTTTGATAGTTAAAATTATAAATATATAAATAATTTAAAAATATTTATTAGGACATAACCCTATATGACCAATAAGTTAGGCTCTCTTCAACTATCGAACAAAAATATATATTTGTTGTATCATTAACATTGAAAACATTCACATACAATTAAAAAAAATCACGCTACTAAGTTAACAATTTATATTATCTTAGTCCTAATTGTTGTAAAGGAAATCAAATAATTTATTTTATCTCAACTTACTCAACGCAATAAGCACCACAGTGTTGTATTAAATTTATCTTGTAAAATTTGTTCCTTTCTCAAAAAGTATCACTTTTTCACGTTGATCACCATAACTCCTCGTTCATTTGGTGCATGATAATTATTTATTAAGATGTTTAAATAAAATACTAATTATTTGTAATAATTTTTTTATTAAATTTTTTTTGTGTAACATGATAAGTTATTTACATTTTTTGATAATTATTTTATCAAACAATTTATAAAAATAAATAAAACAAAATAATAATAATAAAAGGAATAATATTTTAAAAATTATTAAAAAAGATTAATAAAATAAAAGCAATTATAAATTGTATGATATCATAAATTCATATTATATTTTTAAAATTATAAATTACTCCTATTGAATATGTATTATAACCACAAGTACATCATAATTAATGTCCTACTTGATAGGATTAAAATAGCAAAAGTCTGAAAATAACCCCTTATTTGTTTTTGTCATATTTTTTTTTTTATCTCCCTTTTACTCCTTTTACTTTTTCATTAGTGTCTTTGAATTTTATTTTATTTCCTATTTACTTTTCTATATAAAAGAGTTAAGAAATGTGACGATGTTAATCCATCACTTGGTGTTTGCATTAATTCAATTGATAAATAATCACTTTGCCTTATAATAACAATATTCCACCAGATACCTCTTTTTTAATATATTCTCATAATTACAAAAATCTATTTAAATTGGCACAAACAAAATAACTGCAGAGATAAGAAGGCCAACTTAAATCCCCATGCATAACATAAAAGCTTCATCCTTCAAAGAGAAAAGAAGGGGTGTGTTGAAATAAGGAACACAAAAAACAAAAAAATCTCAATGCTGATCAGGAATACTACAATTTTAATGCCTCCCTGAACTTAATACTGAAGCTATTTTCTAGGCCCTTCTTACCAACCGCTGGAAGATTTCCTTTCTGCATCATAGCCACAAACTCATTGTAATCTATGCGTCCATCCTGCAAATGACAAAAGCATTGCTGACACTAATCAAAACTGTGTAGATTCCATATACGCATCAGATTCCTGCTAAAGGGTATTCAGTTTTTGAACAAGATATTGAAGAACATATAGTACAATACATCTGTATGATGGTTAAAAGTACAAATTAACAACTGGAACTTCTGTATCCTGATGCCACATTAATAATGTTCAAAATAATTAGAAACAGTTAGGAATTCATTTGATTTGATGCCTCCTTGATTTCTTTTTTCAGTCAAATCAATTCTCTAAAGGAAAATAAGATTCATTGTAAGATGCAATGAATCTAATCTATTACACATGCAGGCCTTTCGGGGGTGTGGAGGAAAAGTTTCTACATAGAAATGATAATTAGATTGAATCATGCAAACAAAAGTTATTAGTGTTTCTTTTCCATTTTTAGAATATTAATGTTCCTGTTTTTTACAGGGTCAATGAGGTTTTCAGTCCCTGAAGTATTTTCAGATTTGGAATATTTTCAAGGACTAAAAACATCATTACCCCTTTTTTTATCATATCAGTGCCTTTAAATCGATGGGAAGTATAGAGCTGAAGATATTAGAAGGGATAGCTAGAAAGGATAAGAAAACCATGTAGTTAGTTCATCACTTGTTTTTGAGTTACATGACAAGGACAGAAGAGGAACCAATAGAAATGTAAATAACTTACATTATCTTCATCAATCTCCTTGATGATCTCTTCCAAATGAACATCTTTTATGCCAAATTCATCACAAGCCTGTTGAAGTTCTTCCTGAGTAATATAGCCACTTCCATCTTTATCAAAGTAAGAAAAGGCTGCAAATAGATTATCTTCTCTTTCAATTTTGTTGCGGTGTAATGTTGCAGCAAGGAACTCGCCATAATCAATTGTCCCACTGTTATCAATATCAGCCTATAATTTCAAGGCAGGGTAATAGGTTAGAGAGATTTGAGTTAGCCCATTAAACAAAATACATTATTACTATGAATATTTGATAAAATAAGAGGTTTAATCATAATCCTTCTCCACCCAATTTTTATTCAATTTTTTTCTTTGATTTTATATTACCTACCAGTTTTATTTTATTGAATATAGTAAATTTTATTTCTAATATAAAAGTTCATGACTTAGCTCGCATGTCATATATAAAGAAACAAAAAAAGACAAATAATGTTTTCAAGTTAATAAGGTGCCATCCATAAATGTTTTAGGACTTGTAAAACAAATATTAATGAAAAATCATTGATTGCTATGTTGTGATCAACCCTGGCCATTGAAGGGGGTGAAAATTCATGTCAGAGACAGCCAAATATAAGGTAAATATTAAGGCCACTTTAATTACAGAAGCTCATCCATTGCAAAAGATATTCACTTATTTCTATGTAATACCACTTATTTCTTTTTATTTAAAAAAATAGTCTTAAAAACACTTACCGCTTGCATTAAATCATAAATTTCAGACTCCTTAAGATTAGCACCCACTCTTTTCAAACCAGCTTTAAGTTCATCAAAAGTGATTTGACCACTGTTGTCTGCATCTATCATCTTGAACATCTCTTTTAAGCCAGCAATTTCTTCTTCAGATAAGTTCTCGGCAATAATCTGGAGAAAAAAATAGAAGCAAAACAATGGTTAAATGAAAAGGTGTACATCATAACACCTCATTTTCATCTTGTGGTCAGAAATTCATGAAAGACTTCCAATCCAACACATATTGTGCGAGAGTATCTTTATGTATCTATAAGTCCAAATCACATAACACGTGACTTTGAGGCTTCCACATCCCGAGACTTACTATAAGAGCCATTTTCTTGAGCTTGTTCATAGCAGAAAATTGCTTCAAGCGACTTAATACAGCAGAATCAAGTGGCTTGTCAGGAGCTACACCATCAACTTGAATCCAAGGATGACCTACAGGCAATTAAACATATATTAGCACAAAAAATAGAGTTTGGAATGCCATATTATTTCAAATTTGGTATGATAGTTTTAAATTTATGTCCAAAGGAACTGGCTTGAGCTTTCCTAAAGCATAGAAATGATTGAGCCACATAGCACGGACGAACTATTATACTTCCACTATTACGAAGAAGTAACATCATTCTTGTGATACAAAAAGGGCATACAACCCATACACAATAATCAAATGTTGCAGACACATTATTTTAGCACTGAAATAGTACCAATAGTAAATATTTCTATACATATATACACACATTTTAGCATGCTCAAATGTATGAAAGTGTTAGAATATTGAATAAAGGAATTTTAGTAATGACTAATTAGAGGGATATCATGGGTCAAGTCAATCATATCTATAAATAGGAGGATATTAGGATAAAGAGGGGGAGGTTCATTTTTGTAGATTGAGCATTTGATCTTTGTGAAAGGAAAAAACCTTTGTGAAGGGGAAATCCTTGAAGGAAAGAGTGTTGTCCATTTCTTGCTCCTTTCATTCTATTTAATGAAAATCTTTCTTGTACTTCTCTCTGATTCTTGGTTCCTAACAATTGGTTTGACTTGTCGGATCTTTAAGAGAGTAAGTGTGTTTGTGATGGTGGAAGCACACTTTTGGACTAAGAAGGAAGAGGTTGCAGCATTTGTCGGGGCAAACCCAATTCGTTGAATTGCTAGGGCATAAAGATTGAGGTACAAGAAATTCATTCATTCCATAAGCTGCAATATGCATTCATGGAGGTGTTGCAATGTATTAGTTCTATGTTTGAAGCAAAAATAACCTTGATTTAAGTTGGGTGTCATTTGCAATAGCTTTGAGAAAAAAAAATTAGAAGATGGCTATGTAAGATGTGTTTTTGAAGGGTTGACCACCTTAAACCAAGAAGCAAAACTGAGATGGAAATCTGCATCAAAGAAGTGGAGATGCTAATTTTGAAACAAGGAATGGCCACAGAAAGGGCATGACCAGCATGCACTTGTTTGGGAAAACAATAGAGTGACAAGAACTTTAATGAGAACGGGTCAAAGGGAGGTGATGATGAAACTTCTTCTTGGGCAAGAAATGTTCTTGGGCGAGAAAGATGAGTAAGACCCGTTTTTGGACAAGAAAGACAAGCGAGACTTGTCCTCAGGCAAAAACGACGGGTGAGACCAATACTGAGATGAAGTTGGAACTCAACTAAGGTCACATGATATTGGGACAGTGGTAGAATAAACAAATACAACAGTCAGCTGTTGAAAATCATTGTTTGGGTAATAAAAGCAAAACAGAATTGAAGGAAAAATATGTTGTTGGAAGCACAATGAAAGGATGGAGGAGGAAAGACAAGAACCACCATTGAAGTATCGCTTTCAACAACTATCTATGGAAATTTTCCATGCCAACAAAACTTGGTCTATCTCTGGGGTGGCCAGGTCAGGACTTCCAAGCAGCAGCCAATGCAGTCCAGTTTGCTCAGTTCCCACACATACCCCCACCAGACACGATCAAATAGGTGGTGTTTAGAAGGGTGCCTCAAGGACCTCCAACAGCAGTACATGTTATAGGACTTCCCTTAGAAGGGTTCATAAAGGATTTTTTCCTTTCACAAAGAGCTAATGCTCAATCTACAATGAGCCTCCTCCTCTTTACCCTAATAATATCCTCCTATTTATAGATATGACTGGGCTGACCCATGATATCCCTCTAATAATTACTCTATGTCAAACATTCTATACTTTCTTTTTAACAGATCACTATAAACAATTAGAATGCGCTGTTCACACCCTACACAGAATATATAGTCTTCATTGTTCTTGCAATGATAAAAATGTTTAAGGGTCGGTAGCAAAATACATTATATGACATGTCAAGAACATGATTTGGGACTATGAAACACGAATGCTGACTTGGAGTACGACAATTTGACATAGCTAATGTCTAAAATATAGGATAATGAATGAGACACCACATATAGAGAGACTAATGAAATGAAATATCATATAACAAAATAAATATCGAAACTGACAGTATATTCACCTTTTTAAACTAACCTTCTAATTCATATGAGAACAAGCCTCAAAGGTTAGACATATGGAAGTGTTGGCTTAGTTGTCCAAGCTGTAGATGTATAGCCTACAGGCTTAAGTATCCAAGCCAACAAAATATATTTTTTTAATTGGAAACCTGATTAGTAGTGTTGTGAGGTGCTGGTGTTGGAAATGTGTCTGACACAACTCTACTTTAAATACGAGAGGTGTCTATGCTTCATAGGTTTGGGATGTTAGTTTATTAGACAATTTTTTTATTTTTTCACAGTTAACCCATTTAGAATACTAACACTTCTAATTTCAAAGCATACAAGACTTGTATGCTATAAGAACCATTTAAGGTAAATGTTTGTCAATAAAGCTATTTTTCCTAGGAAATTGTCTAGTAGTGGGTTTACATACCTAGAACATTGAAGTTAGAGACAAACAAGGAGTTAAAACCTTTTCTTCATAATAAGTGACAAAACCAAATATAACAAGAATTTCTTCTCAAACCACAAGGTTTAGCATCAGTATTGTTCAACTAATTCCCACAAAGGCCCAAGTAATGCCAAGATCATGACTGAATAATCAATTAGTAAAATTATACTTACATAATACTTGATGCGCACTCAATCTCCTTCTAGGGTCACGAACAAGCATTCTTCGCACTAAATCTTTTGCACTCTCTGAAATGGTAGGCCAGGGGTCGGAAGAAAAATCAAGATCGCCACGCAGAACCTGTTCAAATATTCCTTGTTCGTTTTCTACACAAGCAAACGAGCCACAGAATGATGAAGGGGAAAATTAATAATCAGACAAAGATAGTGGCATAAATTTATAAGAATGGAGATTAAGATTACAATGTCCAAATAAATGCAAAAGATCTCACCAGCCCAAAATGGAGGTACTCCACTCAAAAGAATGTAAAGGATAACACCAGCACTCCACACATCTGCCTCAGGACCATAACGCTTTCGCAAAACTTCAGGGGCAACATAGTAGGGGCTGCCCACCACATCAGAAAAGATATCACCTGGAAGTGAAATATCATTGGTTTTTCTCCATGGAATCAAATTACTTCTTCAACTTGTACAAAGCTTCAGCTAAAATAACGAACAGGCTCATGATTCACATAATACTAGAAATCTGATTGTGTATACACACCCACATGCATGCAGAATTACTCTGATAACAACCAATTGAACAGAGGTAGAAAAATTGTATGATAGATTGATAACAACTATTACAGAAGTGAACTCCCCCTCTAATCTCAGAGCAGAAGCCCCTCAGAGAAACTAATTCTCTAGCCCTAATCACAAAACCCAAACTACAATGAAAAATAAAAACACTGAACATAGACCATCAAATCTTATTTAAATGGTCATGAATAAAATATCAATGCATGCTCACAATAACCCGTCAATCAGGAATCTAATTTAGTATTTTCGTTAGGTATTAGAAAGGAATTGAAATGAAATAATATCAATTCAAATAGATACAAAAGAGAGGGATGTTCAACTATCAAGATAGAGATAGATCAAGAGGAAAAAAATTGAGGATTTCACATAGTACTTTTGGACAAAAATTGATCTAATTTATTTCATACTTTTTGCTCAAAAAAAATGGGTCAGATTCTGTATTAAAACTTCTAATTTAACTGTGTCAATATCTGGCCAAAATTAACTCCTCTCACTAAAATGCTCCATATATGTACATATATGATTTTCTTATCAAATGGTTATATAGTCATAATAATACACAATAAATGAATATATAGTTGGAAAATTAACAGCTCACCAGATCTAATCTAACACTAATTCCAGTGTACAGAAATCTTTTTAGATGGTTACAAACAAAATTTGAGGATGGAAGGTAAAATACTAAAAGTAAAAGAAACACACATCCCAAATTTAGATATGATAGCACATACATAGACTACGATGACGTTTTTCTCAAAGAATTCATATCTGTTTTGCATGTAATGCTCACAGAAATTCTCAGAATCTAAAAAGGGCATGATGTTTTTGCCAGGAATCTAGAACATAGAAGACGAAGAAGTCTACTAAACTTAAAAAATGTCAAAAAGGCAACAAAAATTATCCAGCCCTTTAAAGATTACAAAGTCTGTAGGACAAATGAAGTTAACAAGTTCATACACATGCAATAGCAACACATTGTATATTGTCAAATGAAAAACACCTTAAAATATTAGTCCAATTCTATGAAAAATATTGCCCGTAAAATATTCAGCAAATCACGAAATTTAAAATAATCAAAAGCTTGCAGATCAAATTCAGCATCCAATGATCTCCATCCCAACCGTGCTCCAGTCCTGTCTGAGTGTATGTACTCATAAAAATTTAACCATTTTGAACTTGTATGCTCTTTTTTCCCAATTTTGCATCTCAACTTTTTAGTTTAATAAATTAAATCTATAAATGTTAGCATTCATTACAAATTAGTCATATCAGTTTGAGTTTTCATATTTTCTTCTCAATCTGACCATGTTAGTAAGTACAAATTGAGAGATAAACTGGCTTCTGATAAAATAAATGTTGAATTGAAAAAAAAAACATTTATTGCACTTTTTGATAAAATATATGTTTTCTTTCTTAGTAAAACCGTTTACTTTTAGTTGCCTAAAATCAACCTTAAAGACCAAAGTTAACAAAACCATTTATTTAATCACGACACATGTAAGACCGTTTGAAAATACCTGGCTTAAAGAAGACAGACAATCCAAAGTCAATAGTTTTTAGAAGTGAATCTTCTTGCTGATTGACAAAGAGAAAATTCTCAGGTTTAAGGTCTCTGTGCATCACACCAAGAGAATGGCAAGCTTCCACAACCCCGACTATAGTCCTGGTTAGCTCAGCTGCCTGTCTTTCAGTATAATGCCCACGCTGAATAATCCTGTCGAAAAGCTCTCCACCTGCACACAACTCCATCACAACATGAACAGCCACAGCATCTTCATATGCACCTTTGATGGATATAACATTAGGATGCCCAGCCAAGTGGTGCATTATCTGAATTTCTCTTCTCACATCTTCAACATCATCATCTGTTACAAGCTTCCTTTTTGCAATAGATTTACAGGCATACTCGTGTCCTGTTGCCTTCTCCACACATAAGAATGTCATCCCAAACTGACCCTGTCCAAGTTTTCTCCCAAGAGTGAAGAACTCCTTCAAATTATCAGTTTCTCTTTGCAACACGGAATCAACCCGAAGCCCTGCACTAGAAACTCTCTTCACCGAACCATGTTTCCTGTGCTTCTTCTTCTCCTGCTCCTGCTCCTGTGCTGGTTCTATTTCTGATTTTGCCTCTTGTTTGGATTCTGGTTTCGGCATAGTTATCTGTTCAGGAGGTTTGTTTTGGACAGGCAAAGGCGATTCGGGCACACTAGTAGCTTCCTCTTTTACAGATTCTCTATTAGACACTGATTCATCGGGCAAATTAGACCGCCAAATAGCAGCGGAAACTGATTGAACAAAACCATTTTTCGAAATGCTAGGACCAACACAGGTGTTCCCCATATTGCTTCACACTGAATAAATTTGTGCTACAGCTAACAAATATCCAACTTTCATCACTCGGATCTAAAAGCCTACATCATCTGTAAACACAAGACACAAGATCTGTATATGAACTTCAAGTCCTTCTTAATGAGCATCTAAGTCAAACCCATATATTGAACCAAAATTTTGCTACAACAATCAACAAATCCAAAGATTCATCACTATCCAACAAAGGGGGAGTTAGCTTGGACCGGAAAGCAGAAAGAAAATCTTTTCACTTTTCAGACAACCTTAAAAAATCCAATAGAAAATGATTGATATTTACAATAAAAGTCACAGAAAAGGGGGGGAAGCCATAAACCAAAAAAATAGCAAATGGCAATGAATAGTTTGAGAAGTTGAACACCCAAGTCAGTGAAAAGAACAAAGAATCGAACTTTATAGAGTTTCAGGGATACCCTTTGAAAGAATAAAATTGTTATCAAAAGAGCAGAAATCAGAAACTATAAAGACAAGATAATAAATGTAAAGAAATTAGAGAGTAAAGGGTGGCTAGAAGATAGAGAAGTTAAAGAATGAAGCATAAAGAAAGGGTAAGAGATTAGACCAACCTTGAGTTCAGTTGATGTTTATGAATGGCAAAGATAGATTGGTAGATATACTGTTTTCTGGTTCGGTTGTTGTGTTGTATCTCTTGGACCATGTTCTACTGCTACGTTTTCCTCTATTTATTTCTAAGTTTTCGTGCCATACACATTTTTCCAAATATTTGGACAAATATTCATATTTGATTTACCAAAATATAATTAAAATTGTTTATTAATGTAATTATTTAATAAATTATATTAATATATTTTGTTAGCATTTTGGAAAATATTTTTTAATATACAAGATGAAATATTTTTTATTATATTTGAATCTAGACTGAATCCAACTTTTTTCTTGAAACCCTTCTTTTAATGGGAAAAAGAGAAATTAAATTGGGAAGAATCTCCCTCAGATACACTTTTAATTTCTTATTACAAAAAGAGGTGCCAAGATAATGGAGAAAAAAAAGTTTTATTTTCTATGTCTTTTCTGGTACACTGAGGAAAGAAAAGAAACATACTTTTCTATGTAATAAACAAAAAATAATTTTGAATAACTTATTTTGATTTTTTATTAAAAAAATTGTGTGGATTTTTTTTGAATCTATTATTATCATGTCCAATTCCTTGTCACGTCTTTTTGAAAAATATTAAACTAATTGTTAACTTTTTATAAAGTTGCTTGAATTTATAAAATTTAAATTTATTTGATTTTTAGTTTTTGGCAATATTTAATTTTAATTATCATAATTCAACGAGGAGAGTTTATTATATACATTTTGAATGCCATTCAAAATTATTTTTATTATAAAAATCCACAAATAAAAAAAATGTGGTGTTATTTATTTCAAATATTATTATTAAATTATATATGTTTTTATTTTAAATGACTGATTAACGATTTTGTTTTTTTATTATAAAAATTCTGCAATTTAATATTCAATTCTACATACATTTATTTATTACCTTTTAATTAAATAAATAATTTCTTGGTAGTATACTAAATGAGTATATAACTAAATTTCAGTTAAATCAAATAAACGAAATAAAAAGGTACACAAAATTATAGATTAAATCAAAATAGTTGGTTTGTAATCACTTAAAAGAATAGAAGGATCAAAATCGTAAATAACAATTAAAAGAAAACCCAAATTACAATTTAGTCAATTAAGTAGTAATAAATATTTAAATTATACAAGGATTATTAATAATATTTCAATGTGAATAAATCGTTATTCTGAATTACATAAGTAATTAGTACTATTTCAACCAAACATGGTACCAAATTTTACAAATATAATCGTTAAGATATATATTTTAACTACGAAATTAATAAAAGTTTATTGAAAAAGTGAATTTTTCCATTTTTATGAAATGATAGTTGTTTGTCATTCTGAAATTATCTCTATCTTTATAAAAAAAAAAAAAATGAGTGCATAAAAAGAGAGTGGCATTTTCCATTTTGTGATATTATAATATTTAAGGCAGTGTTTGCGTAGGTTAGTGGGAAAGCGCGAGAAACGCGTTTTTTGTCGAATGCGCTAATTCCGGGTTTAATGTTTTGACTGAATTTTTGATTTATCCTTTAAATTTATAGATAATTAAATTATTCATTCAATTGTTTTAAAGTATAATAATGAATCTTTACACAGGTATTTAACAAATCAAAACTATTTTTATATTTAATTTTTGTTTTTCTTGAAAATGATATTCTATCAAAATTCTAAGAAAATGATAAGTAAAAATCTAATATTTCAAAGTAAAATAAAGTTTTATTAAAAAATACTATATTTTTAATCATTTAAGAATAATAAATTATTTTTAATAAAAAATAACATTTTTATTTTATTTTATTTTATAAATATATGAATAAGAAGAATGATATTTTGAAAAAAAATCTTTAAAATAATCGACTTTTATTAATATGATAATAATTTATTTATTTTTTTATTAAATTATTTTGTAATTATTATATTAATAAAAGTGAACTATTTTAAATTTTGTTTCTTTGTGTGATTGTGAAAATATCAGTTCACTATGAATAAATACCCGTAATCCACTAAAAATACGGATTCAAACACTAATTGACCATAAGAAGGTTGATGGTATTGCTTTTATAAATAAAGATATTGACATTATACTCATCAATAAATTATAATTTTGTTAATTATTGAATAATTGAAAAGACATATAAAAATAGGTAGTTTAAATAAATTCATAAATTTATTCATAAAAAATTTCAATTAACTCAGTTTTTATATTTCTTTGATATATATATAATATTCAAACATAACACAGATGGTACTCAAGTATATATACAATTTATTAGAGGAATCAATACCCAAATTGCAAATAGTTATAAAGTTACAGCAACCAGATTGGAAAAGAGAATTTGGCTTCAGTTATGTATGGATATTAATGGAAGCTAATTCCAACTGATATAATTGAAGTTCCAGAAGATGTCTTGTTCAAGCAGTCTGTATGAGTGGCACAATTACAGGTACCAATACATTAAAATTTGTTGTGCCTAAACCTTTAGGCATTCCAGTGCCTTCTCTCACTCTGAATTACTTACTCTTCAGGGTAAGTTTCCTCTGGATCCAAGTGCAAGTAGCAGGTGTTCTTTTCAAAGCTTTTATCCCAAATGGATTGTCTAGACTCTGTTGCATGCATAGAGAAAAATTAACATACTTAGGAAATGAACTTCAAACCAAAATACTAATAGTCACAAGTAAGTCCAGAAACTCCATGTTGATGTAACAGGTGTGAACTATTAGCTAATTTTCTTCAATGACTAATTTATGCAAATGGGATTTCTCAATGACCAATTGACTTGTTCAGTAATGAAGAAATCATGTTAACACACTCATTAACATATGTAATCTTGAGATATTCTTAGTAGCATTGGGCTAAAATTCAAGTTTCATCTCAGTAGTTTGTGTAATAAATAAAGATTTGTGTCAAAGATTAGTAGTAAAACTACAAGTCTTAATAAAGAACAATACTAAAAACAAAGATTTGTGTACTAATTATGAGTTTTAACCTTTAATTTAATGAGCCTCACTTATTGTTTAGTAAAGTTTACTGAATGCCAACCCATAAGAGTGCATTAGCACTAGTAATGGAAGAGGATAGATTACCATTAGGCAGGATCCAGATGTGGTATCACAGATAGGGAACTCAGGAGGACAGCAACTGGACTTGTCATCACAGCATGTTGCAGACTCCATGGGGCAGCATCCCCATCCAAAGCAGAACCCCTTATAATCAAAAAGGCAGCAACATGTGGTTCCAGGGGAGCAAGAGTAGTATTCATCACATACTGATGAAGGGGTTGCAGGAGTTGGGGGAGAAGGACCAGGATTTGGGGGGTTAGCACCATTCTTGATGGGGTAGGATGCCTCCATTGCAATCCCACACTTACCAGTTTCACTATCCAACACATTTCTCTGTAGCTTAATGTAACCATTTTCACCCCATTGTGGACCCCAAGAATTCCTCACTAGCCAGTAATCAGTACCTTTTTCTGTTCCATACCCAACTACTGCAACACCATGATCTAGATCTGTTCCACACCGGCCAGTAAAAACACCCTGCATCAACAAATATCAAGAGGAAGATAACTTTAGAAACAGTTATGATATATGAGAGAAAACACTATGGTAAGAAGAGTAAAACAATTTTACACTATATATCATTTAATCACATATCACCATATATTGTAAACAACCATCTATGATTAGTTTGTTAGCATTTATTATAACTACACCCTACAAATCATCTAACCAGTGCTTCCTGATTGAATAACAAATGTAAAACTGTTTTACATTATCATTAAACTCATGATATCTTCCATAGTTATACATCTAGTTATTACTTTTCATTTCTCTTTATCTTTCTCTTATTTCATTTATATAAACTATTGTATTGGTAGGAGAGGAGTTGATCATACTCTCCATACACCAGTTTCCTTAAAACAGTCATTCAAATTTCATGTCAAGTCAATACCATAAAAAATCCCAAGTCAGAACATATAAAAGGTTAATATTAGACAATAATTATAGAAATGGCTAAAACTGGTAAATAAGACTGCATATTACCGACTGATAAAGTTGAAATTCCCTGCCACCAGCTTCAACGGCAACACTAACTGGTTGATTTGCAACAGCCTTCATCAAAGATTTCTCATCATTGGATGGGACATCTTCATATCCATCAATGGTAACAACGCGAAAATTTTTCTGAAAAAAGAAAAATCATGTAAGTTAATATCTAACAAATGCGTTTGGATAACATACAGAAACCATTCTAACCTTACAAAATCATGACAGTACCATTTAAAAATATAGATTATTTATTGTTTTAGTTTCATCATTAAAAATTAATTGATTTTTCCCATCATAAAACTATTCCAAACACATTATAAGAAATATTATATGCAGAGTGATTCCTAATTAGTTAATGATTTATATATGTGAGGTAATCCTTTTTAAAAGGGTAAGCTAACTATGGCATATCTTAAAGAAAGACTAAAAGGATAGACATGTACCCTGTTTGCATCACATGTATTATCACGAGCTGTGTAGGGGTAATCCTCTTCTGTGTCAATGCCTCCATTTTTTACTATAAAATCAAAAGCATAGTCCATGAGACCTCCATTACATCCCATGTTGTAGCTTTTGTCACAGTCCACCAATTCTTGCTCTGACAGAGTGGTCAGGTTGCCTGTTACAATTTGATTGATTCCTTCCACTGCTGCAACCGTGGAGAATGCCCAGCAACTCCCTTCATGGAGACACCAAAAGTCAATTAAATTATGAACATTGATACATTGACAACTAAATCTAAAACTTTTATCTATTTCTTCTTTTCCTTAATCATTTTCAATCAATCACCAAACACATTGCATGTATATCACAAATCACAGCTTGTGCATGATGTGGGGTTCTCACTTGGAGGAAAAGTATCATTTAATCAAATATAACTATTTTGGAAAAAAATGCCACTCATTTACTTAACTTTTAAAAGTAATAATTTTTCTTTAAATTATAGTTTTTAAATATTTATTAAAATATGTTAACATATTTCAACAATTATATTATAAGAAAAATCATTTAATAATATAAAAAATAAAGCTTTTACTCACACAACTTAATTTCTATGAAACTTATACGATTCATTATTTCAGAAATCATGGTATATAAATCACATTTATTGATAATTTTTTTGTTTCTTACGTTAATCCAATTTTCATAGAAAAATTCAAACTTTGAATTATCCTGTACAAAATTGTAACAACAACCACGATTCAAAACCTAACCTTAAATCAAAACCAACAAAAGTTCAACAAAACTCACCACATTGGCCTTGATCTTTGACAGGGGCAACAGCGCCCTTCTCCCTCCAATCCACCATGGCAGGAAGCTCCTCTCCACCGAGAAAAGCATAGCGGCCGCTCTTCCTCGTCGTGGCCCTATTCCGGGTACCCAAGAACAAAGCCCTATACTCTTCGTTGGTGAGATCGGCGAACCTGTTCAACCCAAGCTTGAACTCCTTGTTCCCCGCCCCACTGTTGTGCTCCTCAACGAACCTCAAATTATCCCTAAAAATTTGGAACCTCCTCTCCTTCTCCCCGATGCCGTTGTAGACCTTGCCGTGTTTCACCAGCCAGGCCTCGTACGTGTTCCGCACGAGCGTCTCGTCGTAGTCGATAATGGACATGTCGAGGGCGAAGGAGCAGAAGGAAAGAGAGCAGAGAAAGAGCACGATGAGAAGAGCATGGCGGGAAAGGAAACGTGAGTTTCCAACTAGGGCTTCCATGGTGGATTATTGGGAATGATGATGAAGGTGGATTGTGGAGAATGATGCTGAAGGTATTTATAGTATGAATGCATGAAAATTTGTTGAGAAATTGAATGGAACAAGAGCTGAAATCGGAGAGATGAATGAACGTGGGCCTCATGCAATGCATGTACGTCCATAAATAGATCACTCTTAGCTTGATTAGGGCATACAAACAGAATTATCTTTTTTTTTTTTCTTAATTTTTAGTATTAGATATATTTTTTGTTTGTTAACAATCTTTTTATTGGCTAATTTTTTATAAGTGATTTTTTTTTTCTGTTTTTATATCACGTTGTAGAAAGATTGTAATTTTAGACTAATTACCAAAAATTTTATATATATGTAAAATAGATTTTTTTTTATCAAATTGAACTTTAAATTTAATATATATATATATATATATATATATATATATATATATATTTATTTGAGATTCTAAATAAAAATAATTTTATTGATTAAAATTCAAAAACTATAACAGTGGAAAAATGAAACGAACAATCAAAGTACCATTTAATATTTTCTTTACTTATTATATATAGCAACAAACGATAAATGAATTAAATGCGAATAATAGTTAGTTAAAAAACAGGTGTATAATTATCATAAATTTTGTAATATGTGTTTAATTCTTACGTAAATGTAAATCAAGAATCCTATTGAAATCTATATTTTTATGGTATAATAAGTTATTAATATAAATAAATAAAAAATATTATTTCTATCTTATTTTTTAATTACACTTTTTTTTATATTTCCTCTCATCTTAAAAAAATCTACCATTATTCTTATCGAATAATACATAATTTTAAAAATAAAAAATTATATTTTAATATTAATATATATATATATATATATTATATTTTAATTTATTAAAATAAAAATATATAATATAAAAATACAAACATGACTTCAGGATTTTCCACTAATAAAAACTAATATATATATATATATATATATATATATATATATATATATATATATATATATATATTCAACTTGGTAATTAATAATTAATTTGAGTTTTTGATGTGTCTTTATCTTGTCACGTGATTGATTTAGTAGATAGTCATAGTGCAATCTTTTTTAAAATTAATTATATTTTTTTCAAAAAATACTAAGATTATATTATATTTAGATTCTTTTTAATAAAAACTTAAAAAAAAAATTGGTTGGAATGAAAAATATTTTTTGCAAACTAAAAGTTCATAAGAAATATTTAAAATATTTTATAAAAAACGGTAAAATTTAAAGATAATATTTCTTTTAAAAAATTTATTATTTTTTTCAGAAAATGCGTTTTACTTTCGAATCCTTTATTTTACTGTAAAAATTTGAATTTGTTGTGTTTGATTTTTTTTAATTGGAAAATTTGAAAAGGGTAATGTAATTTAAAAAGACACAAAAAAAAATAAATAACATCTTCACTCTGAGTCGGATTTTCACCCTCCTGTGTGATGATCAGTGCTATCATCTTGCCAAAGCCCTGTCGCTGCCACCGCCATTGCTTCGCTCCGGAGCATCTTTCTCGTCTTATCATTGAAATCGTAACGCGTGCACAAAAGAAATATTTGAATGTGAATCTTTCCGCTGTAGCATATTGTTCAACACGTTTCAGAGTAAATCTTATCTCACCTATCCCAACTCACTTCTCCACAACCACGATAATATTGATCGACGTATTTGGATAAACATATAAATACTTTGAGAACATAAATTCAAAGAAAAAGATAAAATAAGTCTCCATAATTTTAATTCCAGTAGTTGTGGTTAAATAAAATGGTTGTGCTATTGTGTTTCACGATATATCTTTGCAGGTCCTACTTTTGCATCCTGATAATAAAGAATTTATTTATCGGAATTGTATAGCTCTACAATCATCGTCAGGTTCTACTTACCTGGAAAGTATGCATTTTTTCCTTTTATTGTTATTATTGTTGGTTAGAGGTGACTTGGTTATATCTATTTATGGTTACTTAGGCAATGTGGAAACTGTGAATTGAGAAATTTTCTATGATATAAGTTTTAGTTTGCCTATTCTGTTTCATAAGGACAAATGATACTAGTAATTACTACACCTAGCTGATAGTAAGTACATTTTACACTATTCTATAGACCTTGTCTTGTTCGTTTTGGACTATGGTGGTGTTAGTTTAATTTTGATTGGAACCTTTAATTATGCTAAGTGTTTTTTTTTTAATGATTCACATCATAATGTGTCTGTACAATGTAAAATTGTAAACTAATGTTTGTTTTATTCGCTTAGTTCGTAAACATGGTTGCAGAAGGAACCAAAAGGCCTCAAGTTTCATTAGCTATACTTCCACCACCTCGGAAAATTAACGTGCAGAAATATGCTGAATCCCGTGCCCTTGAGCTCCAGAGTCTTCAATCTATCATAGAAAATAGAGTAAACAGTGATTATAGGCCTCAAAGGAACAAGAGAAGAAGAACAACTGCGTTTGATAACCAAATTGCAAGAAAAGGGTGCAGAAGAAATAGGCAGAAACTGGGAATATTAAATAAAGCCCTTTTTGAATCAGGGTTTGGAGAAGGATCAACTAAAGAAGCTTCATCGGCGTGTTCGGCGAAGATATGAACTAAAGAAAAACCTAGAGAATGGTTTTTGCACTTCTGGGGATGGAACCAAGAGGCTGAGAACTCATGTTTGGCATGCAAAACGGTTTGCCATGACCAAGCTTTGGGGTTACCATCTTCCTTTGTGTGTTCAAGGACGGTAGGTTTTTTGGGTTAAATGGAAAATACAGAAGAGTCAATGGGAGAACTTGAAGCTAATTAATTTCATGGTGTAGTTGTTGGGATGTACTTGAATTATATCATGGAAACCTGATCCAACAAGCATATGAGTGTTTTATCATTTCCTTGGAAACACTAACAAGGATTGTGCATGTGCTTATGCAGAGGGAAAGGTTCGAGGGCACTCTTGAAAAGGCTCAAACAAGGGGTGCTTATACACGATGCAAGCTATTATACTGCTATCCAATTGGAGGGTCCAGAGGTAGTTTATTTTAGTTTTAATTTTAATAATTTTGTTGGAAGTTTTCTCTTATTATTGTTCTGCATCTGAGTCTAAACTCACTAAGGTATTGTTCTGATTGAAACATATTGAAATGCATGCACCAAATAATTATTCTGGGCTCTCAGCCCTAAAAAGCGTTGGTTTAATTTTTTGTTTTATTTATGGTTGACTCTTGTATACAGGATTCATTAATGTCGGTATTAAGGTTGGTACTAGAACCCCCTCCAGCAACAATCACATATCCTGGAAATCATGATGACTCTGTTCTTTCCAGTGTAACCTATGGAAGTGCAATGGTAGGTAACCTGTTTCTCACCCTAGACTGCCAGATTGGTTTGGTTTAACTAAAATAATTCTAGTTTCTTTACAGCTGCATCAAGTTGGATCCCCCATGTCTCTCCCAATTGCTCCTGTGACTTATATGTGGCAACCATTTTCCCAGCAAAATATGAGTACACAGCTAGATGGAAGAGATCATTGTACTTCTTTTCAACAAAATGGTGTCAGTAATGATTCAAAAAGACACGATGTTGAATTATGTGAAAATTCAAACAAAATGAAACATGATTCTTCATTTAGACACCTGTGGGTGTGGATACATGCTTCTGCCTTTGAAGAAGGATACAATAATCTAAACATTGCCTGTCAGAAAGGGGTTCACTTTCTTTCTCAGCTTCTTACATGGACCTTCCAAATGTATTTTGTTTGTTCTATTGTTTTTTCTTGTAGTTTGTGTTATAAACCCAAAATCAGAGTCTCAAATTTCAGATAGAAAGGATTGAGAAAACACAGTTGTTTCAATAATGAAAGTACTAAAGAGAGTATTCTCCTTCCAACTAAAGCTAATACTCTTTTCCAAATTGCTAAGATTGTTAAATGAGGATCTTACTTCCCTACTACTATTTAAGCTAACATTAAAGTCACATATTGCTAGAAGACTAATTCATTACCAAATCCTTGTCCTGAAAGCTTTAAAATTTCAAACTCTGACTCAATGAGTAATTCGTTTGGTGGAACTGTAGTTAGGACAGGTTGTAAGCTGACCACTTTCCTCAATGAAACCAAAGCTGGTCAGTTGTTATTGTTTTCATATGCAGCAGACGGAGAGGCTAGAATATCTAAGTTTATTAATGGAGAACTAAAGTTTGATCCAAGGTACACAAACTATGTTTTCTAAGGGTTCATCTTCATCCATTTAAGGAAGGATATTTTGAAGAGGGTTATTTGTGCACCAAATCCTTCTGATCTATTTTTATGGACTTCAAGGTAATTAACATTGAAATTATGAATTCCTATTTCAAAGGAGTTATCTTTCTTTTGCCAATTTATCAATTGATTATGGAATGGAATTCATGAAAGAACAGCAACTAACAAAGCAATTGATTTCCTTAAATTCTTTTTAATGATTCATGTGTTGTTATACATATAATTTCTGGGGTTTTACTGATCCTTCAAGATGAAATGAATTCATTTTACTCCCGTTGCTTGAAAAAGATATTAAAATTAAATTTTTAGTGCAGAGTAATATAAATATCTTAAATACCAGTCTTTATGTTGTGTATATTATTGCAGTTCAGAGAGAAGTGAAGATGGACTTCAAATGTCCCAGTCTGCAATAAGATTATACTTCAAAGAACACTCTTCTGGTAGATGGGAAATGCAGATACCAGAGGATTCAATTTCTAGCAAGTCTCACCGGTGCTCTATTGGTTTTGTCACAACAGCCTCCGTTCAAAGAAGGTTGTAAATCCTTATCCATTTTTTTACTTTCAATCCTTTACTAGTCTCTGCAAAATATTGACAAGAATATTTAAATATCTCTTTGTTGGGAATCTTACCAAAAGTTAATGTCATTGCAACAAGAGTCTTGTAGCCAAGGGCTTCTGTGAGGTTTTTTTACTATCTCATTTAAGAGAGGAACAATAGAAGGAGATGCCTATGAAGCAGAGAAGGAGGGAAATATATGTACTTGTCAGGAATTTGAGATCTACAGCTTATAGACTCGCACTTGCTTCCATTGTTCTTGAATATAAGAAAAATGACATTGGGTACTTATAAATTGATTTTATGCTGGACTAAACTGTGCAACCTGAGTCTCTACAAAATCGAATAGTCAAAATTTTCCTTACCAAAAAAGAGGACAGCGATGGAAACATTTTGAACTTTTATGTATCTTCTGTATAATCCAAACATTTGAAATTATCCATACCTGTAACTATTGCATTTCACTCCTATAACTTTCATTCTGGTTTTGTTTTCTCAGGGGAAGACTCTGTAAATTTTTTTGTTGGTATAAATGATGATTTCAGCCAACAATTTATGCTAACGTGTTGAACTGTTATGGATGTTTTCTCGGCGTCAGTATACTTCCACACTGTTCCATACTAAACAAAGAAGAATATAAGAAAATTTCTTGTTACTGATACTTGAATCCTGACTTAATACAAAATACCTAATTAAATTTAGGTTTTAAAATTATTATACTCATACTAAATAAAATAAAATAATGACATTGGTGCATAAATGTGCGCATATACATTCACCCATAATGATTTTATATAAAAAAATTCTCTATAAAACACAAAATAAAAGTAAGTAGAGTTAAAAAAAAACATGTAATACAAAAATTTAAACTATATATTATACAACTAATTTCTTTAAATTATATTTTTAAGTTAGTGTATATATATATATATATATATATATATATATATAATAAAAAAATAACATAAAACAGATCATATTTATAAAAAATAATAAATGTATTATTTAATGAATTTCACATTTAAAAACAATTAATTATTTTGACTTTAAATTATTTTTATTACTTTAATTATCTGTATTAATATTTTCCATTTTAATATAAAGCTAGCCTTCATTAATGATAAAAATAAAACATACCAGCAATAACAATAATTTAAAAATAATAAATCTTTAAGAAATTAAAACAAAAAAATATTTAAAAAATTTAAAACATATCTTAGCTTAAAGAGGATATCAGTAAGATATAATTAAAGACATCATATTTATTTATTATAATTTCAAATTACGTATTCAAAACATTTTTATTATAAAATTTAATTAAATATATCATTATTCTTAACATGTGAAAACATTAGTTATAAAATATAATTGATATATAATAATATATTTTCTCATTATAAATTTTAATCATAAATTTTTTATTATTATTCTATAAAATACAAATATTTTAAAAGTTACTTTTGATTAAAAATAAAAACGTATGTTCAAACGCTGTACCCCTAACACGAGTATACATCGCATTGGGTTTATTGTTGAAATTCCGGAAAAGTCCCTTCCTTGTTAAGCAACCCTTCTTACTTATTATAAGTCTGAAAAGTGACGGTTTACACCACTCACTTTCTCACTCACCACCTCTTCTCCCTCTCTCTATATATACACTCCAATTCTTGTTGTTCTCTGAATTTCAGTTTCTCTTTCTTCCAACATGACTATGATGACTTCGCCTCCATTGGATGTAAATTATTGTTTTCTTTTTTAATTTTATGTTTCAATTCAATTATATTGCAATCAATTACTTTATCTTGCTCTTGCATTCCTCTTTTTTTATTTTTTTTATTTTTTTTTCTGTCAGAGAGATTGTTAGGGTTATAACGTTCATTTCTTAATTTTGTTGTATTGCGTGCAGCAACAACAGCAGCACGATGGTATGCAAGTTCCTCACGGTCCTGAACCTATGGAAGGTAATTGTTTTGATAACGATCATTGTTGGAGACTTGGTGAATGAGTATTTCATGTTGTGATATCGAATTTGATTATTTAATCATAACGTGTCAATTGAGTTTTATTTTATGTTATGTATTTTTGAAGTGGCTGGTGCAATTCTTTATGAATGTTTAGGAATACGAATTGGAAAAATATGGTGGTGTTTCTGTAGTAAGTAGTGAAACAGAAAATATTTGTTTGGAGGGTGGGGTTGGTGACAATTGACATACATTCATGTTGTACCTTTATTATTTGTACTTGAAAATATGAGTGAGTGTGTAAGGTTGGTTGGGTTGAATGGTTGAATGCCATGGAAATGCAAGTAGCGAAATATGGTAATTTTCTTATCTTTTTATTTTGTTAAGTATTTCCTTACTGTTTCAATACTTGCAGCAGTTCAAGCAGAAAGCACGAATACAGTTACTGTTCCAACTGTCGATGATACACCATCTGCGAAATTCACTTGGACTATTGACAATTTTTCGAGTCTTCCTAAAAGAGTCTTTTCTGATGTTTTCTCTGTAGGGGGCTTTAAGTGGTATATCCATTTCTATCCTCAGTCATCAATCTTTAATGTTAATTAGATATGTGTAGGGCTTCCATGTTATACTTGTCATGAATGTTGAACGACACATTATTTTAAATGAACAGGCGGATACTTATCTTTTCAAAGGGGAACAGTGTTGACTATCTGTCAATGTATGTAGATGTTGCAGATGCAGACAGATTGCCTTATGGATGGAGTAAATTTGCCCAATTCAGCTTGACTGTTGTTAATCAAATTCATAGTAAATTTTCAGTAAGAAGAGGTAATACAGCCGCAATTAATATTCATTGAAATTTTTCTCTTTACAAAGTTGAATAATATGGGTCATTATATGTTTGACAGAACTAATCTAATGGTTATGTTTGTGGACCCTAAATATAAGTTAGAGAGTTTTGTTGCAGACCAAAACATTATGTCTTGTCAAATTAATGCCATAGCAGAATTAGTCATTTAATTCATATTAATTATTTAATGTGAATCAATGGTTGACAACTTTATTTAGAATCAAAACTGATAAACCTAGGTATTGTAGTCAGGCAATGAGAATCTTTGAATTTAATTGTTACTATAGCTTCATGGTAATAGGATGATGTGGTGAACAAAGAGATGATTAATTGAAACATGAATGATGTAATTGATTGAACTTTCCTGGTTCATGGTTTGGTAGCTCCAGAGATGATCATTCCTGTATAAAACTGACTCTTTAGTGTAATCAAGACTCTCTAGACTGGATCATGATTTTTTGTCAAGAAATTCCTCTCAAGGTGATGGCCCCTTTCTAGTTGTCTGCCTAAGCTATCTTTCTAGCAATTCATTTGTGCTTCTCCAACATCCCTGAGTAGTTTTTCCAGCTATTGTTTTTGGCATAACTCAATTTTTATGTTTTTGATTCATGGAAATTCAGCTCAAGAGAGAATAGGAAAATCTGAGAAATATCTTATGATATATTTTTTATATATTTAGAATGTTTTAGAGTTCTTGGTACGAAGACTCTTAAGTTAAGCCCAATTGAAATCCACTATGTCAGACACTCAGGGACCTCCCACAGTTCCATTTTTGTTCTGTTATAGGGACAATTCCCTTTGGTATTATGGAGAGCATGATGGGTCAGGTCCTTATGGTTTTAGGATCTGTTTTTTCTCCTTTCTGATATGTTTCAAGTTCTATTTATTTTAATTCCAACATTTCTCTATAGTATTTGTGAATTGTTTTTAATTATTTATTTATGGTATAATGTAATAAAATAATAATATCTATAACAATAATAAATATAATAGTATAAGCAAATAGAAAAATCTATTTAAACCATAATATAATATATAATAAATTAAATGATTTAATATTAAAGTATAATATATGATATAAAAAAATTTTTAATTATATTTTTAGTCCTTGAATATTGAGATAAATGATTTTTTGGTCTCTCAAATTAAAAAAAAAAAAGTTTATTTTAGTCCCTCAAATTTAGTAAAATATGATTTTATCTCTAAACATTATATTCAAAGGACTGAAAAGTTTTTAAAAACTCGTTTTAATCCTTCAAGTTCCTTCATTAAGAACTAAAATTATATTTTCTCAATTTTGAGGAATTGAAATAAACTTTTTTCAGTTGGGGGACTAAAATCAACATTACTCTAAATTTTAGTTACTAAAAACATAATAAGTCTATAAAATAATAGTATTTGACAAGTACAATAAACCAGCTAATAATAGTAATAAAAACTAAATAAAACATAATATATAATATAACATGCTAAATATTGACAAAAGTATCTAAATAATATATCAGTATATATATTAACATATATCTAATATATATTAGAAGTTTTCTGAATAGGTAAAACAATTCAAGAGTAGTGGTTATCCCGCCACTGCTAGTGACTATTATTACAAGCAACTTAAGTTCTATGACGTTTAGTACTAATTATTATTAGAGCTTGAGTTTTTAATTATTCTTCTCCTTTTGAGCATGAATATATCTATGTGTGTGCGGTGTGGGTGTATTTATGTATAAATTATTAATTATGAATATGTATAAAAAAATATTAGAATAACAGTCATCTCGCTATTTGTTACACAGGATTGACTAATATGAACAAAACTGTTGCTCCTCTCCTATATTTTGGCAACTATTATTAAATTTTTTTCTAATTATCTTACATGTTAAATATATTTTTTAATTGAAGTATTTTTCTTAAACTATAACAACTAAACATAGTTTTGTTAAATTATAAAATCTGAAAATGTAAATAGAAAATGAAACTGGTGTTTCTTTTATTGAGATAGAGGGTGAGTTTGGTGCTAAGGATAGGATTGCTATCTTATCTTGCTCAAATTAATTGTTTGGTGTTGTGATATGATATGATTTCTTTATCTTATTGTCTATCCTACCTGTTGGTGTAGTATATATCTTATTCCAAAGATAGAGTTTAGTTAGAAGGCAGCATGATTGGGTAGTAGACCACTTTCTTAGTCTCTCACCATTTCAGCTTTATTACAACCACTATTTCCATCCGCACCCTCCTTGCAATCACTGTTCTTTTTTTACCACTCTCACAGTCTTCTGTCATAGCAAATACCATCACTGTTAGCACCACCATCTTGTTATTGACACTACCATTGTCATCCTTGTCACCATCATTCTCTATATCATTACTATCACCACAACCTATTATTTGGTCCTTATCACGCTGATACCAAATAGCAGATATTATTAATTTTATTTTTTATTTTTTTATCTGATTGTGTTCTTATCGTACATTTGTATCCTATCATATCTTGATCATTAAATGAGTCCTTAATATTTGTGATGCAGATTTTTTTGTCGTTTAGGTGATGATTCTTTTATCAGCCTCTGAAACCATATTCTGTAGGGGAATATTCTTACTAATATGATTTTCAATCCCCTATTATTTATCTTCTTTGTAATTGATCTGTGTCAATTGTGTTTGTAATTTTAACTTTCAGTGATCTTATGTTATTGAGAAACTAATGAATTAAAATCTTCTTGTTTTACCTTTCCTATGTATTCATGTTGTCTCTGGTTCTGTGTTAGGGCCCATTTAGGTGGATTTATTTTGCAAATTTATATTCTGATTGAATGGAAACATCTGTCACAGTTACTATTTCTAATCAATTGTGTTTGGCAATTTATGTTGCTAGAATTTTATTTTTTTTATAATAAAGAAAATTTTGGAGATTATTCTTAAAAGCTAACAAATTAATTTACTTTTGTTTTTCATTCTATCCCCAATAATTGTTTAATTTAAATACAAACCAACTACTACAAATAATTCCATATCGTTTTTTGTAATTTTACTATGAAAGAAACATTTAATTTCAACAATTCTAGCAAAATAGTTGATCTTCACATATAAAGCATAAAATGTTTTTCACATTTTCAATTATAAAAAATATATGTATGATCGATTATTGAAATAATTTTTAAAGATAATCCACTCTCTCAACACACGTTTCTTTATCAGTTTTCTTTGATATTTAGGGAGGTTAAACAGTTTGTGACAGTAATTGCCTACTGTTCACTAAGTGTTTCATTTTGTCATGTGTTATATTAATGCTTAATACCTTAGTTATTTCATATGTTTACTGTTAGAAGTTTTCTTTTTGGTGAGTTCATGTTAGACTTGTGAGGTTGTGTCTATTATAAAAAAACTGTCTGACTTGGTAGAACATTCAAGATTGCATTGGTAAGATGTAATATCTTTACATATTAGTAAGACTAGGGACAAGTAGAAAAGGAAATTATCATCATTCAGAAAATTATTCTCTCTCCTCTAACTAATTCTCTGCACTAAGCATTATTCTACCATTGGGATCTTTGTTATAACTTTGGATTTTATTGGTCCTACGTAAAAATCCAAATCTGTTACACAATTATGTTGGATTTTGTCTCTTAGCTCTCAAATTCTTATTTGTTTGTGTCATGGATAATATCTTATCATCCTCATTGGCTACATTCTCACCCTCCCTTTCATTTTCTTATTCAGAAAAATAAAATTGATTATTTTTTCATATTCCAGAATGTCAACATCAGTTCAATGCCCATGAGTGTGATTGGGGTTTCATTAATTTCATGCCACTTGCTCAATTGTATGATTCTGCTAGAGGTTATCTAGTGAATGATAAATGCATAGTTGAGGCTGACATTGCTGTGCGTAAAGACTTGGATTGGTCATATGACTCGAAAAAGGAAACTGGTTATGTTGGATTAAAAAACCAAGGAGCTACTTGTTATATGAATTCTCTACTTCAAACATTGTACCACATTTCTCATTTCCGAAAGGTTAGCTGATGTTATATAAATTTGTAAGGTCTTGTTTTAAAAGTGAAAACACTTAAATATAAAATTAGCTCATGTATAAAAGTTCTTTTTCAGGCTGTTTACCATATGCCCACTTCTGAAAATGACATGCCATCAGCGAGCATACCTCTAGCTTTACAGAGTTTGTTTTACAAATTGCAGTTCAGTGACACTAGTGTAGCAACAAAAGAGTTAACCAAATCTTTTGGATGGGATTCATATGATTCATTCATGCAACATGATGTCCAAGAACTCAATAGGGTTCTCTGCGAGAAGCTAGAAGACAAAATGAGGGTATTGAGTTATTTTATATTATTTGTTTGTTGTTATATCTTGTTATAGTATCTTTTACTCTACATACTTTTTGTTATTTTATGATAATTTTTTGTTGTTATATCTTGTTAAAGTATCTTTTACTCTAGATACTCACTGTATTTTTATTATGTCTTGATTGTATTTTTTTTTTTCATTATCTATATCTTTCTTTCAATATGTCTTCAAGTTTATTTTAATATTGTTTAATCTTTGCCAGGGAACTGTTGTAGAAGGCACTATACAGAAATTGTTTGAAGGCCACCATATGAACTATATTGAATGCATAAATGAGGATTATAAATCAACAAGAAAGGAATCATTTTATGGTATGCATTTTTCCTTTAGGACGCCGTTGTTTACTACGTTATTCTATATAGTCTTTGGACCTTATCGAATATTGGATATTTTATTACAGATCTTCAACTTGATGTGAAAGGCTGTAAGGATGTGTATGCTTCTTTTGATAAGTATATAGAAGTGGAACGGCTTGAGGGTGATAACAAATATCATGCCGAGCACCATGGTTTACAGGTAAAACCTAAACCCATGTGTTTTTTTTTTCCTTTTGTTGACAGGCTGAACTTCATTAAGTGAATTATTTTATCTATATAGACATCTTTATATTGATCTTCCTCTATTTTGTTAACTGATTCTTTGGTTACTGTTTCACTTGTATGGGTATTGAACTTGTTGTGATCATTGTTATTTCCAATGTTGAGAGTGATTATTTTCCTAGAACATGATTTTGATTACAATTTCAGGATGCTAGGAAGGGTGTATTGTTCATCGATTTCCCACCTGTTCTACAGCTTCAATTAAAACGGTTTGAGTATGATTTTACGCAGGACACTATGGTAAAGGTTGGTATTTAATTCAAGAACCAATAAAATATCCCTTGCCTTTTGACTTTGTCATGATTTTTTTTTTTTTTTGAAATTATATTTTACTCGGATAGGATTTTTTTACTATTTCCTTTTCTAGTTGCAGTTAATAATTTTCTTTTGTAAATTATTTAGTTGAAGACCTTTCGCTTATTATTCTATGCACTTCATTTAATGGCCATTTATTAAATTTCTAACAGCAAATGTCCTGTTTGGAGTTCTATTTTGATTTTTATCCACTTAATCTTTGTCTCTCACAAAGTTTCAATTTTTATTGTATGCTTCCTCTCTTGCATCCGGGAATGTTTGTACCATATCCTGTTGTAAGCATTGTTTAAAACTTGAAAAGATGTGATTTTAACTTGAAATTTTAAACATAGAATATAGTTGTTTCAGTTTTAGATGCATTTTTATTTTCAGTCTTTCCTTGATTATTTTCTTTCATTAGACATACTATTATGATAATCTTTTTCTCAATTTATATTCTTGTAGTAATATGTTCTATTCCTTTTTGACAACTCTATCTAACATGGTCATTGATTGGCATCAGATCAATGACCGCTATGAGTTCCCCTTGCAACTAGATCTTGATAGAGATAATGGCAAGTATCTATCTCCTGAAGCAGACAGAAGTATTCGGAATCTTTATTCACTTCACAGGTATCTTAATTACTGAATACTATGCTAGAACCTTTTTTCTATGCAATGCCTGCTTGGAATAGCATGTTATGCTGCATCATGAAACTACATTTATGCTTCTGCCTTAAGTGGTGAAAATAGAATGGTTGAAAGTGGAGTGCAACTCACTTGCACCCTACCCCACAATGTTTGCCAGTCCTAAACAATGACTCAATGAAGGAACATAAAAACCTTTTTATTCTATGTTTTTGTTACTCTGTTTATTTTCTAACAATTTACACAGGTATAACCTAAAGCACATATTTAGAGGCAAAGTTATAGTTTGTGCTTGAAAAGACTGCTGGTAGACTCTAATATTTGACATGTTCTTTCCTTCTCAAGCCTTTTTGTGATAAAAGAGAAAATTGGTGGAGGGTAGTGTTATCAATTATGGGTTGTGGAAAAGGCAGAAATCCAATAATCTTCTATATCTTACCTTGGTCGGTATAGTGGGTATATGTCAGAAGTTTCATGACTGTGACAATGCAGCATGCCACAACCATGAAAACCATAGCAGTGCAATAATTGACATGGTGGAACGCCCACCACACAAAATGTTGACATTGTGTTACTAAGGAATTTCGCAGTGCAATGCTGCTACAGTGACTATGGCCAAAGTAGTTCTTATATGACTTGTCAATCCCCCCTCTTGAACTAGCTTTTGAGATTGAACAAGACTCAATTTATTTCTAATGAAAGAAGGAAAACTACATTTTCCACCATTGTCTTGAGGAGTCTTAAAGAAAAAGGGTTATGAGAACTAAAATTAAGGATGCATGGAGTGCTTGTGTTGGTGAAGTCACTGAAGTGGGTGTTACCTTTTCTGTATTTTTCTCCCTCTTCAGTACTGAGTGTTTTTATTGATATTTAGGTCGATTTGCTTAAATTGTTGTTGTATTTGTTAAGCATGGTTTTATTGAGAAATTTTGTTTATGTGATAAAGAACATGCAATTTTAATGACAAGTTCTGTATGACTTGACTTGGCTTCTAGCAAAGCCTTTATCTTATTGGATTAATGGATTTGTTAAGAGGTGTGTAAAAACATTCATGTGCCGTAAGACTACAAGACTAGCAGTGTGTGGATTGTTCTTGCAATAAGCTGTATCCTGATTTAAAATTTTTACTTTTCCATAGTTGTGCTGTTGGTCTGCTGATTCCCTTGCAAAGTCGAACTGTCTAAAGATGAACTACCTCATGTTATTAATATCTTGATGATGTCAGGCTATCCTCCCTATTTTTCCTTTGCTTGCAATCCTCCATAATTCAAGTTTAATTAATTATTTACTAGAGGTCTTTAAGTAATTCAATATAACACCTCCTAGACTTCTACAGTATATTTAGAAATTGATAACAACTTACAAATACAATAACATATTTTTCCTATTTATACTATCAGTTAGTTCTGTGCAAATCAAGCCAATAAACCTAATACCTCCACGCACCCTTCTTTTTAATTTTCAAAAACTTTCTATTTATCAATTTATGTGGATGGTATGAGGCAACACATTTTTTAATTAAGTTGGTACTATTGAAATACTTAAAGCTGATGTGTTGCAAAGGACTATAATCCAAACTGTGGCATCAAATAAACCAGTAAGTTGGTTGATGAACACATGGTTCTGAAGAAGATAATAGGGAGGTAGTGCAGGGACTAAATATTAGGATAAAACATGTTGATTGTTGGTGATTGTCTGACAGGCCAGAAATCTTTCAGATGTGGAATTTTCTTTTAGTGCCATTTTGGCTTTGTTTAAACTTTGAGCCTTGAGGTAAGGTCACTGAGAACTAGGTATAACTTGTTTAGGACCAAATTTATAATTTATCTATTTTTTGCATAATTGATATCGAATTTACTTGGTATTGCATTAGAGGTGGGGGTAGCCTTGAACTGTGAAGTATTTTATTATAACTACAGGTTTGCCTCACTGTTAACCTTGCCTTTACTTCTTTTGCTCAGTGTTTTGGTTCACAGTAGTGGGGTGAAAGGTGGACACTACTATGCTTACATTAGGCCAACACTATCAAATCAGTGGTACACTCTTTTGAATCTTTCAGTATTTATATATGTATTATAATGTTCATCTTACTATTCATTGTGCACTTGTTTATTATCATGAAAGAAGTAATATTTTCTATTATGAAACAGGAAAATCAGAGTCATATGCATTGACATCCTACAGTCCTAGTGTTGCTAAAACTTTAAATATGACTAGTTAATGTCTCCTATCACATTCAATTTCATTACTGTCAAATTTATTCTATTGTAATTTTATCATGTTTGTTACATTAAATTAATAGAAGGTTTTGAGGTGTTCTAGATAATTCAGTTAGTGTTATATGCTTGGTAGGTAGTTAGTGGGCAGTTAACTAGTTGCATGTAATTGTACTGTAGTTAGTGGACATCACCCATATTTTTTGTTCTCTCTCCCTTTCCTTATATGTTTCTGTTCAATGTGTGTTCTACCCGGAGGTAAAGAGAGGATAAGTCTTGTTAATTGTTGAACAATATTTTTTGGGTGCTATAGAGATTTCTTATTGTTTTCTAAGACTATTTACATGAGTGGTTGGGCGTCAATAATCAACAATTTATTTTTCTTTGTGATATGGTAGTATAAGAGGGCATTGATGTTTGATTTTCATTTTTGTTCATTTTTTTTTTCAATTAATTTCTTTCTAATATTGGAATTGTCAGTCACAGCTCCAGATACAGTCAGTTTATGTTTTCTTTTATAATGATTGTTTTTTTTTTCAAAATTAAATTAAAACCACACAGTTCTAACATCCATGCTTATACATTCACAATAAAGCTGTGAAAACTGTCATTGTACCTTGATTAGTTGGTAAAAGTTTCATCAACTTTGTTTATGGTTTTATGATGTAATGCTTGTGTGGAAGTGTTCGTATATCTTTACCACATACGTTGATGTATTTATAAAAATGAAAGGAAAACATAGTTTGCTTGTTTTAATGATCCAACTTTCCGAAAAGCTTAAGCTGTTATGAAATAAGTGCTTCAGGTTTAAATTTGATGATGAACGAGTAACAAAAGAAGATGCGAAGATGGCTTTAGAAGAACAGTATGGTTGTGAAGAAGAGGTAGCTTCTGTGTGCATTTATTTGGTTTCTCTCATATTTTTGTTGATGTTTGTTGAATTGGTAATTTTTCTTTTGTCAATAGCTACCTCATACAAATCCTGGGTTCAACAGCTCTTCTTTTAAATTTACAAAATACTCAAATGCTTATATGCTTGTCTATGTACGTGAAAGTGACAAGGATAAAATAATTTGTAATGTGGACGAGAAGGACATTCCTGAACACCTCAGAGTAAGATGTTTGATTGATTGATGTTATATTACTGCTTAATTGCATTTGTTCCCTAATTATCTTCATTTTGCAAATTTTGTCCCCTGTATATGTAATCCTTTCAATTATAATTGGTCAATTTTGGTACATCCATTAATTTGACATCTAGTATTTACAGAAATGACGTGGCAGTGCAGTTGAGTACTGCATCAGCATGGATATGCTGATTTGGTAGTGCAATAGTGTTGCATCAGCATTTTTTTAAAAATTGAATGTCAAGTTAATGAATGAACCAAATTTGCACTAATAAAGAAGTGGGAGGATCAGATTTGGTAAAAAGAAAATGAAGGGACCAAATTTCTGAAATAACTATAATAGAGAGAACAAAACTACAATTAAGCCTACTGTTAATCATATTTTCAATGTAAAAGTGCTTCCTTCAAAGATTAAACTCCACATTTTAGATGAGATTAAAGAGAGAACAAGAAGAAAAAGATCTTAAGAGGAAGGAGAAGGCTGAGTCTCACTTGTACATCATCATAAAGGTTTAAGCTCTATTATTTATTTTCTCAGTTATTTTTGCCCCGTATAAATGCTTTTGAAGATGACATTCAATATGAAGTTTATTGGTTCATTGGTCTCAGGTTGCTCGTGATGAAGATATGCGCGAGCAGATTGGAAACAAGATATTCTTTGATCTTGTGGATCATGACAAAGTGAAAAGTTTTCGTATTAAAAAACAAATGCCTTTTGTCCTTTTCAAGGTATGACCTATGTTTTTATTTTGTAATATGCAACAAGCTTGTTGTATGTGATTTATGTGTTCTAGCTTTAGGGTAGTGTTAGAAAAAAAATATATATATATATATATATGTTATAATAGGAATATTAAGTTGTATGTAAAAGTTAGGTTAACTGTTATTCACTATTTATGATTCATTTATAAAAAGGAGCCTCCACTTGATAAATTACACATACAATTCATCACATCTCTTGTTTTCCTTTCTGCCTCATAAACTTGTGACTAGCATCCATTTGATATATGTTTATGATACGATCATACAACATTCAACGAAAAGTTTAGGAATGACATAATTATTTAATGTGTTCTTATTCGTTGGCTCCACAGTTGATTTTCCCTAGATTCTTAAATATATCTCTTATAGTGCAGCAAGGGAAAATCCTTTCTCAGATTTTTCATGGTTAGACAGAAGTATAAAAACAATAATAAACATTTCACATACCACACCTTTAATTTGTATCTAGGTTTCTGGTTAAACTTATCTAAATTTGGGACTGGTCTGTTTGTTTGATCAGCGTATTTAGATACATGTTTTATTTAGATTGTTGTTGGTTTCATGTTGTGGTTTTTAATTCTGTTGTTTTAATGTGTATTAGGGTAGCATCATGTTCATAGTGTTCTTTCTCATCTGTTGATATTGATGATATTCCTATTTAGCTTCTGATATACTACAAACTAATTATGATTTTGAATTTAATTTGATTCCTTCTGGCTAAAAAAAATTATCAGGAAGAAGTTGCCAAAGAATTAGGTATACCCATCCAGTATCAACGTTTTTGGTTGTGGGCAAAGCGCCAAAACAGCACATACAGGCCAAATAGACCACTGACACCTCAGGAAGAAGCACAATCAGTAAGTACTTGAAAGGATTTCCAATGCTATGTTTGATAAATAGCATGGTAGCCGGCATGTTTTCATTAAGCTTGATATCAAGTTTGTTAACTTCTGTAAACTTTAGTACTTTGTGATTTTGAAGATTGATCTGTCTATTTCTTCAATGCTATAGATGCTTGTTTTGGATAATAAGCATGTCCCCGACATGCCTAATGTTTGCAAACATGAAATACAGATACATTTATAATGTCTAATAATATATAATAGGATAGACTAATAGTTATCAATAAATAGTGTGCTATGGTTGTAGAGTGACCTTACACTACGTGACTTATGTTGTGTAATTTTTTTCAGCTCTGGTGGTAGCTGCCGCTTTCTTGGCAAATTGTCAATATAGCAGCTGTTACCTCGGTGGGCAAAATTTCTTCTTTACCCACCTGTTTTCTGAATTGTAGAACCAATCTGTTTCTTTTTTAGTTTTTAACATTTTTGTAATTGGCCTTGTTTTTGCATCCGAAACATTTAGGGTTTATGTTATGATGGAAAAAAACACCATCTGACCTAGCTCCCTGCATCAGTGATGAGTCAACCCTGACATTTTCCATTATACTGCTGCTCTCTTTGGTCTCTGCTCATGCATCATGGGACAATTACTTTGATTTTTGTTTATGCATGACACTACACTTCATTTGGTGTCTCATCTGTTAGCATTCATTGCTTGTGGGTGTCTGTTTTATTTAATTTTATTTAATTTATTGTGCCCTTCACATTTTACTGTTACTGAAATTTGTATATTTTCTTAAGGTCCTCCCCGCCCCCGTCTCTCTTCTTTGGTCTTTTTGAAGTGTTAAAGAATGTAACTGGGTCTGCTCACCAAAAAATTCTAATGTATTCTGTTTTATCTATTAATACCATTTTTTATTTCTTTCCTGTGTTCTTATTCTATTAATTATGAAGATGTCATGTCATATTTTTTTGAGCATTTATCTATTAATCCCATCTTTTAGATATCATTCCTGTTTATCTCATCTACAATCTTTATTATAGTGGTCATTTATCTGCTATCACAAAATAAGAACACTGTGATTGGCCACTCCATATGTAAAACTATGGTTAAAAGACTACTCAGTGTTATATTATTTTGAATTTATTTTTTTTAAATGATGGAGCTTTTGACTATGGTTCTTGGGATGTAGTATTATAAATGTAACCTATTTATCTTATGAGGAGTTCTAGTAATATACTCTCTACACATTCTTTCTAGCACACACTCTTCACAATTTATTGAAAGCTACAAAATCAGGAACGAGACATATTAAATGAGGAATGAAACGAACTAAAATTAGTGTTTTTTCAATAAATCGCAGCCAATAGTGGAGGGTGTTTTCAAAAGAACATGTTGGAGAGTTTGTTTCTAGCATTTCACTTATCTCATTAGACAGAAGCTTTTCTAATTTTTGGAAATTCCAACAAATAGTATTCTTTCCTTCAACATTTCATTTGATTATGGAATGACTATTGTGTACAATAGCACTAGCTGTTAAAACTGATTAACAAAAATTGAACTAAAGATAGTGCGTGAGGAAGTGATATCTCCTTTTAACGAGTATATTTTATGAATATTTTTCTAATAATGATATGTTTGTGCTGCGGCACTGTAACTATTGTAGGTTGGACTGTTAAGAGAAGTTTCCAATAGAGCAAATAATGCAGAGATGAATTTATTTTTGGAACTAGAAATGGAGAAGGTAATGCTTTTGAGAATTTAATCTTCCTGAATAGTCTGGCTGTGACCATTAAATATTATATTTTCTTCCATCCTCTTCTAAGTGAGTCACAACTGACATGGATTTGTTATTTGCACCTTTGCACAATGAATCAGGATTTGCGGCCTATTCCTCCCCCTGAGAAGTCAAAAGAGAATCTCTTGCTTTTCTTTAAACTTTATGAACCTTCAAATGAAAAGCTTTGGTACTCGTGCTTCCTATCACTTACCGAAGGTGAATCTAAATTTTATTAATGAAACGTGTGTTCCTCTCTTTCTTCAGGTACGTTGGACGGCTCTTTGTGATGTGTAGCGGTAAGCCAGCAGATATATTGGTAAAACTAAATGAAATGGCTGGATATGCTCCGGATGAAGAAATAGACTTGTTTGAGGTTAGTTAATCTCATGTACAATTATGTTCCATGATTGCAATATCAATGGCATGAAATAATGCTATGTTGACAGATGTATGACTATGTTAGTAATCAGATTATTCTGATTTGAAGTAATTGGGTCAAAATAAAATCTCTCGTAAATTGATCCATTTTATTTACTTTCCTTACTTCTTTTATTATGTAATTGACACCCTTGTCTATTTATGTAAATCTTTTAATCCTGAATAATACACGAATTATTCTTGGTCTCCTATTGTTTTCTCTCTCCATCAGTCCTTAAAATCACAGTTAACATTCTGTTATGCATGCTCAGGAGATAAAATTTGAACCTAGTGTCATGTGTGAACCTGTTGACAAGAAATCCACATTCCGTGACAGTCAGGTATGCTATTATGATTGCCTATTATGTTAATAGTTTTTTTTTTTTATTCTGATTTCGGGTCTTTATTAGTGTTTATAATAATAAATATTTCAACGCATAGCTGTGACTTCTCTTGTATTGTTGTAACTTGAGCAGCTTGAGGATGGTGATATTATTTGCTTCCAGAAGTCCCACCATACTGGAACCAGAGAGCCATATCGCTATCCAGATGTTCCTTCTTTCTTGGAATATGTGCATAACCGTCTGGTATAAATTGTTTAAATTTGCATATAACTTGCTGACTGTGATATAAAATCTTTATTGTTGTGTCGTAAATTTCAGTATCTCCTGCTATAAGAAGCAAGTATACTACATCAATTGTGAAATATGAATTCTTATCCTTAAGTGATACGGATTATTAAGTTGCGTAACAAAGTTAGTTTCTCATCCAAGTAGACATATTATTATTATTTCCCTTTGTAATTATAGTTTAAGCATTTATGACTGTACGCACTCATTGTTTTCAGTCTTTCTCTAACTTTCAAAACCAAGGAATGATTTTTGATATATTCATAAAGCCTAGAGCGGTAACCTGTATTTATGCTAATCCTAAAAGATATTGAGGGAATTGGGAAACAAAGTCTAGAGGATAATGTATGTCATGATAAGATGTTTTGTTGGATTCTTTTATATTTCCCATATATTTTAAGTTAAATGATTTTTTGTTGTCATTCTTCGTTTTTTTTTTGTCAAATATGGAAAACATAAAAAGAAAACAAGTTCTTAGTTTAATCAATGTGGTTAGACTTCTAGTTATAAAAGATAAACAATCAATGTTACGGTCTCAGTCGCAACTGAAGAGTCCTGCTGTTTGGAGATTATTTGTGCATCCAATACTTTATATTGATATGCAGGTTGTTCGCTTTCGGATTTTGGAAAAACCAAAGGAGGATGAATTTAGTCTTGAGCTGTTAGTTGATTCTTTTTCTCTCTCTGTTATAATTTTATGAATAAAGTATATCTGGTAGTTCAATTTTCCTCTTTGATCATGCAGGTCAAAGCTTGACACCTATGACAATGTTGTCGAAGAAGTTGCTCAACATATTGGTTTGAATGATCCTTGTAAAATCAGACTCACATGTCATAACTGCTACTCCCAGCAACCTAAACCACAGCCTATAAAATACAGAGGAATGGAACATTTGTCAGACATGCTGATTCATTATAATCAGGTCTGTCATTTCACAGTTCATGGACTTCAAAATGGTTGTTTGGGTTTTGCTTAAGCTTCCAATATGCTAAAATCATTCTCTTTTTGGTTTTCCTTCTAGACTTCTGATATTCTATACTATGAAGTACTGGATATCCCTCTGCCAGAATTACAATGCCTAAAAACTCTGAAAATTACTTTCCATCATGCTACCAAAGATGAAGTGAGTTCTGTTAGTTGTCACTTTCATTCTTTATACAATAATTTGCATAATTGTTATACTTCTAACTCATTTACTGTTGTTCAGGTGGTGACTCATACTATTAGATTACCGAAACATAGTATTGTGTCAGATGTAATTAATGATCTTAAATCAAAGGTATGATATTTAACCCACATAATCAAAAGCTTATTGTAATTTTTATTGGTCATCATGTTTCCTTTTTTTATTATGATTTGTTCGCCTGAATAATTAGAACTTTGATTAGTATTGTTAAACTATAAAGTATAGGAGAAACATTTGAGTTGAAACTGTTTGTTTCCGAGATAACACGAGTGATTTATTTAAATTGAGAAAAAGAAATCAATTTAATAAATAGAAGAGATTTGATATCCTAAAGATATGATCCTAGAATAATACAAATATGATCTTGATATTTCTGATTATACAGATATGATCGTGGTATATATAATTATAATAATGTGATCTGATATTAGTAATTTTAAAAATATGATTCTTATTTATTTAATTATAACACTCCCCTGGAGATGGAGCATATATGCCATATATGTTCAGCCTAATATGTTTGCTGGCTGATAACTAGAAATTTCAAACCTAGTAGTGATATCTTCAGACTCAATATGTTGGTTCTTTCATGGAAGAGGCATAAGTAATGCTGTCTGTTTGTTACATATCAGGTGCATGTGGGAATTTTCTTCAAAATTAAGTTCTTTGGGAAGTTGCTATAGCCATATGAGTTCACATGTGACTAAAGTGATTGCCCGTTTTCTGCTTCTACAGTTGATTTTACGGCAACATTTTGTCTTTTGTTTTCCCAATATCTTAAATTACCCTCAATAAAAACACAATATCCTGAAGTAGAAAATCTATCACTAGGTGAGTCTACCCAATCAACAAGGAAATTATATTTTACCATTACATTTTTTAAACTACATGGATTTTTTTTTTCAAATTAAAAATATCTTAGAGATTATATCTTTGAATTATTTTCCCCATTTCCTTTGTTTTCATGTTGGCTTATATGGGAAATAATAGCAATACACTTTCCAAACATACTGTCTGTTATTGACTGGATTTATTAGAAACAGAAAATTGTGGGTCCCACCCATCTCTTATTTATTAAGCCTCCTTCATGATTTTGTAGTTTTTGATTAATTTTAACCAATAGTATATAGTGCGTTTGAACAATGAACAAGTGATCTTTCAAGATTTGTCTCTTCATTGCTAGTATATAAATCATATATTATTTGTCTCCTTATCGCTAGTACATAATCTAACACATTCTTTTGGACATACTTTGTTGCTAACACTCCTCTAGTATTTCAAGATTTGTTTCTTTATTTAGTTAGGATTATGATAAGATAATAGTATTAAGGTCAATGCATTATTTTTTATCACTACACTGTTATATACTTCTGTTATAATTCTCAAGAATCAAGAAATGAAATTTATAGAAAAAAGATTCAATGTTGAGCATCACTATTTCAAAATGATTTAATTGGGCTGCGCTCTTAAAACTGATATTGTACCAATATTCTGCCAAGGATTTGGGCTGGACATAACTACTATAGAACACCAGAGATCTCCAATGTTAAGCTCCTTTCTTTAGCCATCCTTAGGATGATAGGTGGTACTCATTCTGAGTGTTGTCATTTGCAATCTAAACAACTCCTTCCAAAAATGTCTCAAGAAAGTTGTGTCCCTCTATCAATCACAATGGAAGTAGTAATTTCATACATCACCTTCGAATCTAGGAAGACTTACTATGAAATCCAATGTTCATATCTTCCCATATAGCTTTGGGAATGGGCAGCAGTTGAAGGAGACATGCGGGTGAAGATACATGGTATTTATTTCTCTGGCAAAAGGGACAGGTTGTCACATACTCTGATACTGTGAATCCAATATAAAGATTGAGCCAACTTGCGATATGTGGAAAAATCCCCAAATGAAAATTGGGATACTCATGAAGCAGTTTGGGAATCCTACCGGAGGAGGCAACTGAGACCAATCTACCTGTATAATATAACTTGTCAGGTTCCAAGGTATGGTGCGCAAGAGAATTGGGGTCGTTCTGTAAATCTTCCTAAATTTTATGCTAGACTGGTTCCTGTTGTACCTCCTTATCAATCAAACTCACATCTAGCCAAAATGGCCAAGACAACACTTGCAATGCCTTCTCATATTTTTTGGACAAAGCAGCTACCACTTTTTGTGCAGTTGCTAGTTTTTATTCTAACAAATTCATTCCCCAGTAACTTACTCAATCAATCCTTTGTATCTAAACTTAGTTAGCCCAATTTGTCGCTTCTTCAAATTTGTACAGAATCTTTGTTGTTATAATGTAAAAGGAACCTGTCTCAAATGCACCAAACGTTTTTTCTATGATACCATGGATTAGCGTATCTTAAAAAAACTATTATGGGTAACAAATGATAAGTTTTTGGATTTCATTTTGTTGATGATGTCATGTCTTTTGTATATTCACATTGCCTTATGCGAAATTTGCAAACTAATTTTTTTCTTTTGTCATACAGGTAGATTTATCACATCCAGATGCAGAACTTAGATTGCTTGAGGTTTTCTATCACAAGATCTATAAGGTGCGGGGAATGTATAGTTTTAATTTCATTTTTCAGATACATAGATTTCGATGTTTATTTGAGAACCCATCCTTATAAAGCAATCTAGCTATTTGACAAAGGGGGTTGTTTTGTGAAATCATATTAATATCCCAGAAATCACATTCCTAGGAGTATGTTTAAAATCTATGGGAATTGTTGAAAGTCTCACATTGTCTATCTCATGTTATGTTGTATGGTTTAAACATGCTAAATTACTCCTTATATTGCCAATTGATTTTATGTTAGAATTTTAACATGGTATCAGAGTTAGAGCCTAACTTCTTTCCAATAATTGTCTTGGCTAAGAGTTATCCTTCCATTATGGGTCAAAAATACCCCTTGCCTTGTCCGACAGACTTCATTAGAGTGGGTGTGTTGGAAGTCCCACATTGCCTGTCATATCATGTGGTAAGGTTTAAATACATGTTAGATTACTTCTCGTATTGTCAATTGGTTTTATGTTAGAACCTTAGTAGGAATATCATATTAGTTACCCTTGTTTGTTAAATCCTTTGTTGGTAACCATTTTTTGAAGTTGTGCTACCATTTGATATAAGCATTCAACTTGGGGAACCCACTCTTAAAACCTGGTTGTAAAAGGGGGACAATCTTGTAAAACTTGGGCACCCCATAATATCCAAGGTCCTATAGGTTTATAATAGCCTTCAACTTGTGCTATAGATAAAATCTTTTGACAATGATATATTTTTTCTTTCCCACTATACTTTCATGACAATCCTGCCCACCATGATCCAGCAACATTCTCTATGTCAATATCTTGAAGAGAAATTGATTCATTCTCTTTCTTCCATCATTTCTATTATAATGACTTCTAATAACTAACTCATCCAATTTATTTTCTCTTCATTGTCTATATAAGTTAATAATGAGTATATCTGCTTGGTATTACTTTAAATTGTCTGAAAATGGATTGAACTCTGGTTATAAAATGTGAGCGTTACATTCTCGAACACTGGAGTTCTTATAACCAGATGCACAAGTTAAATCAAGACTTGAATTCCATACCAGTGCAATATTGGGCTTGAGAATCCATGCATAGATCACCATTTAGCTGAAGACAATAACTAAGCATATAGGTAGTTTAATATTGAATAATACAATCAAATAATGAAGCAACGTCTATTTCCTCGTATTTGTTGAGAATGCACCTGGCACAATTGAACAGTTGTGCTATGTCCGAGAGTTCCAGTAGTTAATCTACAAGTCACTTGTATATGCATACCCTTTTCAAAGTAAATGCTTAAGTGTAACCCTGCAATGGTATGCTGAATTCTTTATTGGGTGAGGCTTGAATATAATGGACTTGTAATTCACCTAGAGTGCTAGTATAACTAGGGTTCTGAGTCATCTGTATAGTAATTAGTAAACTATTAATTTCTTATCTTATGTCTACTCCTGGGAAAAAATAGTGAAATCCTTAACTCCAGATAGCTGATAGACTATATGCTTGATCTGTCTGAAACTCTGAATGAGACATCAAACACAATCAAATTGTCTCATTTAATATTGAGTTTTTTTGAGGTCCTTCTATCTTATCTCAATTATGTCCAAAATATTACATTCCTAACAGTAGCCTTTTAATTATGCATTTTATCCTTTTTAAATCAATACCTATTTCCATACTATATAATTTTTGTGTGACTTACAATAGTTGTATTAATTAGGATACTTGACATGCTGCAATTATTACTAGGGGGTAGTTAGGGGCTGGGTAGTTTAAATGATGGGTGGTTGAGGTGTTGTAGAGTACGCTTTAAATAGAACATCCTTGTACTATTTTGAATTAAGAAATAGAAGTACAGTTTACTTTTTTCAAGTATTTTTCTATCTTTTTCTAGTTGGTATAAGAGCTTTCAATCTTGGGGGTTCTGCTTTCAAATTCAAAACCTAGTCATCTTAGTTGTGGTCTTAAGTTTGGGTTGCCTGAGGTGTACCCACTTTTTTTGGGGATTGCCTAAAGTACTCCCAAGGTACATTTTTTGAATTAATAGATAGAACTACAGTGTTCTCTTCGTCCATACCTTTTCTATCTTTTTCTAGTATATATATAAAATCTCATTGTAATTTTTTAGTAACTGACTCTTTGGGTGTAGCTTTTCCAATGTTGTAGGTTTTTTAGTCATTTCCCTTTCATTTTATTTTGTCATTCACCTGCCATAAAATTTAACCTTAATGAAAAAATGTTCTAAATTTTGAGTTGTTTAATTCATAATCTTGTGACCTATTTTTTGCAGGTTTTCCATTTCAATGAAAAGATTGAGAATATTAATGATCAATATTGGATGCTTCGAGTAGAGGAGGTAAATATTTGTATATTTGTTGTTATAACAGAATAACGAGAAACAGTGAGTAAGAATAAGATGATTATATTTTTTTACAACAACATAAGGAGAAGGTATGAATATATTCTGTTATAACACAATGTTTAAGCCTGAATGAGTAGGAATGAGGATTATTGTTACAACAAATTATGGAGGAGAAAAGGGAGTTTGTTTTGGGTTGTAGGTTAAATATAGAGGGGAAGACTAAGGGAAACAGGGGTATTGAGTTGGAAAGGAGGCAGTAACTTGAAATGCTGCTTTTCCAATATTTTCGCTTCTTTTCTATTCTGTTACCTTCAATGATGTAGAACCATCAACTCTGAAGCAAACTAAGTTGATGAATTTGTAGAGGAGTTTGAGAGATCCACGAGTTTTTAATGGTTTGGAAAATTAGCATCCAATGACCATGTTGTTAAATGGGTTAAAGATGTTTGGGAGAAGTCAAGCTTTAGGGTCCTAACTTGTTATTCTTGAAAATAATGAGGAAGGTGCAAATGATTGAGAAGAATCAAGTGGTGACCTAGGTAGAAACTCAACCATGACCAAAACTAAGATGCAAGCTTAGTGGTGGGGGACACTTGTGATTGAATTTGGAGTGGAGTTGATGCGAATTTTGGTCTAGACCACATCTTAGAATTTGGAATAAGGGCCTTACCAGTCCCACAAAATTAGCAAGTATTGCTTGACTTGGACAAACACTACTTATGCCTTGTCTCAGTCGATATAGGATCTCAACCATGGTTATCAAACCCTTGGGTTAACTTGCAAACCCTTTCGAGTTCATGAGTGAGCTATTATCTCACGAGTTAACTCGTGGGTAGACTCAAATCTAAGTAAACTTAGTAGACTCGTGTGTAGACTCGGTGGACTCGGTTCAAACTTGCGAGTTTGATGCGAGTGAATGAGTGTGGAGGAAAAACAGAAAATGACACTTACTTGGGTCGTTTGCCCATGTTTTGAATGTTAGATAGGGCTTGACTTGTTTTGAAGTGTGGATCTGTGTTTTTGTGCCTCAATTTGTCATCCTTGTTCACGTAACTTTTGGCAGTTCGTCATTAAGTCGCGCTCATCGTCGGTGGGTTGTTGTTTGCGTAGATCTTTGTTTGTCGTCATTCCTATTCGTGGTCATCTTTGCTGTTGTACATCGCCACTATTGTTCGTGCACATCTCCAATTATTGTCATTGTTGTTCTCCAACCCCTTTCTATTTTGTTGGGCATCAAGTTTTTTTATTAAGTTTTTTTAACCTATTTAGCCTTTTTCCTTTTTTTTTATAATGATTATTTTATATGTAAAGGATGAAATTTTAAAATGTCCGTAAGTGTTTCAAATTCTTCTAATAAATCCAATGTAACTAGATCCTCACTTCCACCTAGAAGAAAAATGCAGTAGAAATAGGATAAATATTGGGTGAAAACATGAAGTAGATATTTTAGACAATGAAAAAAAAATGAAATATAATTATTGCTCATAAATATTAAATGGAGGAATTTTTTGTTAAATTGATATTTTTTATACGAAATAGACTCTTACGAGTCTACGAGTCGAGTTTACGGACCTCTCACGAGTCTACATAGACTCTCGAATCTGATAACCTTGATCTCAACCTCCTAAGTTTCAACATCTTGATTGTTGCACACTATCAGTGATATATCTTGACCAATGATTTTGGGGAAAGGTTTGATAAATAATAAAAGAATATGAAGAGATGAAAGAATATGAAAAGATAAAATAATATAAAATATTTTCTTATTCAATATATTTATGTTAAAAAATTCATGGCTTGAGCCTTACCTGTCACATACTTTTCTTTTCAGAAGCTTATTTTGTTAGCCTACTTAAAGGCTTATTTGATATTGAATTTTTTATACATATTGTATGGATGTGTGTCTATTGAAGGAATTAGTCAAGAGGGATGTTATGGTAAATTATATTACTGAAATTTTGTTTTTAATTGAGTCAAATGATGTTTGATGCATATTGCTAACCTCACCTAGTGGGATACGGCTTTACTGCTGTTTGTTGTTGACTTATTTCTAATTAGGTCAATCGTGTAAGAGGTCAATGGGGACAAACAATATGTAACGAAATATAAATTATGAACGTTAAAATTACTGCTACTCAAAGCATGAGACATGTGAAATCAGTATGCTAAGCTTTAATAGTATAAGGTTATTTTATTTGACATTTACAATAACTTATACCAAAGTCATTTTTGCAATGGCCTCTAAATAGGATATAAATTTATCCTTCAACAAACTTATTGACTTGACTCTTTGTTAAATGGAATTAATATTTAACGAATATATACTTAAGATAAAATAAAAGAGAGAAAATAGTTTTTAGTGGGCTTGATCACACCTCTAACATGATATTTTATTTATAATGATAAGAACATATACACTGAGTAGATGGAAGGTCAAGGGGTAGAATTGTAAGCTAGAAAACATAGGTACAAAGATAGGTACAACTAATTAATAATTTCAACAACTAATTAATAATTCCAATATATATATTATTAATACACTAGCAAACTAAATATAATATTAAAACCAACAAAAATTATTATTTATTTTTACTTAAATAAGTCAGTCTAGTTTATTCGATGGTAGCAAAAATGGATAGAGATATATTTTTTTTCTAGCTTTCCATTTTGCTGGGATTTGTAGCAGCATCATGTTAGAAATGCTCCCATTCATGGAGACATAGGGGTGGAGGTCTACTAGGAGATTTCACCTGGCTTCTATTCTCATAGTGGAAAGAATAGGGAGTGCAAGCTGAAGAAGGCTTTGATGCATGGTCACAAACAGATTTTCCAAGCATGTTTTGAAAGATTCACCTAGATATGTCATCACAGGAGAGGATTCCTATCCTAGGCTCACTTGTTACTACAAATATTTGTTAGGGAAATATGGCAAATTGCCGATCCTTGACAGATTTGTGTAAAACAGGAAAGAATTGTTAGGGGGAATGAGTTCAGGTAGAACTTGAACAATTAAAGTCAGCCATCGGAAGGCTTTCAATTTTTGGCAGTTCATAAATTTCCAAACCATTTGTCTTCAATGTTATTTTCTGTCTTGATATTTGGCTATACCTTTTCTTCCATCACGTTATTCTTCATTTTACAAGTTGCATTTTCAATTTCCATTTGCTTCAGATTCCTGAAGAAGAGAAAAACCTTGGCCCTCATCATCGGTTGATCCATGTTTATCATTTTCTGAGAGACACTGCTCAAAAGCAGGTGCTTTGCCTCCAAATCTGTCTCATAATATTCTTTTTCTAAAATTACTACCCTTCAATTTTCTAACATTTTTTTGTTTTCTTATGTGTTGGTGTGCTTTGCAAATAACAGCAAGTTCAGAACTTCGGACATCCTTTTTTCTTAGTTATCCATGAGAGTGAGACATTAGCTGAAGTCAAATTGCGAATACAGAGAAAGTTGCAAGTTCCAGATGAGGAGTTTTCAAAGGTAAATATTGCTAACATGATTGAATTACATATTGCTGTTTCTACCACGTGTTTAAAATAAATCACCCTTTAAAAATTCCTCTTTCAAACACACTATTAGGCATTGGTTGCACTTTTGCGCATGTTAGCTAGTCGTATCAAAAGGACTAATAATCTCTTCAAATTTTGTCTAGTTGGTTTTGAAACACTATTGACTTCACCATAAAATTTGAGCTTGTTAAATTTTAAGTATGGGTAGTCATAAGCATGCTACTTGTTTTTACAACGTTATTTCAGTTTTATGAAATGTATTGAAAGTCCCACTTTGCCTGTCTCAAGTCATTTGGTATGGTTTAAATACATGTTAGGCTATTCCACATATAACCAAATGGTTTTATGTTAGAACCTTAATATGGTATCAGAGTCAAAGCCTAACATCTTTCCGATTATTGTCTTGGATCAAGAGTTGTCCTTTCGTTGTGGATCAAAAATACCCTTTGCCTAGTCCGGCAGACTTCGTTGGAGGGGGCGTGTTGAAAGTCCCACATTGTCTGCCTCAAGTCATTTAGTATAGTTTAAATACATGTTAGGCTACTCTACATATAACCAATTGGTTTTATGTTGGAACTTTAATAAAATGAGTGATTATACATCCTTTTTATTAGGTATTAAAATACAATTTAAATTATTATTATATAATAATTTATAATGTAAAGTGATGCCTGTGTATTATGTATTACATGCTTCACATTGCATCTAATATGACATGGGTTCACAAAATTACATATCAAGTAATTGAATTTTAAAATACTGTGTACAAATTTTCTGTCCTTTTTAACCAAAAATCTTTTTGGTTGGAAACATTTTAGCTTCTCTGGTATTACATAGATTGTGGTGCACAAAATAAATGAGAAATGAATATCTTTTGCAATGATTAATGTATTTCTTCTCTCTTCCTTTTAGTGGAGGTTTGCATTTCTGTCATTTGGTCGTCCTGAGTACCTTGAAGATTCAGATATTGTTTACACTCGATTTCAGGTCTGCCAATCTTCTGTCCGCTGTTATTTTTAACTTTTGGTTTTGATTGTTTGAGTGTCTGGCTAATGTACAGTTTATGAAAAATTAAGTTATTTTATTGTTTTATTGTTCAGAGAAGGGATATATATGGTGCGTGGGAGCAATACCTCGGACTGGAACACACTGATAATGCTCCTAAGAGATCGAGCCCAGCCAATCAGGTATAATATTTTATCATGAAGAGGAGATTCGTTACGATTGTATAAACTTGAAATTTAAAATTTAACTAAAAAGCATGTTCTTGATAAAAGAAAGTCATCTATAATTTTATTGCTGCCCCCAAATGGTAACAGCAAAAGTAGATATAGATGGTAGCAATGTCACTGGATATAGTTTTATTGCTGGTTTCAGAAATTATTTCTTAATTTTGCAGAATCGTCAACCAATAGAGAAGGCAATAAAAATTTACGTTTAGAAAGATGATTCATCTTGACAAGTCAATTTAGTGGTTCCATATGTCAGCTGCACACTTGAAGTGGTCTGAAGATAACAAGGAGAGTGGAGAAGCTAACAATTTTCTCCAGGGTACTTTGCTGAAACCATAAATTTTTTTAGCTGAGGTTTAGCCTTTCACTAGTGATTTAAACTCATCTTGAGCTAACAAATCTTTGGTAATTAGAAGGTTGGTTTTGATATTCCGTTTCCATTTGGTACACAACATTTTGGGGTTGGGTTTTGTATAGAAGGTACAGGAATATAGTTATAGTTAACTCTTTTCTATGGCCCACTGCACCATTTTGGGATTTGTATTTCCTTCGGTTAGTGAGGCGTCGAGAGGATGGGAAATGTCTAATGCTTCTGCTGGAGAGGTCAGGTGTAAATTTTCCCTTGTGCCTTTCTTCGCCTTAGTTTTTGTTACCGTAATTCTGTGTTAAAGGAAAACATTACTTTTCCTTATGTTTCATTAACTACCTCTGATCAAACTGATTTGCACTGGGTTTGCAGCAATCAATCTCACCTTGTGTTAATATAAATAAACGGGGGTTTTAAGGTTTGTAATCCTTCAGATAGTTGACTATAGAGTGACATTTTCATGTTTGGTTTAAGTTTTAAATGTTTTTTAGCATTCTTGATTCTTCAAATTGTGATGCTTTCATGTTTCACCTCATTTTTATTCTCATGAATTGCGACTTGTGAGTGGGCTTTTGATTTAAGTTTTTCTTCTAAATATTTTAAGAAACTAAATCAAATCAATCCTTTCTCTTTACTTGTTTAATTTTAGTAATGGTTTCTGTGAACTATATTGCTTGGTTTTGAAGCTGGAGGTTGAGAATTACAAGATAGATGTTTTGGTTCAGTAACCGTTTTTGAATTTGCAGTCTAAAATTAATCATGCGAGGCAAAGGTCGCTCATCTGCTAATGGATTTCAGAAATCATACTGTATGATAAATTTGATTGTTTGTGTTTTTGAACAATTAAAAAACAATGATCGATTATTCATTCTGGAATAGAGGAGAATGTAAACCAAAATCTTTGTTCCAGAATATTAAAAAATTATCATACATTATGCATCTCAGATTAGATTTTATTATTTTTTAAAATATTTGTTCCGGATATCTTTTATTTTGAATAATTATTTTCGCAACTATAAGCTTCACCCTTGCAACTCCCATTTTATAAGTGAAAATAAAAAAATAGGGGTGCAAGAAATAATTTGTGGTGTGCAAAAAGCAAAGACCCAAAAGTTAACAAAGAAGTATAACTTGTTCCATTACAAAATGACATCTGAAAATAATTTTTTTATTGTAGGAATTTTAGTCAGGGTCATTAGAAGAACGAGATTTCTATATTCTAAGTGTTTATAAAAAATATTTACATGTCATTTTGAAGAATTTCAATTTGCCTTTTTGTGAGATATGCACCTACTAGTCCTTGTTAACTAGACCAATTTCATTGACAAAGTAAATAAAAAAAATTACGTAGAATAAAATATTTACTTAATTGACAAATACATTGTTATTTAATTCTAAATTACTATCTATTGTAAATTTGTTCATTTCTATTATATTTATTTTTTTTAAATGTTAAAGAATTATTTATAATTAGATGAGACTATAAGACTACCATTAACTGTTGGTGCAAACAGTAATCATTTGTGTTTTTGAATTAAGTGGTTCAAGATCCAAATCCGTTATGTGTACTTAAGATTTCATATTAAGAAGAGAAATATAATCTTGACTGCACTTGATATCTTTGACAGTTAATCATTGTTTTACAAAAGAATTACAAGAAAAATTAAACTGAGTTATAAATTAACTTTGTCATTAAATAGTAAAACATAGATGAATCATCACAAACATCATCATCATCTAAGCACTAACCACAGTGTAAAGAAGTTAGAAAAGAAAGATATTTAGGATGAGAAATGTGTGATAAATAACAAGAGTGGTATTAGCAATTGTTAGGCATAGGGGAGCCACAACTGTCACTAACCATCTTGGCATTGGGAGTGTTGATTAAACCCACAAGAGCAGGGTCAGTGATGTACTGGCAAATGCATGGTGGTTGTTGCTTTCTCAGTCTTTCACAGCACTCTGCTGAGGGTGGCGTTGAGGTGGTGAAGGCATTCGCACATGGAACCAACTCCATCACATTACAACACTCGGCCGCTGGCGCCACCGCTGGAGCCACCGCCGACACCTCCCCTTCAACTACAAAAACACTAAGCATCATGCACAACATCACCCATGAAGATGGAATCTTCATTTTCAAACAAGCCACAAGCCACAGGTAATAATTCTCACTTTTTGACCCAGGGAAACTTCAACCTCTTCATTATTTATGATGGCCAAGATGATATACACACACGAGGAATCAACTTCGATGTTATACCAAATATGATACACTTAACTTTTTGTAGAATGTAATTTTTAATTATCTTTGTGTTGAAGTATTATAGAATAATCGAAGGGTCCTGACTAATTTTAGAAAAATTAATAATAATTAGATAGTTCATTTCTTTTTATATATTACTTTAGTGTACTAACAAATATCCTATAATTTAAAATTTGATATTAAAAATAATTTATATATACTTTACTCTCATAATTCATTAAATAGTTTTTTAAAAATAAAAATAAGAAAAATTTAAAACAAATAATATCTTCAACATAATAATTAACCTTATGGTAAAATCATAATATTCTTATTCTTAGATAAAAAATATATAATTTTATTTATTATAAATATAAATGAAAATCATTTTTAAATTGATATAAACTTCAAGAAATCTTATAAATAAAAGGATTTTTTAATAAGTTTTGAAAATTGATTATCCCATTAAATATAATTAGTAATATTATATTTGGTGTACCTTCTAGTGATGTTATTTTATTATTTTTTTCATTCAAGTTTTTTTTTTATTTAATTTTTCTATTTTTTTAATCGTGGTTCTTAAATTTTTGAAAATGTGTAATTCTAGTAAAAAAAAAAAAACTGTTCATCTGGTTAAAAAGTGTAACATAATGACAGTGATAGAAAATCATTATTTTGTATTTTGAAGGATGAATTTCAAAGAAAATCTTATAAAAATTCATTCATTATAAATTAGGGTTTACATGTGATTCTCCTGTCAAACTTAAATCTTGTGTGTAAAAGGTATTAATGACGTAACAAATCCATGTATCTTATGAAGGGTTTGAGGAGGCATTTACACTATTCTTTGTTTTCTTGATCTTAGAATAATGGAAGTGGGAGAGAAAATTATTGTATGACCCATTTGGTATCTGTAAAAGGCAGTAGTTATGTCTTTAATGCATTAAGAATTTTGGCAAAAGTTGGTGTGTCTTGTGAAGGATTTGGGGAGCCATTAACTTTGATTTTTCTTCCCCCCAAACTGCTTCAGTATGTATGTTGTGGTCACTTTCTCCATCATCTTCTGTTAACTTTTTATATTTTATATTTCCATGCTTGAAGAATAATTCATGTTTATCTTTCTGTTAATTTATTACCATGTGTTCTTGCTTGCATCTTGAAATGGTCAACATGAACAGTATGAAGTAATTATAACTAAATTTTATTTAAATGCTGCAAATAATGTTTGATATTTTTATCCTACACATTCTTTTCTAGGTCGGCCATAGATTATAATAGAGGTAATGTTACACTCTCTCTTTTTTCTTTTTTTTTTAAATTGAAAGAAATAATTATTTTACCATATTCCACTTACATATTGTAAATTAAATTAACTTCTAGTCACTACTTAAAAATATTATTTAAGTTTATACAAACAATAATATTATTGAGATTAATTTTTGGTATTTAAGATATTATCGATTTCAAAATTTAAATTTTATTTTATTAAATTTTTTATTTAAAAATATTTATATGAGTTGAAAAACTTAAAAAGATTTTTTTTGTAAATTTTATATCTTTTAGGAGTTGAAATTGATAATAATATTTTTTAATTTATTAAATTATCTTCTAAAAGTAAAATTATGTGAAATTTAAATTTTAAATTAAATAATATTTTAATAATAATTAATTTAAATTGTCTCATATTTATTATTAACTTAATAATATTATCTTATAAGATTTGATATTTAAATATTAATATTATATCTAAAAAACATAAATCTTTATTATATCGATTAAAAATCAAAGATTTAGAATATATATAATTTTCTTTTTTTTAACATGAAATGCCTTTTTAAATAAAAAAAAATGTGATGGAATGGATCTCAAATTTTAAAAGAAGCAATATCTTAAATAAAATAGTAATCAAACAATATATATTTTAATGCATTTATCAAACCGCCATGGGTGTAAACATAAAAATAGAACAAAAAATCATTTAAAAAAATTCTGAAAGTGTGATGTAATTTACTCAATATTTTTGAATTTTAAAAATTGGTATTTAGTATTTTTTTTAAATGTTTTATTTTTGTCTTTCTAATTTATAAATACCTCAACTTTGATTCTCAAAAGATTTAATTGAAAAAAAAATTATAATATTTATACTTTTGAGTCATACGTGCTAATACAACTAATTTGGTGCTTAAACTTTAAAATATACGTAAACTTTTTCTTTTATATTAAAATATATGTAAATCTAGATTCTCCTTTTCATGAATTTATCTTATTGTTAAAAGATTAAAAAAAATAAAAAATTTGTATGTTTTAAAGTTTGATAATCAAATTTCATTCATATAAAAATAGTTGGCAACGTTCATAATTATATTGTTTTATAATCTCCTTAATCGTATCGTTGAATAGCATTGAATTTATCAAATAAACAGTAAAAATTTATAATTCCACAACACAAAATTAAAGAGAATAAAATTTAATATTTATTGTACAAAATATATTTCATGTTCAATAGTTAACGTTATGTAAGAGAAAAAATAATAATGATACATTGACATCTTAATTAGTAATAAATAATTATCTTACAATTTCATTTTATTAAAATAATAATAAAATTATCGATCGTCATTTTATTACTAATATTATTATTATTCTTTTATTAATAAAATTAAGTTATATAATGATTGTTTATTGGGAATAGGGTTGTGAAATGATGATTTAAAAAAAAAAAAAAAGTGTTACTAATTGACCAAGGTATGTTACTTTATTTTTCTAGAAGGTTTGATAAAGTTGAAGTGCCCTATAAAGGTAGGGTACCTCTACTTAGTGTCCTTTATACAAATAAGATGCTTTGTTTTCATTGTTAGGGCATTCAGGCATTCTCACTTTACATAGAATTGGGACCTTTTGCCTACAAAAAATAATTGGTCTACATTATTTTAAGGTATACATTAAAATTATATCATATATTAAGATTATTATTATGTTTAAAATATTATTTATTTTAAATTATAGGGTTATTTTCATTGTAAGATCAAAAAATTGAAGCTTTCGGATATTTTTATTTAATTCTCCATTTATTTTGCTGGTCAAAAATCTTATATTATTTAAGACTTTAACATAAAAAAAATTATATATCTTTCACCTAATTTATCAAGATATTTTTTTTTTTACAAAATGCAGCGGAATCAAATCCAAAATTTAAAATAGAATATATATTGAATACACTAATTAATAATCTTAATAATTTTCATGTTAAACTGAGTTGAATCAGAATATAGATTTATATAATTTTAAAAACAATTTTCTGGTGTTTTTAATTATATTTGTATATATAAAACTTAAATAAAAATATGATTTAAAAATGCTAAACTCTTCGCATATAGTTTACAACAATGTTTATATAGAAAAAAAAACACGTTATCAATTAATATATCAAAACTCACTTGTTAAACTCCTTTTAGATGAAAGAAAAATAAATAATGAATAATTTGTTTTTATAAATTAAATTATTTTATATACAAGTTAATTTATATAAATTGTCTCGTACAAGCTTTCAACTTTTTATTTTTAATTTATATATAAGTTAATGTTAAGTAATAAACAAAAAATAATTTTTTTCCTACAAAAAGTTCATGAAAAAATTATCAAAACATATTCTAACTCATAATAGTATAGAATAAAAAAAAAAAGGTAACATTTAATTTAACCATAAAATAAAATATAAAACTTAAAAATGAAAAATAATATAATTTTGTAAATTGCTTCATCTGAACATTATGTTGTAAGCACATTCAATTCCATTCCATCTGAGTCTCCACTATGAAGTGCTCTCCATCACGAAAAAGCACTTTTTTCTTGTTCTTCTCAGTGTGGTTCCCACTTCTCTGTTCAAACAAAGCACAAAGAGACCTAAGAATAGAACCCAACCTCACCCTTTTTATAAAGCCTTCCCTTATTTATGCGCCATAACACGCATACTCTCACCCTTCAAATTAATGTCAACGTGCTTATTAAATAGATCATAAAATATTGGATAGGTTGAGCGGTCGAATTATAGATTTTAATTTATTTTATTAAAAGATAAATTAATGAATAAATGGGTCCAATATTTATTTATATTTTTTTTAAAATATATTTTTAATTATATAAAAAAATAATTTTTAATTTATTAATTATAATTAAAAAATATTATATTTATTTATTAAAATAATTAATTATAATCTATAATTTAAATTTAATTGATTAATATTTATAAATAATAATATAATATATTTATATATTTGAATAATATAAAAAAAAATATTTTTTTTTAATTTTAATATTTCAATATTTTTTTAAACAAATCAATTTATTTTATCTCGATAAAAATGGATTAAAATTACTAATCCATTTCGTATTTTTTTAAATGAGTTAACGAATCAACTTTTTAAATCTAACTCTATTATTCTATTAATATAAGAAAATCATCATGTAAATTAATATTGATACAAAATTATGTAAATTTATAGTTGAAATATATAAAAAAAAATTATTTTAAAAACTAATACAGCCGTTCCGTATAATGTTATGAATTAACTCCTTAATAAATTTCAATTTTCGCAACTGTTTTATTTATTTTTGAGTCTAATTTAATTATATACTAAAAATTTTAAAATTACCGTCCTTAATTTGTTTTCTGGCAAATATAACCCCACGATTTTAATCACATAATATTTTATAAACACAGGAAGATGAAAAAACAGATAAATTAAACTGACATAAAATTTTGATGATAATAAATTTAAAAAATACAATCAACCCAGAATTAAATTGACATCTTAAAGCATGTAATCTAATTATCTAATCCATAAAAATAAAATTCCACTTTCCCATCCTCCTATGAGATTCCAAAACATGTTTTCATGTTCCAACATCATTCTCACCATTTTCATCTATCTTATCTCCCACCACACCATTAAATAATTATAATGTTTAAATATTATTATTTGGGTTATATTTTGTATTTATAAATACATCCTTCATTTGTTTCTATCTTATTTTATTTCTTTTTATATCTATTTTACATCATGTTTTATGACATGTTATTAGTAAAAAACTTTAATATTTTAAGCAGGTAACTCAATTTTTTTTATTTCAAAAATTTAATTTTTAATTTATTAAAGTCTATTTATATTTTATAATTTCACAATACATATTTCAATTTCCTGTGATAGTTATGAATATGTCAAATCTTGTAAAATAATTATGCACAACCATATAATGGATTATGTTAAAAATAATTAATATATATATATATATATATATATATATATATATTCTTAATATAATAATACAAAATTATACTAAAAGTAAAAAAAAAATAATCAATTTAACTTTCCTTTTATTTATACTTATTTATTTTAATTCAAAAAATCCCAAATTCTATTTCCATTCTTACCTTTTTCATTCTCTCAATTTCACTTTTCAATAAAAACAAAAATTAAAAATATAAGTGAATATAATTATGCAATATTTAGAATTACATCTTAATATAATTATACAATGTTTAGAATTACATTTTAATCCACACTATATGGAGAAAGATTATTGTTAATAATAAGTTACCAAAAATATTTTCTATTTCTTTTAGTAATATAAAGGTATGATACATTCATATTACTATAAACAAAATCATTATATTTTTATATCACTTTATTTGAATTGAGTTTATGTATCTATTTTTTTCTTAAAAATTTTATTTTGAATGACCTCTTATTTATTATAGGCAAAAGTTGATATGCAGAATCGGAATGGTCTTTGTATTGAAAGTTTTCCTGACAAAATGTTTTAAATAAGCGTATCATGTTAGAATGAACAACGAGTACATAAAATGGTCACCACTAATAAGCTAAAGGTATATTATGTGAAGAAATTCATACTTGAGGGGCAAATTGTTAGGAAATATAAGTGTTAGTCTAAGTTTCACATTGTATAAGAATAAAAAGTTAAACAATATATAATAAAGAAAGACCCATAATCGAATGTTGTAAGATTTTTTATTAAAAATTGATATTAATTCTGATATGAGATGAACTCGTATCTCATTAATATATTTTTCCCCTATAAAACCCCTTAAAAAACATAACAAATTCCTATCACACCTATTACTATGAGCATGAAAATTTGAATTAAAAATTATTGTATTCACTTCTAATAATGAAGCATAATAAATCTGGTGAACCTCGTAATTTTTCATCTCAAACTCATTATCTTGTAAAGGTTATTAGTATCATATTTTGTTATTAGTATCATATTTGTTATATCATCAAAGCATCTCGTTGAACTTTATCAATTTGGTGATTCTGCTTATGATAATATTTGATTTTTTTACTAAACCAAAGGAAGAATTGACTAACTTATTAGCCATCGAAAGTTAAGAAATAATTTAACTTTTATTTTTATATGCATAAAATAATGTTGCATGATATTTTATTTATACCGTTTTATTGAAATATTACGGGATTATCATTAAAATAATATTATATATTACTCTGGTATAATATTATATGTTTTGATATTATTTAAATTTAAAATAAATTTTAAATCTTTTCATGATTTAAAACAAAAAGAAATTAAATTAAATTGTGATATTAAATATATTAAAATAAATTATGTGTGATTAATACACTTAAACTATATTTATTTTGTCCTCTTACCAAATTTCATATTTATAAATATATATATATATATATATATATATATATATATATTTTTTTTTTTTAATATTTTGTACAAATTTATTAAAAATAATAATAATATTTTAACACTTTCATTGTTTGTTTGAATATGATGTTCATTTAAACGATTATCTTTGAAACTTAATACATTAATGTTGAATTGTGTATCTCTTAATAATATAATTACTCTTTCGGAACCTTCAATTTTTTTTAGTAAGATTTTAACGAGACATAATCTTTTATTATTAAACATTCAAAATGAAGAGTGCTATGAATAATTATTGGATGTGTATTATTTTTTATAATTTTATTTTTATTTATATAATTTAAATAATAATTATTTTTAAATGGTATATGTACCAATAAATATATAGGTCCTTTGAAAAAAAATCCAAGTGAAATCATATTATCTATCCTATTTTATTTTTATTTATATTTGTTTCAATCATATTTTATAACAATTAATTTTTTATCAAATTTATGACTTTGTTAAAAATATTAGCATACATTATTATAAGTTATAAGATTGATAGTCAAATATTATACTAAAGAAAAATAAAATTATATAATTCAATAACATCTCACAAATTCCATTCAAAATTCAAAACTTATCTTTTATTATATTATAAATAATCTATTTATAAGCTAAATTATTTTAATTATAGATTATAATAATAATTATCTCTAAATATCTAATAATTCTTATTAATTTTATTTTTAATTTTTATTATATAAATGATAACATGAACGATCATCTTTTCTATATTTCTGATTTATAATATCAAAATAAAAATTATTAAAAGAATTAAAATTATGTTCACTTTTAGATAATACTGATAATCTAATATCATGAATATATTATATTACAACTAACTTATTTATATAGTGAATTATTATAACTGTAATAATAATACTCACTAAATACTTATTTAATTCTCATTCATTTTACTTATACTTTTCATTTGAGATTTTTAGTTTACCAATACTAATTTCAACTCACTTAATTTTATAAAATATTTAAGTTATTACAATAGTCTCTATAAACTTGTTTTATATTAATTTAGTCTTTATTAAATTTAAACATAAATATTTTGTCCAATGCATTTATGTTGTCAACAAAAATATGACTTGAGGAGGAAGAAAATATAATCTGTGACTTTTGTGTGAAATTTAACTCGTAAGTAATAATCCCTTTACTAGATGAAAATAATGATGTTCTACATTTTTTTTTTTACTTTTACGGAATTTTAAAAAATAATAATTAATCATAATTATTATAATAAAATTAAAACATATAAGTAAAATTATTTAATAAATTTAAATAAAATTCATTTTTAAAAAATCTATAGAAATACAAAAACACGTTTAAACTTAAATTATATGTAATCTAAGTCTGTTGTAACGATTTGTAGTTTATTGTGGAAAAAAAACTTCTAAATTCTAAACAACAGAAATGATTTAAAGTTAAAGGGAGTTACAGAATTATATTAAAAAGGAAAAAAAAAAAAAGAGAGCAGAGAAGAAAAATGAAAATGATGAAGAAAGAAGATAACAGAAGGCATAGGCATCAAAATGAGAAAATGAAAAACCAGAACTTTGTGTTTTCTGTTTCACTCTAACATTCTTCTCTTCCACCAATGTTGACATCTCCACTCTTGCTCTCTCTCACCCTCTTCCTCTCCCTCCCTCTCCTCCTCTTCCTCTCCCCCCGTCTCCTCCTCTCCCCTCCCGACGCTGACGACCTCGCCCTCTTCCGCCGCGCCTCCGCCCCCCACACCACCTCCCACCTCTCCTCCACCCCCAAAATCGCCTTCCTTTTTCTCACCAACACCAACCTAACCTTCTCCCCCCTCTGGCAAACCTTCTTCTCCCACTCCCACAGCCACCTCTTCAACATCTACATCCACGCCCACCCCGCCATCATCCCCCCCGGCGGCCCCTTCCCCCGCGCCCGCTTTATCCCCTCCAAACCCACATCCCGAGCATCCCCCTCCCTCATCGCCGCCGCTCGCCGCCTCCTCGCTGCCGCTCTCCTCGACGACCCCCTCAACCTCTACTTTGCTCTTCTCTCCCAGCACTGCATCCCCCTCCACTCCCTCCCCTTCACCCACAGCTACCTCTTCAAAAACCCCACCTTTCCCCACCGCAGCTTCATCGAGATCCTCTCCCACGACCCCAACCTTCACGCGCGCTACGACGCGCGCCCCCCCATGCTCCCGGAAGTCCCCTTCTCTTCCTTCCGCGTCGGCTCTCAGTTCTTCATCCTCACCCGCCGCCACGCGCGCCTAGTCGTGCGTGACGTCCGCCTCTGGAACAAGTTCCGCCTCCCCTGCCTCACCGAAGAACCCTGCTACCCCGAAGAGCACTACTTCCCCACGCTCCTCTCCATGGAGGATCCGAATGGCTGTACCGGGTTTACCCTCACCCGGGTCAACTGGACCGGGTGCTGGGACGGCCACCCCCATACCTACACCGCGCCGGAGATCTCGCCGGAGCTTATTCACCGCCTGAGGCGCTCTAACTCAAGCTATGTTTACCTCTTCGCCAGGAAGTTTGCGCCGGAGTGTCTCCAACCGTTGATGGGTATCGTCGATGACGTCATTTTCCGGGATTAAAGTGGAGTGGTAAGTGACTGAGAACTTTCTGGTTTCTGCTTCTACCACACTCTGTGCTGACGTCACTCTTGGTTTTTCTATTAAAAAAATTGAATTTTGTAAAAGAAAAGATAAAGGGTAGATAAATAATCGTCCTTATTTAAACAAAATTCTCAATTAGGGTTTGTATTGGGAAGTTTTTATATGAACATTTTTAGGAGAAAGGAATAAAAAGAAAAAGTAAAATCAATTCCACAAGGGTTTACTGATAAATTTGTTTCATTCATAGGTTGTTAAGTTTAGTTATACAATTTTTATATTTTAGGATTAATTTAACTGTAAGTTATTAAGTTGGAGGACAATTTTGACATTAAATATATGTAGAAGACAAAGAAGTAATAGTTGTACATCTTAGAAGGATTAAATTAAATTTTTTGTTCTTTCTGTGGTACTAAATTTTCATCGCCCAATTAAAAAATGTCGCCTTTTGACATTTTGTGAGAGAAAAAGGGTAGGATAGAGTGTTTAGGATAATTCATGCCACTAATTTCATTTACATTGGAGTGATTCAGAATGTTGCACATTCTAGTTTGATAAATAGTAAGTCTTTTTAGGGTTACTTGGATTTTAACAGTCATTTGAAATGCTATAAACTCTTAATTCTTATAGAATAATGTGAATAATATCACATAATTGATGAAGAAAACAATAAGGGAAAGAATATATTAGGTACGACTAATCCGCTCCTCAACTATAATCTATATTTAATAGTTGTTGGCTTTGATGTGACCACTATTCTCTGGTTTTGCTTTTGGTGTTTGCTGCTTGGAATTGTTCATGGTTATGTACGAGTTGTGATTAAAAAAGTGTCTTTTTGGTTTGATTAAGATCAAAGATTAGTGATGGGTAGGTATAAGCATTTGTTTTATTGCCAAGTCATAATCTAACCCTTATAAGAGATAAAGACACTTAGGAGAGTTTAACAACAGCAAATATCTTATTAGCAAGATGCTCATCAAACTCACCCAAAATTCTCAGATGTGTGATACTGTGAGGTTTCTTTCAGTTTGTTTGATGCCAAGTTGTCTCATAGTACAAAGATCTTAACATGATGATAACAGAACCCTACAGATCATACCAGTCACTTTCTCCTCTAGTTACTCCTGCCCTATATGATTACAAGATCTTAGTACAGCTATGCACAAATCTGGTTAGAACACATTAGACCAGGGTCACCAATAAAAAAATGTTGCATTACCACTCATTTAATCACAGAAAACCACACACCTGCAACTGTGAGTGATTGATCATACCCTCTTTCTTATTTTTATTTACATGATAAAGATTAGTTCTTGATTTGAGAAAAGTACATCGATCAAGACTGAGTTATGCTCTATGTTTTACTAAATTCAAAAAAGAAATATCATTCATGTACAGGAACCCTTAGATTAGATCTTTATTTTGCAATATGACTTCACCTACATTGAGTAGAATAGAAAGTGATCTTAGCAATTGTGAATCAGTTATCCAATGGTAATCTTTGAAGGGTCCTACATATAGGTACAGGATAGGCAGAATCTTTCAATACTTATCACTACCAACTTGCAGCATCTCAGAAGAGCATATTTTCTGCCTTGGTCATTTTCACTGGTATAATAATACTGCTAAATAGTTGAAATTCTGTACCGAGGTCACGTGCTTGAGAATGTGATCTTCATTACATCCAACCATAAAAAAATATGCTAGTGATTGATATAATATCCATGTGTCCATATGTGCATCAGTTACTGGATCTAACCACTGCATTTGACTAATTCTCTCACGTGAATCTGTTCTATATTGTATTTCAGGGCATCTTTGGGAAGAGAAAGGCTTGCGTTGATGTTGAATGCAAATGTGTGTACAGAAAGATCTGATTTCTTTAATTGTAAATCTTGTTTGTGAACTGACTAGAGGCTTAGTGTGGAGTGCAAAAGGCAAAGTGGTCTCCAAAGGAGGCCACATGGTAGAAGAATGTTGAGAACTGTATTCTTAAAAATCTAATGCAACAGTTTCACCGCTAAGGTGCTGAAAATTTGTAAATTTTGTAAAAATATTATTTTTGAACTTGTAGCTTATTTCAGTAGTGTTGTCTTTTCGAATAAATAGGACGAAGGAAGAAATTAAAGAGAAAGAAAGTGGCGGAGAGGATTCCGAGTCTCACATCGATTTTGAGTGTTATTTATTGGAGAAAAATAAAAATATAACAAAAACAAGGTCGCTGGATTTTAATTTATTTTAGATAGAATTTATAAAAGGGTAAAAAATCATTTTCAGATGGAGGTTTATGTTGTGAAAACAAGTTCACTACTTTTTAGATCTAATTCCTTATTTAAGGAGACACTTTTTAATTCTATTATTTTTAATAAATTTTAGATTTATTTATATATTTTATTAACCATTTACGAATTTTATCTCCGAACTTTGGTTTCTTTATATCAATTCACAAACTTTATTGATTCGTGAAAATTTAAAGAAAAAAGTTATGCGGCAAAAAGAAATTCAAATAATATTATTTTGTTATTAATTTTTTAAAACGATATCGTTTCACTTTGTGTTTATTCTTTTTAACTTCTTTTATATATTTTATCTTTGAATTAGAAATTTAACAAATCAAAGTTAAAATTTTGGATGATAATATTAAAAAAAAGTTTAAATGGTAATAATAATAATAATAATAAATAAATAAATAAATAAATGTGTAATTAAAATTATTTTTTATCAATAAAGTAATTTAGAAAGTATGTTATTTTTTATCTATAGAATTTGTTATTAAATTAATTAAGTGATGAAATTGTTCTACCTTTACTAGTTCTACATGCTTGAACCAAAAAATATTTCATCGTTAATTGTTGCCATGCCAACAAAGAAAGAAACTGAAAAGCAAAGAAATGGAATTACATTTGTTCTTTGGGGTCGTGTTCATCTAAAATATGAAACACAAAGAAGAAGAAAAAAGGTACTTAAGTTTTAATAATTTTATAACTTTGTTTTTTAAACATAAAGTTTCCGTCTTGAATATTCATTTTGCCCCACAGAAATTTTATTCGTGAGATATGACAATGAAATGTTGACATTATTAGTAAAAAGTTTGGATTTTTTTTATGCATTTCTTGTTCATGTTTAACTTTCCACATCCTCCTCGTTTAACTTCATTAATGGTGAAAACATCCATTTTTATAGAGTTTTACACTTATAGAATAGGTTAATCTAAGTTTATTTGAATAATTTATTTTTTTAAATTAATTTTTGAAATCAATGTTAATTTTTGAAAACCACAAAATAAAATTTTAAAGCAAAAACTATAATAATTAATTCTAAAGATGTATTATAATAATAAAAAGAATTAGATATATTATTGAGATATTTTCGTTTTTAATTTAATTATATATTATAAGTTGAGACTAATAAAATAAATTTAATTATTTATGATTTTTTATTTTTTAATATTGCACTATGAGATAAAAAAACATGATATTTATGGATTATAAAAGTTGTATAAAAAGAAATTAAGGTAATAAAATAATATATAATTAAAGATAAGTAAAAAAAATTGAAAACCAAACTTACATAGCACAAATTATAATAAACCCTAATTAAAAATGATAACTTACATGTTATGTTAACATTCTATAACTACTAATATATCTTTTAAATGATATGTTATGTAAACAGTGGTTCGAAAGTGCACATTTTTAATAAATATGGAAACTAAAATTGAATAATTACAATTAAGGAAATTGAAATCCACCAATCACTATACTTCCAAGATGAGAACGTAATTGAATTTTAGGTTAAACAAATTTTTTTAAATTTAATTTTACATTTATTTGCCGTACGAGATTTTTATATATTTTAAAACATTTACCTTGCAAACCTGCACGTCCTTATCCAATCCTACTCACATAACGTCGTATCTATGATTTTCATGTTCACTTTCTGTCTCACGTAACAATTTCATAAACTTTTTTGGAGAAAATTCTAAGACATTTTTCAAATTTACTTTTTATAATTGATTAAATTTTAAAAATTTCATAAAATTTATAGTCTCTTATTTGACGTTTTTTCTCTCTTAATTTTATAATTTTTAATTAATTTTAACCAAGCGTGAATGTCAAAAGGGGTGATGTTTGTTGTCAGAAAATTTGATACTTGTAGGATTTGTTTGGACGATGATGCAACGCGCACACAGAGTTACATCGAGAAGGTGGTAAAACAGTTAAACCGGCAAACACGCCCTTGTCCTAACGCGAAACACACGCGCGTATAAATGATGCGAAAACTCGAAAACGTAAAATCACTCACCATCTTTCACTGCACTGAACAGATAAAGAAAGGAAAACATCAACTTAAGAGTGTTCCGAAAAGATGGCGCAGGAAGTGGTGGAGGGGTTCAAGTTCGAACAGAGGCACGGGAAAGAGCGCGTCAGAGTTGCGCGCGTCTGGAAGACGCAGCAGGGTCACCACTTCGTTGTGGAGTGGCGCGTGGGAATCACGCTATTCTCTGATTGTGTCAACTCGTATCTCCGCGATGATAACTCTGACATAGTTGCAACTGATACCATGAAAAACACAGTAACAACAATCACCACCTTATTAATTTCTGTTATTTTTTGTGTTTTTTTTATTCTTTTTATCCTTGGACTTTAACTCTGCAACTTGTGCTTGTTCTGATTAGTGATTCCTGTTGGAAGGGGCTAATCATAAAGGTTTCGAATATTTCAAGAAAGTGATTACCTTATTCGGTCCTATTTCGAGTAAGATTGTTTACGTGGAAAGATTTGTGAGGAAAGTGGGAAACAAAAAACTAGAAACACATGATCGGATGTTCAAATCTATATCGTTTTGAACTTTCATTATTTTTTATTTTTGTTTTATGAACTGAGAAGGGTAAATTGAGAGTGGAAAGGGCATTTGGCTCAGTTAAGTTTATGGATTACCTTAATATTCATTTAGGAGAGAGGTTGAGTTGTGCAGCTTGAATTTGTTTGAGTTCTGATTGCTCGCTAATGATCTTGATCCAATGCATTTCACTGCTTGGATTTTTCTAATTTTGTGCAGGGAATATGAATCTGTTTGCATATTGTTCCGCAAGTGAAATCAAGTGTTTGGGTTTGTGAAGTTTAGAGTTTTAATTCTTTGGGCTCTCCAATGGGGCTGATAGAATAGCCAGTTGTTTGATTTCTGGTTGTGAATTTTTTAATCCGGCGACCCTTTTGATCTGATATATGCTTCTTGCTTGAGATCTATTTTGAATGGTTTACTCATGTTTTCCTGCAAATGATACTCACCAGGCTATTCCCTGAAGCCTTGGTTTTAAATATATGTAATACTAACATGATATTGTCCTTGTTCCAAAGACATAGTAATAAGGATTTAGCTTGAAATTTTCAAGGTAGACCATGTACATGAATCTTTATTCTGTTTTCTTTTACTGGTGCCAATTTCCTGGAGTTGAATTTATACAGAACAGGAATGTATTTTCCTGGTCTTCAGTTCACTGAGTTTTTATTTTTATCTAATTTGCAATTAGGTGTATGCAAAAGCAAAGGAATGCTCGGACATACTTTCTGTCGAGGACTTTGCTATTCTACTTGCCAAGCACTTTGTATCATTTTACAAGAAGGTTGGTGACTTAAAATCTATTATCATTATCTGTATTTTCTGCTCCTGTATTCTGTACTGATTTTTTAATCTTTTTAGGCTAAACATCTTATTGTGAACAGTCTTTTGTCAGAAATTATTGCCATCCTTCTCATATTTTCTTGTAATGTCATTATATACATCTTTGGTTCAACTTATTTTGGGAAATATTGAGAAAAACTCAAGTCTCAACCAGTAGGACTAAAGTATTGTATATAAGTTAGAGACATTCCTCACCTCCGGCATTAGTTTTGTGGGATTGAGTTTGGTACAAAACCAAACTATAAAAGATTTTATATAAGAGTTTATCCTAAAACCATTAATGAATCATCTACCATATTATTCACACACCAAGTGCAATAGTGTTGAGTGTGTGAAAGTGTATTGGAAAAGAACTCAAGTCCAATGTTGACGATAGATCTGCAAGGACTATTTACCATGTTATCCACCTACCAAGGCTAAAAAGAGAGAATAGTTGTCCATTTTTGCTTGTTTGCTTAATGAAATTTTAAAAAATTAGGGATTATTTATCATGAAAAAGCATTTTGACACGTGGTAGAAAGAAAATCATTGCATGCTTTTCTTATTTTTGAAAAGAAATTCTTGCTTTTCTGTAGGTTACTGGTGCTATTGTGAATATCGTGGAAAAACCATGGGAGCGTGTCATTGTGGATGGTCAACCACATGAACATGGTTAGTCAAACTACTATTACTATACAATGCAAAATTTCTTTTTTAAACGGTGCTTGTTATATCGTACTCGGGACAGGTTCTGCCTTTGTTAGCCTTATTTCATTCAATTTGTGTTACAGTTGAAGAATCTTTACGTAATTGTAGTAATAAAATCTGAAATATTTAGAAGAGTTTTAGTTACCCTTTGTTTTGTTCAAACTTGCATTTTGGCTCTTGAACTATGCAGTTTTCTTGGCTATGATTTTTTTTGTTTTTTCCCCTTTGGTTTAAGTACTTACAGTTGAAAAAAAATTTGATAAGTTTTGGATTTAGTGGAAAAGATCTGACTTATAAACTGCATTTTGTTTTCCTTTTCTGAGTCCTTGATTTTATTTCTGTAAGGTTTCAAACTTGGGTCTGAGAAGCATACCACAGAGGCAATAGTACAGAAGTCCGGTTCACTACAATTGACTTCTGGTATTGAAGGATTGTCAGTGTTGAAGACAACCCAGGTAAGCTTTCTATACGTAAACCTGTGCTTTGATTTTCCTATAGTATTTCTAATTTCTTTAACTGTAATACAGAAGTTATCATAAAAAGATGTAATTGTTGGTACAAATGCCATGGTATGATAGAGAACTGGTTTTCGAAATGTGTTGTGTTGCATATAATGATGCATAGTTTGTTGCAAAGATGTATTAGATAACTCTTCCACGAATCATGCTTAAAAAATACACGTTGATGCTAGTTTCCTTCTCCTTTTTCCAGTCTGGTTTTGAGAAATTCATAAGAGACAAGTACACAGCACTTCCTGATACCCGTGAAAGGATGTTGGCAACAGAAGTAACTGCTCTGTGGAGGTAAGTTGTGTCCACTTAATCTTCTATAAACCAGTCCTGTAGGCACAATGTGATCAATTTCATTACAATTTCTCGAAATTTTTCTTGTCATTCATTAATTGTAAAATGAAAGAGTTTCACACAGCATCATCCAGGTAAGGATTATTAGACTTGAGAAGTTTTCTGATTGATCAAAACACTGGTGTTCTTACCTTATTTGGTTGTAGGTATTCGTACGAATCACTGTACACCCTTCCTCAGAAGCCACTTTACTTTACAGACAAGTATCTGGAAGTTAAAAAAGTTCTGGCTGACACTTTTTTTGGTCCACCAAATCGGGGAGTCTACAGCCCATCTGTTCAAAACACACTCTACCTAATGGCAAAGGCCACACTGAACAGGTTATCTGTCTCTCTGTTGCCTCTGCATTTCAAGACACTTTTGGTTTACCCCTAAATGCCACAAGTTTAATGCATATGCAACAATCACAGAGGGAGTAACAAAACTTTTTTGCTTCAGATTTCCTGACATAGCTTATGTCAATCTAAAGATGCCAAATCTTCATTTCTTACCAGTCAACATCTCAAACAAGGATGGTCCAATTGTGAAGGTATTGATTCTTTCTCCTGAGAAGCTTGCACAAGTTAGTGGAACCCTGTTAGGAACAAGACAATAATAAAGGAAAGAATAAAGGAGAGAAAAATAAACGACACAAGAATTTTAACGTGGTTCGGCTAAAATATGTATGCCTACGTCCACGACTACACTAGGAAGTATTTTTATTTCTGTGTATATCTCAAACTTTACATAGGGTTGCTTATATAACAAAATAGAGAATCTCATCTCACAATCCTAATCGATGTGGGACTAAATCAAGCACCATAATACTAACAATTCTCCCACTTGGAGTTTGATTTACGTTACCACCTAGTGTAGTGCCTTCATCATCAATTTGCTCGAAGGCCAGTTGAGGCAATGCAAAGCCTCAACTTAGTTGTTGTAACAGTCTTGGTCAACATATCGACGGATTCTCTCGCACCTGGAATCTTCAACAAACTCAAGTCTCCATCATTTATCGGGTTTCGATAAAATGATACTTCAATTCAATGTGCTTACATCTCGGAATGAAGGATTGGATTTTTAGCAAGACAAATAGCACTTTGATCTGTCACTAAACAACGGAGAACCATCTTGTTCTCTTCCTAATTCTTTTAGAAGGTTCTTCAACCATATCATCTCCTTCGCCGCTTCGAGATAGCTACATACTCGCTTCAGTGGTTGAGAGAGAGACTCTTCCTTGAAGTTTAGACTTCCAACCGATAGCTGTACTACCCAATGTAAAAATATAACCTGTTGTGCTCTTTCTACCGTCAAGATCACCTCCCAAGTCTCGCATCGAAAACCCCTGTAAAATGAGATTACTTCTCTTGAAAGACAAATGCATCTTTGAAGTGCCTTTCAAATATCCGAATATCCACTTCACTCCTTCCCAATGCTCCTTTCCGGGATTTGATAGAAATCTGCTCACAACTCCCACTCGCATGTGCTATGTCCGTCCGGTGCAAACCATAGCATACATCAAGCTTCCTACTGCAGATGCATATGGCACTTTAGACATGTGACTTTCTTCTTCTTCTGTTTGAGAAGATTGCCTCTTTGAAAACTTTAAGTGAGTTCCCAAAGGTGTATTTCTGGTTTTAGCATTCCCAACATTGAATCTCGCTAAGCAATTTTTCTATATATTTTTCTTGAGATAAGTTCAAAATACCTTTATCTCTATCTCGGGAGATTCTCATACCAAGAATTTGCTTGGCTGGACCAAGATCCTTCATTTCAAAGCTCTCCGACAATTGTTTCTTCAACTTGTCAATTTCTGCCATATTAGCTCCAACAATCAACATGTCGTCAACATATAAGGCAAGAATGATATAGCTATCAACATATTTCTTCACATAACAACAGTGATCTTCTTCACATCTCGCGAAATCCCGAGTTTCTCATAAACTCATTAAACTTCTTGTACCATTGTCTCGGCGCTTGTTTTAATCCGTACAAACTTTTATGAAGCTTGCATACAAGATTTTCTCCGCCTTGTACTTCAAAACCTTTTGGCTGTGTCATAAAAATTTCCTCTTCAAGATCCCCATGTAAGAATGCAGCTTTTGACATCTAACTGCTCCAAATGAAGATTTTCTCACAGCTTACTATACTCAAGATAACTCGATGGTAGTCATCTTGACAACAGGAGAGAAAATTTCGTGAAGTCAATTCCTTGTCTTTGTTGGAACCCTTTCACTACGAGTCTAGCCTTATATCTTTTGCCGCCATCCGGTTCTTCTTTCAACCTATAGACCCACCTGTTTTGCAAAACTTTCTTTCCTTCCGGTAGCTTGGTTAAAGACCATGTTTTATTCTTCTGAAGGGACTTTATCTCATCTTCCATTGCTAGCTCCCACTTAATAGATTCATCTCCCCGCATAGCCTCAGCAGAAATGCTCCGGCTCACCGACATCGATCAACAACAAATAATGCAATGAAGGGGAATACCTTTGTGGTGCTACAATTGTTCTCGCTAGATCTTCTAACCAAGATTTCAGGAGTTGCCGACTCTACTATTTGTTCAGTTTCGTCTCGTGCTCGACATAGGCTCTACTTGTATATTCCGCCTTCGGTTGACTACATCACTTTCTGAAATTTCTTCTAATGATACTTGCTCTAGCTGTTTATTTACATTTGCGTATTCTCGCAATCCCGTCTCTATAGAACATGTTTTCATTAAAAGTAACATTTCTACTTCGATAATTTTCTTGTTTTGGTCATCCCAAAACCCGTAGCCAAACATGTCAGATCCATAACCAATGAAATAACAACGTTTTGCCTTAGGGTCCAATTTATCTCTACTATTAGAGTCTAACATAACATATGAAGCACAACCAAAAACTTTCGGATGTGAAAGATTTACCTCTTTTCCAGACCATACTTCTTCGGGTAACTTATAGTCTAAAGGAACCGATGGTCCTCTCGTTTATGAGATAGGTCAGCTGTGCTTATTGCATCCGCCCAAAATACCTTGGGTAATCCCGACTGGATTCTCATACATCTTGCTCTCTCATTCAAGGTTCCGTTCATTCTTTCTGCCACACCGTTTTGTTCTGGTGTTCCTGGAACTCGTCTTGATCATTCCGATCCCATTCTCTCGAACAAAACTCCTTGAATTGACTACTCGTCATATTCTCCACCATTATCGGACTTCAAACATTTGACCTTTAAACCTGTTTGAGTCTCAACCTCCTTTTTCCACCTTTTAAACACAGAAAACACATCGATTTATTTTTAAGAAAATAAACCCATACCTTTCTTGTAGAGTCATCAATGAAGGTTACATAATATTGTGAACCTCCAAGGGATTTCACCGAAGCCGGCCCCCAAACATCTCGTATGCACTAGTTCTAGTCTTTCAACTTTAGACGACTTACTTGTTTTGGAGAAGCTAACCTTTTTCTGCTTTCCAAAGATACAATGTTCGCAAGGTCCAACGTCAACGTGCTTCACGTTAGGTATTTTACCTTTTGATATCATGAGCTTCATTCCTTTCTCACTCATATGCCCAAGCCTCGATGCCATAAGGAGGAATTGTTGCCAACTTCGCAATCGATATCATATCCTCATCTCGCAATCATGTAGAGAGATCCTTGCTTCTTTCCACGAGCAACAACAAGATTACCTTTCATTACCTTCCAATGTCCATCTCCAAAGTGGTGTAATGTCCCTCATCATCCAACCGCCCTATAGATATTAAGTTTCTCTTTAGGGTTGGAATATGTCCGACATTATTCAAAGTCCACACGTTTCCATTAGAGGTTCCGATGTTAATATCACCTCTTCCTATGATATCAAGAGATTTTCCATCTCGCAAGGTAGACCTTCCCAAACTTTCCGAAACATAGTTAGATAATAGTTCTAAGGAAGGTGTAGTATGAAATGACGCACCTGAGTCCATAATCCATGAGTCAATAGAATTATCTAAACTACATAACAAGTGCATCTTCAACTTCATCGATTCGTCGCATTTGCCGATTGATCATCATCTTGCTTCTTGTTGTTGTTGTTGTCCTTCTTTGGAGCCCTACACCGATTTGAAAAGTGGCCCTTTTTCCGACAATTCCAACAAGTGATATCATTCCGGACTTTTGCTTGTGATTTCCTCTCGGATTTTGATCTCGCCTCGGCCTTGATTACGACCTTTCCGGCGACTTCTTCCTCTAGTTTCAAGCACTCAATGCCGAACCCGAATTAGAACTGAAAGATTCTACTCAATTTTTTCTGCGAACATCTTCGCTTAAGATCAAGTCATGGATGTTATCAAGCTTCAACTTGTTATTGCTTGCAGTAATTACTAACTCGCAGAATGAGTTGCACCCCAACTTTCCGTAGAGATGATAATAAAATTAATGCTTTCACCTCATCATCAAATATTATCTCGCACTGATGTCAACTGCGCAATAATTGCATTAAATTCACTAATATGATTAGTAACCGAGTTACCTTCACCCATTTTGAGGTTGACTAGCCTGCGAATCAAATGCACTTTATTGGTCGCAGAGGGCTTCTCATACATATTTGACAACGCCTGCATCAAATCTACGGTTGTCTTTTCGTTCATGATGTTGAACGCAACATTCTTGGCTAATGTCACCGGATCACACCAAGCGTCTGCCGATCTAACAACTCCCATTCTGATCGCTCCATGTCGGTTGGCTTCGCCTGTCAAGGGTAGATACAACTTCTTCTGATACAGATAATCTTCCATCTCGCATCTTCCGAACCCGAAGTCACCGCCATCGAACTTCTCGATCCTCACCTTTCCTTCTTCCAATGCCATTGCTCTCACCGCTTTCGAAGAAAGCTCCCACTACTTCTCTAAACCGAGATTCCCAAGAAAAAAGACCAAATCTTTTCTGATGTGGAAGATCAGACAAAGCTGCAACCACAGAGCATACTAAGAAAATTGGCTCTTGATACCAATTGTTAGGAACAAGACAATAATAAAGGAAAGAATAAAGGAGAGAAAAATAAACGACACAAGAATTTTAACGTGGTTCGGCTAAAATATGTATGCCTACGTCCACGACTACACTAGGAAGTATTTTTATTTCTGTGTATATCTCAAACTTTACATAGGGTTGCTTATATAACAAAATAGAGAATCTCATCTCACAATCCTAATCGATGTGGGACTAAATCAAGCACCATAATACTAACAAACCCATCATGAAGTCTTCATTTATGTTCACCATTTGACTATATCCTTAGAGCATGTCCAATAATGAACACCGTCAGAGATTTTAACCTTTTTTAATGGATCTTAGTTTAAAGAATTGTACTAATTTTTTTACTCCAATGATGCAAAGATATAAAACCGTGTATTAAACTACGCATAATAGTTTTTATATAGACTGATTGCAGTATAAGAAAATTTATTCCTATATGATATTACCAAGAAATCAGATTTTAATAAATCTAAGTCTAATTTATAATCACACAGTTCTAATTAAATAAGGAAACAAATCATAACATAATCCTAAAAAATATCTAGAATACTCTAAACTATTAGAAGATGATATTATGAGATATTTTCTGCTATTTGTAACAAGAACTTAAAATAGGTTTCACAATTTATTCCATATATTTTTATTTCTTTAAAATGGGTTGTAGAAGTTACCTCCCAATTATTTTTTAATGGTTAAAAATCTGTTCTTATGTAAGATCAGATCTTACAACTTACAAGTACCATCCACACATGATCTTCTTCCACTCAACTTGTTCTTAACTTATAAGAATCCACCTAAGAACTACCATGGGGGACAGGGCTATGAAAAAAATGCCGATCCATTTTATAAAGACAGTTCAGTTTGAGTAAAACTATTCTCATCACATGAATCACCTAAAGTGCAATAAATTTTGGAAATGACCTTGTCTTGATATCTTAAAACTAGTGAATGACACACTTTATGCTTATGCAGTTTGAGGATGATGTGTACTTACCAACGGATGAGCCACATGGCTCAATCCAAGCAAGCTTGAGCCGGCTTTGGTCAAAGCTGTAGAAACTGCAGAAGCCATATATGGTGCTCATCCCTTCTGGTGGATTGCCAGTGCAGCCAAACCTGGCCTCAGAGATGCTGCTTTCCATTAATGCATGTGTCATGTAGTTCTGGTTTTTCTTATCTTTGTAGTTTGTTTCATGGAGAAACTAATATGCATGAATAACTTCCACCAGGGATATTCTGCAGGTTGCACCACTGTTAAGTTTTTCAGGTCCAAAATTCCAATAAATTTCCTAGTGTCCTTACGGAAACTGAAATAAGTGTTTTTATGAGGTTGATGCAACGCTTTTTATGGTCATACACACACACACACACACACACACATATATATATATATATATATATATATATATATATATATATATATATATATATATATATATATATATATATATATATAACATTTATCATGAAAAACCAAGGAAGCAATAATAGGAAGGTTTGACATCAATAATGATATGTTTAATGTCACATTGTGAATAATGCATATCACTCCAAAGTTTGAGTGAGTAAATTTGTGTTAAAAAATGTTTTGCAATTTTGGATTTGATTCGGTTCAATAATCTTTCTTTACACACTTAGTTTGAATATTTTCAAGATTTGAAATGAATCATGAAAACGGTTTGATTTGACTTTTGAGTTTCTTTTTTACACACTCCTTTTATTTAGAGGTACACCTTATAGGGTTTGACTCAAAATGCTTTTGGTTAAGTAAACTATTATTTATATATAATTTTGTTGAAATAAGTTTATTATGACTATATAAGTGGATGGTTGAATGTTTAAAGTCTATAAATTAACTTATTGAATTGAAATATTTAATGTCATTAGTCGTTCAAATACTTTATATTGATAAACGTAAAATCCATAAAAGAATAATAATACACTTATTTTTTATATGCATTCTGTTCTACTTGTAAAAAGATAGTAGTATTTTTAAGGTAATTATAGTTTTTATTTTTTTATTAATTTTAAATTATTACTAAAATTTTCAAAGATAAAATAAATTATTAAATATGTATAGTAAAGAAATGTAATAATTAGAGAAGTAAAAAAGGATTCAAGTTTGAGATTGCTTGTTTGAACTATGCTTTGTAAATTAAAAAAAATATATTAAGTTTCTACATACAACAATTATTTTCTACAAATTGCACATTTTAAAAATATGTGGCTTTTTCATCATCAATACTATAAAATATATTTTTCTATGTATAAACCAAACATCGTTTAAACCATTTAGTAGTTGAAAAACAATTAAAATTAGAAAATAATATAATAAAATTAGTATCAATTAATAATTTTCTCTTTTTCTTGTAGGATACCACACTTTTATTTTATGATGATAATTTTTTTATTAATATTGAAATAATTGTGGGATAAATATATAATTCCCAACCAATATTATTAATATTTTAAATCAAAATGTGATTAAGTGTTGTTTGGTCGGAATCAGAGGACCATGCATGACTACTATTATTTCTTTTCCCCACGTTTTCTTCCTTCATAAGTGTTTTTGATGGGTTGAAAAAAATTAAGGGTCAAAATTTAAAGAACGAAAGAACCAAAATAGGTGTAATTCATATGGAGTATCGAAGGTTCTTGTCCTTTCTCATATTTGCATGCACCACTGTCCCTTATGAGACCCCACTTACCAACCCTCCAAATAAATCAACAAGAAGAATCTATTTGGTCAAAAACTCAACTTCTGTGTCAAGTAAAACTCAGAGTGCTACTCTGGCTTTGCTCATCCACAAAGTTTCCCTCAACACAACACAACATTCAAAAGTCAAGTGAAACTTCACCACCCCACAGTATATATATCCACCACATGCACACCAAACATTGACCAAGTAAAAAAGGAAAAAACTTTTCTAAGTTCTTTCTAGGTTGATCATGCACAACACAACAACCATGTTGATCATGCTGTTGTTGCTCTTCAACTTGCTGATCCAGCCTCAACCTGGTGCAAGTACTGTGGTTGACCCCAACACTTTCTCCTTTGTTACTTTCACTCCTGAAAGTTGCACCAATGGTGAGCTGCTTTGCATGGGTTCAGCCACTGCTGGAAATGGGTATTTGAGTCTCACCAAAGAGCCACAACAAAGCAGCAACTCAAGTTCAACACTGTCTAACAGAACCAGCAATGTTGGAAGGGTTCTGTACCCTCATCCTGTGCATGTCTGGCCTGCAATTATCTCTACCACATTCACTATTAGGATCACTCCTTTTTCAGAAAATTCAACCGGCTCTGGGGATGGAATGGCACTAGTGTTTGCTCAAGATAACAGGCCCTCACCAAATGGCTCATATCTTGGCCTGTTTGATCAATCTACACCAGGTAAACATACTATATTAATTTTTTGTATCAAATGTCTTGTTTCAGAGTTCTGTTTTCCTATGTTTTGAATGAGATAAAATAAACAAGTTTAAAAACACTTTTATGTTGGTACATTATTTAAAACAAAATAAATAAAGTATAACCTTTCACTAAACTAAAAAATTTTAAGAATTGGGAAAAAAGTAGATAATAATATATTGGTATGCATGTTTTTCTAGTTTTATTATACAAAAAGTAAATGAGGTAAGGTTTGTGTAAGCTGTTCCTTTTTTTTGTGCAAGCCTATTTCTGGATTTGTATTTGTAAGCTGCACAAATTTTGCAAATGCACACATGATGATCAAGCAAATAAGAGCATCCCAGAAACCAATATAAAATAATAGCATACGTTTCCTTAATCTTTACACATGACAAAAGCTAAGACTTGTGTTAATATTTTGCTCAAGATCCTGTGCTCTTGATTCATAAACTTTGCAGGAAAAGAAGCAAAATATTTTTTTTTTCTAAAGTTTAAACTAAAAATGATGTTGTGTAGGTGGGGGTTTTCAACAACTAGCTGTGGAGATGGACACTTTCATGAATGAATTTGATCAAGATGGAAACCACATTGGGATAGTCACAACAAGCATCACAAATCCACTTGCATCTGAGAGTCTCAATAGCACTGGAATTGACCTCAAAAGTGGAAGAGACATTGAGGTCAAAGTTGACTATGACGGATGGAGTAAAATGATTTTTGTCTCTGTGGGATACCCTGAAGGCCAATTGAAGAATGTCCTTAACCATTCAATTAACCTACCTGACATTGTGCCAAGCTCCATATATGTTGGTTTCACATCCTCCACGGGCAACACTTTTCCTGAGAGCCACCAGGTCCTCAATTGGGTATTCACATCAGTGCCACTGCCTTTTCTTTCTGTTGAACAATCTAGAGTTGGCACCACCATCAAGACCATATTGGTAATTGTCATGGTATGCTTATTTCCTTTTATTTGGATAGCTGTTTGGAGGAAAAGATATATGAGGGGTAAAAGGAAGGGGGATATAGAAAGCCTATCAAAGACTGCAGATATCCCTAAGGTGTTCACTTACAAGCAACTATCAAGGGCCACATGCAACTTCAACCCGGAAAATCTTTTGGGAAAGGGTGCATTTGGAAGTGTTTATAAAGGAATCATATTAGACTCTGGAAAAACTGTAGCAATAAAGAAGATTTCAGCAACTTCTAAGCAAGGTATGTTTTGGTAAATAACACATCTTAACAAAGTATACTAACAACTGCAAGGGATAATGTTACAATTAAAAGACTGAATTCCCAGGTTGAAAAGTTTGTCAATAGGAACAAGTGACTTTAATCCATTTTGTCCAACTAGTAAAAAACTATATGCATGGATATGGATTCCATAATTTTGTGTCCCAATGATTTTGGTTTTCTTCTATTCTTAATCATTTTGTTTTCCCTTGTTTCTTTTGTTGTGTACATAGGTGAAAGAGAGTTCTTAGCTGAAATATGCACCATAGGGCGTCTTAGGCACAAAAACTTGGTGAAGCTCCAAGGTTGGTGCAGCGAAGGGAAGAATCTTCTCTTGGTTTATGATTACATGCAAAACGGAAGCCTTGATCACTTCATAGGCAAAGGAAGTCTGAACTGGCAAACCAGGCACAAAGTATTGACAGGATTGGCATCAGCATTACTTTACCTTCATGAAGAGTGTGGAAACCCTTTTGTTCACAGAGATGTTAAGCCTAACAATGTCATGTTGGACTCTAATCACGATGCTCATTTGGGTGATTTTGGGCTAGCAAGATTACTAAAAACTGAAGGTTCAGTGACCACAAATCTAAATGGAACTCTAGGATATTTAGCTCCTGAACTAAGCTTTACAGGGAGAGCTACACCTGAATCAGATGTGTATAGCTTTGGCATGGTAGTTCTTGAAGTCATATGTGGGAAAAGGTTAAACTGGATTAAGCAAGGGAACAGTTTTGTAGACTCTGTATGGAATTTGCATGCTCAAAATGCATTGATCGAGTGTGTTGACCAACGACTAGAGAAAAAAATTGACGAGGAAGAAGCTACAAGGGCATTAATAGTTGGATTGGCATGTTTGCATCCCGATTCCATGTTCAGGCCAAGGATGAGAAAAGTGGTGAACATTTTTCAGAACCCAAATGAACCATTAATGGAGTTACCAGCAGTGAGGCCAACAGGAGTTTATGTGTCAGTTTCTTGTAGTGCATCCTCCTCCAACTCTGGCTCTAGTGGTGATTCACAGCTCCAATCATCCTCAACATCATCGGATAGAAAATTCAATAGTCTATGAAGTATGATCAACAGTGACAAACATTTGCAACTACATGCCAGTTTTTCTCTAGTGGTGTGGAGCTTCTTTTAAGTATAAGGGACATGACCACGAAGTTTTGTAATATTTACAATTTTGACGTACTAGGTAATTTATATATAATATTTACAATTTTGATTCTTTAATTTAATAGTCATTAAATATATTTACACGTATTTATTTTTTATTATCAAGTAAATGGGGAAGATAATTATCATTTTTATTTCTTAAATTTAATTTTCATACATTGGCTATTCTCTTAAAGACAAAACAAGATTCTTTGCAAAGTGTTATAAGAAGGAAACATTTTCATGTGAACAGATTTGAATTATTTGTAATCTGCATCTGCAGTGCCGCTGCTATCATGTATATGAGAAGTTTTGAGTTTGAGCTAGTACTTTATGTATAAACTTAGATTGAGTTTTGGCATAATTTTAAATTTCACTAAAATCTTATCTTGTCCCCCCTTAATTCTAATTCAATGCAAATATGTGATTTACTTTCTAGCCTTTCTCTTCCTTGTTTGAAATACACATGGGGTAACACAAGATCAAGGAGTTGCAGTGAAAAAGCATTGTGCTTGGAATAACATATATAAGTCTAAATAAATGGTCACGCAGAGATGTGGCGTGTTCTCCAGTTATCACATGTGCAGGGGGAAAATCTCATGTGGCTAACTTTGAAAATCTTAGAAGCAAGTTTTTTCTTTAGGTTTAAGTGCTGTGCAGTTTTAGTCTTTCAAGTTTCAAGAACACTTAGAGATGCTTACATACATACTATCTACTGAGGTGAGAGACTCAAACTCATACCCTTGTGAGATGCTGGCTTGGTCCTTACCAGCTGGACCAACCTTTGTTGGTAGCCATAGAAACAAGTTGAAAACGACATATAACTAGGCAATACTGCTATACATAAAAAAAGCCACTTAAATTGTAACACTTGTAAACAAGAAGTAAGAAAACAGTAAAAGAAGAAAAAAGAAAGCAAATAGAAGATCAAGGAATGATAAAACATCAAATCAAATGAATGTGGAAGCATGTTATGCAGTTGGCATTTTGGTGGTGTCATTGATTGAGGCTATAAATGGTCATTGCTTGCATTGTGGGTCAGGGTAGTAACATTTCATACATTGCATGGATGAAGCATTTTGGTAGTGACATTGGACGAGGCTATTAATGGCCATTGCCTGTTTTGTGGGTCAAGGTTGTATTTTCATATATTACTTGTATGAAGCATTTTGCAGGTGTTTGATTAAACTGATTTTGATGAAATAATAGCTCGCTTTTTTTAGATTATGTTTCTGAAAATTAAGTCAGTCTCTAAATTTGAGCACATGAACTAGCATTTTAGAACTTCAAATATGCATGAATTAATCTGTGTCAATGCTTACTTTCAAGCCTTAATAAGATGGAAATCAGTGCTCCTAGAAAGTTTGGTCTGTGTATAGATATCAAATATTTTAATCATCTTCATCATGAATCAGTTTCAGAATCGTAGTCTCGAAGTTAATTCCTCACCAGCAGCATGCATGTGACAAGTGAATATATATATATATATATTTTTTTTTTTTCACCTTTAGTTTTATGTTTCACTCTAATATATAATAAGAATGTTTTGGTTTTATGTTTGGTAAGAGGAATGTTATTAGAGTTAATATCTCATTTATGTATTGTACCAATTAAATTTAATTTCGTTATGTTTTTATTCTTAAAAAATTTTCAATAAAATAAGATAGAAAAATATATATAATCTCACATGAAAAAAACGTATGAGTATAAATATATTATAATTTTTTTTGAAGTTTACGTAGTCTACTTTATTAGTTTTTATATAAGATTATTCTTTTATTTAAAAATAACAATTCATTTTTAAAAAATATCTTACTTATTTAATACATAAAAAATATAATAAATAAATAAATACAAATAAAAATAAATTTTGAATTTATTATATATATATATATATATATATTATAATATCAAATATGAGTTATGTAAATTAAAAAATATAATTTTAAAAAATTGGTTAAAAGTAGTAAGAATATACTGATAATAAATTTATTTTTATTTAATTAGAATTTAATATATATAATAAGGTTATCAGTTTTTATAATAATTATCTTAAAAATTACATAAAAGACTAAAATGTTTTTTAAAAATTAAAAAAGATACTGAATATAAAAGATAATTGAAAGATGAAAAGTTGAACGGCCTTTATAAAATAATATAGTAAAAATAATGTAAATCTATTCCACTTATATTTTATTTTTTATTTTAATTCTTATAATCTTATTCACTCATCCTTTTTATTAGTAAATCACTTACTATTTTTTTTGTATTTATTATATTTTAAACAGACCATACATTTAAATTTTACGTATTTTTTATTGTCTATTTCTAAATTTTACTTTTCAATAACTTAGCCTTTTAATTTTTTATCATCCATAATTTTAGTATATGATAATAATTTTTATCTCTTAATTTTAACTTTATTCAATTTGATCAAAAAATAATATGGGGCCTACACCGAAAAGTGCAAGAAAAAACAAAAAAAAAAGAGACAAAATGAAACACAACAACAATATCATATGTAATATGTTTGTTAAAATAGAGTTTAGAAAATCTGTCATAATCAATTATGGGATATAAAGCATGATTGATTTTAAGTGCTTATAGAATTTTTTTTTTTTCAAATCTTAATTTTGTAAAATTAAAAAAACCAAAATATGTATTACTGTAAAAATATTTCTGTTTTTCAACCAAATAATTTTCATTTTTTTTTCTCATTTCTTCTCAAAGTGACTATAAAAGGAAACCGACACTGAAGGTGGCAAAGAGCACCAGCCATGAAACGGCATCGAAAGTCAAAAACAGACAAAGTGCGCAAAACTGGTGACAGCACTCTTCAAAGGTGACGTCTTTTCCATTTCAACTTTCAACTGTTCCGTCTTCGTAGCAAAAAGTGAAAAATCCAAATCAAAATTCAGAAGAAGAAGAGGAAGAAGAAAGAGATGGTAATGGCTGTGGCCAGTGGTGACTTGCTGACAGAGAAAGCTTCGGCGATGAGAGCGTCTCTGGAGAGAAGCCAGACCATCACGGACGACGTCGTTTCGATTCTGGGCTCCTTCGATCACCGCCTCTCCGCCCTGGAAGCCGCCATGCGCCCTACCCAGGTAACTCACTGGTTTCAATTTTTATTTATTTTTTTAACTGGGTTTGATATCAGAGATCTCTACGAAATTGCAAAATTGTAGCAAACAGAGACCTTATTTGGGTTGTGATATGAATCTGTTAACGTCTGGTAATTTCATATATCCTTTCAATGGATGGAGGACTCATCATTGACTAGAGCATGACCCAAAAAATTAAAAAGTTTGTTTTTTCAGATAAATGTCAAGGTCTCTGTGACTGCCACTCTGGTCGCATTTGTTTGTAATTTTCCACAATCAAAGATCGCGACGAAATTTTCCACTGTGGTTGCATTTCTCTACAATTTCCTACAATATCAAAGATAGCAACAAAATTGTGACTGCAGTCACAGAGACCTTATTTAGAGTCTGTGTGACTGTAACTGTGATCATATTTGTCTTGCTTTCGTGCGAAAGGATCGTGATGGAACCACAAACAAAGACCTTACTTTTGGTCTTTTTGATTGCAACTGTGCTTGCATTTGTCTGAAATTTTGCACCGTATCACGGACTGTGAACATTATTTCTTGCTTAGCATTTAAGGAACATTTGGTTTTGCGTTTGCTTCTTTTTCAAGGTACTCCAATGTGCTGCTGAATGTGTGGTCGGTTTTCTTTTTTTCTTTTGTGTTTGGTTTTGCAGATCAGAACAAATTCTATTCGGAAAGCTCACGAGAATATTGATAGGACTTTGAAGACTGCCGAGGCCATATTGGCTCACTTTGATCAATATTACCAGGTTCGTTCTTGTGGTGGTTACAATTGCTAAATCATTCACTGTTTGAAATTTTGAATCACCTCATGATCTGCTTCAGTCTAAAGTGTTCTATTCTTTTGAAAATTTTTCCATCCTTTCATCTGGGAAAGAGGCTTTAGAATTTAATTTTATGTGCCAATGCTTAGTCATGACCCTACCCACAGTGCTAATCTGTTGATAATAAAAATGCAAGTGTTTGTGAATGGGATCCGATACTAGCATCAAGTGTTTGAAAAATAAAAATAAAAATTTCGATAGATGTTAGATGAAGAGGAGATTAAAACTCATAAACAAGGGTTCTCAATGGCCTAACACAGCCCTCCTGTTTCATTTTGGAATTGACTGTGTAAAGATTTCCTAAAAAGCATGACAAAGGCAACTATTGGAAATATATAATGATTATATTTAATACTGTGATACAGTTCTTGAGTCTCATTTTCATTATTATACGATGATTGGTAACTTAGACAGTAATTCCAATTGTAGACATTTTCAGCTTTGGTTGAAAGAAAAAATTTCAGAGTCACCTCTTCTTTTTCAGTTCATCTATCTAAGTTTTATGGGAAAATGTCCTGCCCCAGATAGAGCATCTTTTAGTGCCTGATAACAATCTTTAATTAGGTGGAAATGTCTTGAATGGAAACTAAATCATACTGACGGGATGTTCAGAAACATTAGTGTTTGTTTATTTATATTTTTTTTAATATTTTGGATCTTGCTAATAATATTCTTGTGTGCTTCTTATCATCATTATTTCGTTATTGTTCTAGTAGTATTTGATGTGGTAAAGTACTATCCTAGTTATTAGGTATTTTGAAATCAGTTTTTTATTTATGTTTCTTCTGCTTCAGCTTTAATAGCTTGGAGTTTTCCTTTCATTGTCATGTATTTATATGATTGTGTTCCCATTGATTTAATATGCAGGCAGAGGCAAAAATAATCAAAGGACCACATGAAGATGTGAAGAGCTATCTTGAAGCAATTGATCAACTGAGACGAAACATTAGATTTTTTGGCAATAAAAAGGGTTTTAAGAATGATGATGGTATTGCCATCCGTGCCAATAATTTGATAACAGAAGCTATTTCTAAGCTAGAAGAAGAGTTTGAGCGGCTATTATCATCTTACAGGTTTGTGTTTATTAGTGTTGTTTATTTTTGACATGTTCAACCAAAAGTTCATTTTCTTGCATTAATTAAATCACCATTGGAGGTTCTTTCTCTCAGGTAAATGATATTTCATTAAATAGATCAATCTGTAAAAATAATAAAAAAATAACCTGGTAATGGTCAGGTCCTTTAACTTCTAGCTGCTAACATATAAGACACTTTCCTATCATTATTTATTTATGTATAATATGAATTTGGTTGTTAAATGAGTCCAATGTCAAGTTGACATTGTCAACTGATGATCCATATAGATAACCATCTAGTGGGATAAGGCTATTGTAATGATATGAATGGGATAGGTCTTATAAATAGTATTTAATAATATTTGAAATGTAAATTTTGTGAAATGAATTTAATCCATTTTGAAGTGCATGTTGATTTTGCTCTCTTGTATCATCCATCCGACTGTGATGTTTATACAAGGGTTTGGTATTTTTGTTGTAGTAGTTCTTATGCTTATAACTTTCAAAGCTTTATTGTGTGTCCAAGATTATAGGGTTGGTAATGACTTGATGGTGTCCTTGATAATGTTAATCATATAAATATATTCATATTTATTTAGGAAATGATTAGCTGGTGTAGAACTTTAGTTGTATGCTCGAGTAACCTTTGACATTCAGCCTGATAAAATGGTTTAGTTTCTTCTTTTGATGAAACATATATTTACTTTATTTTGCACCATCTCTTTATCTGTGTTTTTACAGTAAACCTGTGGAACCTGAACGCCTCTTTGGCTCTCTTCCAAACACAATGCGACCTTCATCAGCATCACCAGGTCGAGATGATGATTCCGGTAGCAAGAATCATTCTTCTTATATCCATTCTGAGCCACATAAAAATAATGCTGATGCTGTTGTATACACACCTCCTGTTCTTATACCACCAAGAATATTGCCGTTGCTCAATAATTTAACTGAGCAAATGGTTCAAGCTGGTCACCAACAACAGTTGCTCAAAATATACAGGTAGAGCTTCTTCTATTGACTGTTTCATCGTAAAAGAAAAAAAAAATTGCCTTGTTATGTTCTTCTATTTATGCATGTTGCATAAGTACCCTGAAGTGAAAAGTATATTAATCCTGTTGCAAGTGTAGTAAAATATGACGGAGCATTTTGTGAATGAAGCTTTGATCTTAGGTGATTAACTTGGGATTGATGTGAGGTGATTGATTAACAATTCAATTGTATAAAATAGATATAGACATGGGCGGCTAGATACATTACATGTTTCGATCTACATTCTTTTAGGCAATGTCCAGGTTGGGAAGCTTCATATTCCTTTCAAGTATGATCTGTGCATCTTTGTGAGCTTTGTTTCTTTCTATGTGTGGTTTACTAAAGGGGGGAAGCTGGTTTTGTACCATTTTGCTGCAATTCAGAGAAGGCCTGTGGATGTTATAAAGTCCAATGTTAAATCGATGCCTTCTTTAACTGATGGATTATGTTGTATATATTTTTTTTCCCTATTCTGTTTTGGGTCTTGTAAGTCTTACAAAAGCTAGGAGTTTTTTGGATTTTTTTTTTTTTTTTTTCTGTTTGGACAAGGATATGAGCTATCCTGCCTTTTATTTTTCCAGCTTCCCTAGATTATGTGAGGAGTTAAGATGCTTGTTCTCCCTGTGTATTTACAGTTGTAATTTTTTGCTGAGAATAATAAATGAAAAATCTTTGTTCTTATCAATTATTTCTTCAACTAGTGCTTTGGGAGCTTATTGAAGCCATGATTAACTAGGAAAGTTATGATTCCTTAAAGGGACAAAAAAAGGAGAGGAAAATGAGCTGATTTGCATCATGGTCTCTAAAATTCCATTGTTTGGTTGATTAATTTTATGGAACCAAGGCATTCCTATTCTTATTAAAAACCGAGTATAAGACTGTTAGAACTTTGACTTTGAAAAAAATTCATAGCAAAAATTGTAAGAATTTGTGCTCTCATACTCTTACCGGGGATTCATTCAGAGTGAAATTGTTGGTAACTTTGTCACTGCCTTTTTGGGTTTGTGTGCCAATCAAAGTATAACAGATTTTATGCATAGTTTATAAATTTCCTACCTTTAGTTAGGATAATTAAGATGTAATAATCAAGGTTATTAGACTCGAGAGTCTACGTAAACTCGTGAGAGGATTTAGACTCCACTCGTAAACTTGACTCGTAGATTCGTAAGAGTCTACTTCATATAAAAAATACCAATTTAACAATAAGTATGATAATATCGATTCCATATTGTTGAAATATAAGTTCATTCAATATAATACACCGATCAAATATCAGTTCTTAAAGTGATAAGATAACAATGAAATAACCACTAAACACAAATGTTATCGAGTTTATATGTCTTCATCTAATCCTCTAATGTAATCATCTCCCTCGTGATCTTCATCACCATTGTCATTATCACCATCAAGTTCTTCCTCCTTAGATGAGAAGTGTGCATCAACATTGGGATAAAAAACTATATTATCAAACTCAAATGCATCTAAAGTTGGATCATATGAACTTGATCCAACTAAGTTAGCATTTCCACCATCACCTTCCACTTGAGTTTGCTCAACCTAAACATTATCTCCCTTTTTAGTTATCCATTCATCATCTAACTCAATATTTTTAAATGGGAGAGCAACACTTTTCCTACTTTGTTTATTTTTCAACTTAAAGTTATACATGACATAAATCAAATCATTCATTTTTTTCTGGTGCAAACGATTTCTTCTTTTTGTAACCTCTAATTGAAGAATCAATTTTAATAAATATATAAACCAAATCAAGATAATTAAAAAACAAATAATTACATAAACTTGAATTACCATTCAAATGAGCTCCAATTACGTTCACACCCGGAAGAGCTACAAGTCAAGCTCAAAGCTCAAATAGCAAACCTCTACTCTGGAGTTCCATTCCCAGACATCTCCCACCATTCTCCAGGAAGCATAGCTTTCCTACAATACTTTTGCATCTTCCATAGAAAAGAGTCTTTTTGCATAATGAAAGTTAATGAGTTGTTGATTTTTTTCCTTTTTGCAGCATTATTAATCAATCTTTGCATGTATACAACCCTCCTTTCACCTCAGGATCATATCTAAAATTAGGTTCATAGTGTAAATGGGGATTAAGATAATAAGTTAAGGCCTATGGGGTTGATTATCCCACCTCTCATCAATGATTTTCCAAATAAGTTCCTAACTACAAAAATACCAATTGTGCTATATTAGAATTTGATTACAAATTAAGTAATTAAATTCTAAATGATATAAGGTTTAGAATTTTTACTTTTTCTTAATATTATTGAAGTAGTTCTTAATCTTCTCCTTTGCACAATCCATCTACATATATGAAACCCATTGCGGGTTTTGTATCTGAATTCACCAATTGAAGGACCACCATTAGAGGGGTAACAACTTTTAGGCATGTAGTTACATGCTCCCAAAAGCGACTATCTAATACAATGTTCTCAACTTTTCTCCCCTACTTTGAGGTTCCAAATATGCTTGTTTTCCACTCTTGAAAACTAAACACGCTTATCAATGATGCTTTCAATTCATGAAGACAAGCTAGAGTCGAATAAACTGTGGCAAATCTAGTCATACCAGACCTTATCAAGGCCCTTCCATTTGTGAACTTCTTCAACATACTAATTAACATTATTCACCATAAATGTAGATGGTGATCCTTCTTCTGTCCTTGATAGTTACTTGGTGGACCTTCAAATGTTTCTCAAAATCTTCAAAGATCAAATCAATACAAGGGGCAACACATGGTGTCCAATATAGATGTTTTCGTTTCTGCATTAACAATTCTCCAACTACCTTGAAATTTGCAGCATTATCTGTAACCACCTACACCACGTTATCTTTTCTAACAAGTTCCACCGCATCATCTAACATCTTAAATACCTTATCTAAAGTTTTTGAGATGTCTGAGGTATCCATGAATTAAGGAACTTTGTCCCTTTAGGACTTTTCACCAGAAATTTACAAATTGAATGCCTTTATTTCTATCCATCCATCAGACATAATTGTACAATTCTCTTTCACTCATCCCTATACTCTTAAAGAATTACATCAGTTTTTTTCACTGCTTGTTTTAGAAGCTTCTCTCTAACACCATGATAAGATGGAGGTTTGTAGCCAATACCATATCTCCCAATCATCTCACATTTTTGCAAAAGCTGGATTTCTACTAACATTGAATGAAATGACACTTGTGTAGAAAAATTCATCAACTTTTTGCATCTACTTTTTTTAATCACCTTTCTTGTATAACTAATTTAGAGTAGCTTGAACTCCATCACTAGATTTATTACCCTTTCCTTTATTTTTAAATATCTTACTACTTTTACTTTGTTCACTTGGTTCATCATCAATCTCCTCTACTATTCAACCTTCTCTTCATTGAGGCATCCTTAACTTCTACCACAACTTTCATCATTAAAATTTTAATTTCTTTTGAGAGTTTACGTAGACTCGTGGGAGGTCTGTAAACTCAACTCATAGACTCGAGTCTACTTCATATGAAAAATACCAATCTAACAATGATAATATCAATTCTACATTACTAAAATAAATAAGTTAATACAATAATACACTGATAAAATAATAAAAAATAAGTTTCAGACATTTTTAATTTCAATATTTATATCTTAAATAACAAAAAAAAAACAATTGATTTTGTCCAACAAAATAATCGAAATTAAAAAAATAATTTTTTTTTTCTAAATCCCTAAAATCCCTAATTATATTTGAAAATCCTAAAATCTCAAATCCCTCAATCCCTCAATCTAACCTGCGAGAGGGGCGGCTAGTGGCTAACCCGTGAGAGGGCTAGTGAGAAGGGTGGTCAAAGAGCAGCGATCAGGGTGAGACACACAACCACAGGGAGAGACGCGTGATGCAACCACCGCGTAACAAGAGGGAATAGATGGACGACCAAAGGAAAGAGACCAGGGAGCACTATGGCGCAACCACCGACGACAATGACCAATAGTGAACAGTGAGAAAGGAAGAGGAATGCGAGATCTGAACCTGTGAAAAGAAATGAGGAGTGCGGGAGAAGATTTAAGTGTCTCTTTTCTTTCAAACTCGGTGACTTGCCTCTGACTCGCGAGTTTATTCGGAGTCTACCGAGTTCACCGAGTTTGACCTCGAGTCTACTCACGAGTTAACTCGTCATTGGTCACATGACTCGTTAACTCGTTCGAGTCAGCGAGTTGACTTGTGAGTTTGATAACCATGGATGGAACTCCAGAGTTGAAGAGGTTTGTTATTCGAGTTTCGAGCTTGACTTGTCGCTCTTCTAGGTGTGAACGTAATTGGAGCTCATTTAAAATGGTAATTTAAGTTTATGTAATTATTTATTTTTTAATTATCTTGATTTGATTTATATATTTATTAAAAATGATTCTTCAATTATAGGTTTATACAAAAAGAAGAAACCGTTTGTACCAGAAAAAGATGAATGATTTAATTTATGTCATGTATAACTTGAAGTTGAAAAATAAACAAATTAGGAAAAATGTAGCTCTCCCATTTGATGATATTGAGTCAGGTGATGAATGAATAACTAAAGAGGGAGATAATGTTAAGGTTGAGCAAAGGTGGAAGGTGATGGTGGAAATGCTGACTTAATTGGACCAAGTTCATATGATTCAACTTTAGATGTACTTGAGTTTGATAATATAGTTTTTTATCCCAATGTTGATGAATACTTCTCATCTGAGGAGGAAGAACTTGATGGTGATGAAGATCATGGGTTGATGATTTCATTTGAGGATTAGATGAAGACATAAAACCTAATAACATTTGTGTTTTGTAATTATTTCATTGTTATCTTATCATTTTAAGAACTTATATTTGGTCAATATATTATTGTATGAACTTATTTATTTAAGTAATGTAGAATTGATATTATCATACTTATTGTTAATTTGGTATTTTTCATATGAAGTAGACTCTTATGAGTCTATGAGTCGAGTTTTCAGACCTCCTATGAGCCTATGTAAAATCTCGAATTTGATAACCTTAGATATATGTATAATTATTTGTTTATGTGTAATGTAGACAATTTCAGTCCTCCATGAATTGTATGCCTCCACTCACGAATTTGATAACCTTAGATATATGTGTAATTATTTGTTTGTGTAATGTAGACAATTTCAGTCCTCCATGAATTGTATGCCTCCACTCACCTGTTTGAAGTGTATTGAATGTTATCATTGTAATAAATAGTACTATTGCTAAGTTATGATTATCATCAACATTATTGTTCAGAGATACCCGTTCTAAAGTATTGGAAGAAAGTCTACAAAAGCTTGGAGTTGAGAAACTCAGCAAAGATGATGTTCAAAAGTTACAATGGGAGGTTTTGGAAGCCAAAATTGGAAATTGGATTCATTTCATGCGTATTGCTGTAAGACCACTGTCAAATTTGTTCATATACTTATTTATATTTTTGGTTAAATATGCAACTGTACTTGAACAGGTCAAATTGTTGTTTGCTGCTGAACGGAAAGTCTGTGATCAGATATTTGAAGGATTTGACTCGCTTAGTGATCAGTGTTTTGCTGAAGTTACTACAAACAGTATTTCCATGCTACTTAGTTTTGGAGAAGCTATTGCCAAAAGCAAGAGATCCCCTGAAAAGTTATTTGTACTTTTGGACATGTATGAAATATTGCAAGAAATCCATTCAGAGGTATTTTCTTTTAACATCCAAATTCTTGAGTCTTGCGGTTAGTTTGAGTCCACTGTGAAGTTTTTATAAATCTTATAAGGTTAATAATTTATTTTTTTATATTCAATAACAACACTCCTTGGACCTGTGTCCACACTTCGTATACACAGCTATAAAAAAATAAAAGGACGAAATTATAAGAAAACAACTTATATTATTATTAACATTGCAAAACTCATAATATTTTTTTGAGGTTTGTTTCCATAAGACTTCACAATTTATTTTAACTATTAAGAGACTTTTGGGAGATTTTTGTGAAACTTTTAAGAAAAGGAAATACACATGCAGTTTGGGCTGTTCGAGGCTGCCACAGAAAACACCAGAGTTCACTGGAGGAGCCAAGCAAATGCCTTGGGCTGGTGCAGGCTACGTAGGGCTTGTTTGCTATGTTCATTTTCACCATCATTTTAGGGAATTGAAAAAAAAATTAGAGAGAACCAGTGAAAATCAATGGATCACTAGTTTTATCTGGTTTTCAGAGTTTTGGACTGATCCAATGGTTTTTTGTCCAGTTTTCGGAGTTTCAGGGGCCATCTAGACTTGATGATGGTCTGGTTCTCAGTTCAATTGCCAAAGCAGCTAGTCCGGTCCAGTCCAGTTTTTACAATCATGTTGTGAACATACAAATGCATGTTAATCTCGACTTTTAACTCATAAACAGAGTTTATATTATTATCTATCAACATTGAATCAGGATGCTTTTGACTTGGTTTTGAACTTGATGAGCTGATTTGCTGAACTCGTATCAACTCCTGAGTTCATAGGCAAGCTCATGAGTACATACCAGTACTGAAAAAACACCTTAAAATCCCACAAAAGAACAGTGTTTAGGTTTTGCTCCCTTTTGTTCTTGTCTCAGACCTAAGTTGGACCCATTGTGGCCGGCCACCAACCTTGGCTACTATTGACCACCTTGGGACATCACATTCTCCACCTGGAACGTGCCACCAATCACGACCCAGATCTATGATGCCCACACCCTACAAAAGGATGACTACTGTGACCCCTACATTTGCAAAGCCCACCTCCTGCAATGCTCACAACTGAGAGCTAGCAACCTGCGAAAGGATTCACTTGCCAAAACTTGAAGCCAACAATTTGCCAATGGACCAACCACAATCCTGTAGCCTTTGTGCAATTGAAGGCTTAAGGAAGTGTGCCTTGAGCCCTTGACTTATATTATTAAAATTAAACCTGCATGTCCAAATCAGCAGGCCAACAACCATCTTATCTGATATTTTATTTTTGTCTCTGCCAATTAATTAGTTTTTATTATTTGTTATTTTTAAAAAGTAAAAAAAAAAAAAAAACTATTTACTTTTTGTAACATATATGAACTGAAAATTGAGAATTCTGTAACTTATCATTCAGAATGTATGGACTATCCTACTTTGCTACAATGTTATGCTTTATTGTGAAGTTGGAAAGTTTTATGATTATGTATTTTTAACATTATTATGGTATAAGGCAAAACTCTTACAAGTTGAGTCATATTTACTGTTCTTCCACCAGTTTACACAAACTCTTGAGTTTGGAACAACTAAATAAAAATGCCTATTTTGAGTATACCTGAAAAGCCTTTGGCATGTGCTTTAGTGGATGAAAGTTAGTTTCTTATCAATCAAAATGGGTCTCTTGTTAGGTTTTACTCCAACAATAATTTTCAACCTGTGATAGTATTTGACCTTAGCCATGGTAGTAATGGTGTCTCTAGCCCAAGATGTCCGATATATATTGGGTGTTCAGGTCATGCAACTTAGGGTTTTATGGTTGTGGTTCATGTAGTTAGAAGGCATATTTCAATGGTTGTAGCATATCAACTTTTTCTATGGACAATTTGCAGATTGGAATACTCTTTAAAGGCAGAGCTTGCACCAAAATAAGAGAAGCTGTAATAGGTTTGACAAAACAGCTTGCTCAAACGGCCCAGGAGACCTTTGGAGATTTTGAAGAAGCGGTTGAAAAGGATGCTACAAAGACTGCAGTAACTGATGGAACTGTCCATCCTTTGACAAGCTATGTGATTAACTATGTGAAGTTTTTATTTGAGTAAGTTCACATGCCCTGCATTCTGCTTCAAATTCTTGAAATTATGTCTAGTATTTTATGTTGTTTTCGCTGGTGTGAAAGCTAGATCTAAACCTACGAATTGTAGAATTTATTTCAGGTTTTCTTAATTTTTTTTTATGGGTACTGGCAGCTTTCTTCAGTTATTTCACTTGTGTGTATTTATTTGCTTATAAGGTACGCTAAAAATTAGTTATGCACTCAAGAGAGTTGGTTCATGAGTCCTTAAACTCTTTTTGCCTGGAAATTAGTATTACTTGGCTAGAGCAAAATAGATATTTGGAAGTAAAAACAAGTCATGTGTTTTGGTAATTGATACAGGTTTTGAGAAACATTTGGCCTCCATGTTCTATAAAGATGATTCCTAGTATGTATATCATTAATAGTTTTTATTGTGACTACGAAGGTTACTGTATCAAACTTCCCCATGCCTGTTGTATCACAATTTTGTTGTCTTCAACTTTGTCTGATCTCTTTCAAATCATTTTGTTGATTTTTCTACTGTACTAGTTTGAAATTCCAACTCTTGCTGTATTGAGTTTTGTTTTCCTTACCAATTAATGTTTCAAATGAAGGAATTAGGAATTCTCATACTTCAATTCTAAGTTAAATGAAATATCAACCATTTAATTTCTCACACTTTATGCGAGGACAATGCTTAAAATACTTTCTCCTTTTTTTGTGGTTGTAAATTATGCTTCTATCTACATTTGAGAGTGGAGCATATTTAACCATACTCGAATTCACTAAATATTTACAGTTATCGATCTACCTTAAACCAACTTTTCCAAGGAATTGAAGGTGAAGGTGATTCTTCACAACTAGCTTCTGTGACTGCACGAATATTGCAAGCTCTTCAAACCAATTTAGATGGGAAATCTAAGCAATATAGAGACCCTGCTTTGACACACCTATTTCTCATGAACAATATTCATTATATTGTCAGATCAGTTCGAAGGTATGTCATCCACATGTCTTTTCTAATTTCACTGAGACGGTACTGCCTCTTCTACTGTTTCAAAGTTATTGTTCTCTTAATCCTCTTTTAATTTAGGTCTGAAGCGAAGGATTTGATGGGGGATGATTGGATACAACGGCATAGGAAGATTGTCCAACAGCATGCCAACCAATACAAAAGAAATGCTTGGGCAAAGGTGATTTCCTATTGATGGAGATGACCAGTATATGTCTTGCAGTTGCAGCTTTCCTGGATATTACCTCAGTTTTTTTGTTCTATCCAAGGATCATTACTAGGAGATGGTTTTGATTCATTCTTTAGTAGATTGAATTCAAATTGCCTAATGTTTGGTTCCATGCGAGGAGGACCCTTTTGAATTTTGTTGCATAATTTCTTTTAGTTCACTTTAGGTAATCTGATACTATCTTTTAATTATGATGGTACTGTAGAATAAGCCTTAAATATTTGTGGGTGGTCTAATAGTAGGTATAATGATAGGTCCAACAAACCTTGTTAAGATAGATTTTGGTTCCATCTGAGAAAGTGGATTGAAATGTAAGTTAACCTTTCCAGCTCGGCTTATGTGACCATCTAGTTAATGTGAGATTTCTAATATTACTAAATAATAAAGTAAATTTAGGAAAGAATACCCAGCTAGTTGGCTTATGGCTTGATGTCTAGGAGTACCCAGCTAATTTAGGAAAGAATAAAGTAAATTTTACGTTGTATAATATCTGGAGATTGAGAGTTCATAAAAATTTAAAATCAAATAATTGTTTTTGTTGAAATTAGAGATAAAGGGTAAAGGTAAGTTCCCATCAAAAGGGTTAAGTGTGTTAGAGGAAGTTGTAGTCTTCCATTTGCTATCATGGATGGTGCAAGTTTGTTTTCAGAGGAGAAAGAGATGTTCTCCTGACATGACATGATATCAAAGTGCTTGGATAAATTGAAGGGTGGTTCTTTTTTGTATAACGGGCCAAAATAACTTATACAAATTTATTCATTGAGCATCCTACCTTTTTTACAAGAAGTAAATTGTGTATTTATCATGACTACATAGTCAGAGCCATTATGTTTGTCTTTTCTACCAATTTTCTTCATGAGAAGTAATTATGAACATTATTTGAAGCACAATGTCACCCGAGCTTCCATTGATTTGCAATTACTTTAGAAGGTATTGTACCATTTCTGACATTTTTTCTTTCCATCGCCAGATTCTTCAGTCCCTCTCTATTCAGGGCCTCATCTCCTCAAGTGGTGGGGGTAGTACTGCTGGTGGCGATGGGGGAAGCAGTGGTGCTTCAAGAGCAGTTGTTAAAGACAGGTAGCATTTTTGTTGCTTCCTTTTGGATTCTATTTAAGAAGTAAAGCCTCCGTCCTTTCTTTTGACATGTCAATGTGTCTTTGTTCTCAGGTTCAAGACATTCAATACTATGTTTGAGGAACTTCATCAGAAACAATCTCAGTGGACAGTACCAGACACAGAGTTGCGAGAGTCTCTCATTCTTGCAGTTGCTGAAGTCTTGTTGCCTGCCTATAGATCATTTGTGAAACGTTTTGGGTGCGTATTCTCCTTTTAACGAATTCTAGCAACACACTCTTTAGTATACTCTTTTAAACACACTTTTAACTATTACATGAAATTTATTAGAAATTGGAAGCTACAATACCATGATAGACTCATTATACTAGAAATGAGAACCACTTAATTCGATTCTCAACAATTCCATCTAACAGTCCAGAATGTTAGAGAGTGTTGTTAACATTTTTCAAACTATTTTTTATGATTGCTTAGTTTACTCAACTGAATAAAGGTTTGATTTGTTGGTATTCTGTCTTGTGGTTTTGGTATGATAAGCCACATTATTTAGCTATATATCATAACTGAGATCCTTGTGCTTACAGGCCTCTAGTGGAGAATGTAAAGAGTAGTCAGAGGTACATCAAATACTCTGCTGAAGATCTAGAGCGAATCCTAGGTGAATTTTTTGAAGGAAAAAACATGAATGATTCCAAGCGGTGATAGGATCAAGATTTTACATTAGCATATATAGACTTCTTATGTCTTAGTTTACCTATTTTGAGATGCATAGAAGGGATTGGTGCCCCCCATCAAAATTCAAGTGGGAGTTTGTTCCATTTATCATTGTTTTGTGGACACCAACTTAACTTGGTGAGGTAAAAGGTCATAAAGTTCAAAGTAGTGAGGGGGTTGTGTAGAAGAAAGGAGTTATTGTGTATTAGATAGAATAAAAAGATATGTACAATGGATACAAGCTATATGCATAGAATAGATGAGCATGGAAGCTATTGTAATGGGATATAAACATAATCAGAAATAATAGCAAAACATAAGCCACCAAACAAACTAAACCTGTGCTGAATCCATGAGCAACTATGCAACTGTGATCTTCTCACTGCATGTTTGTCTCCATGTTTATAGGAAGCTACCAATTATACTCATTTTCCTAAGTCTGGAAAATATGTTTGGTTAGTCATAAATATTTCTGAAATTATATACAAATTTCCTGATAAACAAATAGTACTGTTACAATATTTTCATTAGAAACTTGATTATTTACCATATTAAATTATTTAGTAAGAGTAACATTATTTTAGCACAGGAAAAAATTATCTTAGAAAAATAGATTTTTCTCATCTTCTCAGGGAAACAATTGTAAGAGTTACAGTTAATATTTTAATATTTTATGAGAAATTGAAACGATAATTTGATAAAACAACAATTGATGAGAAATGAACAAGTTGCATCTGCTAATTTTATTTGTATTTGACGCAATTTCATTAGATAACGTGCATATAGATTCTTGATAATCATTCTACATATAACTTTTGCACGAGTAATAATGATAATAATATTTCTGATGTACTTATTCACTCAAAAATGTTATAATTTTTTTTTATTTCTTCTCAAAATGATGTAAAGTATACAATTTATTTAATAGGAAAATAAAGTTTATTTGCCCAAATCCAATAAGGCTCTATCTTGGCCTAATCATGGTTAATCATCTAAGGTGATATATATAAAACAATTTTCTGACAAGATTTAAAAGAAAAAATGGTTGTTTAATTTGAATTGATGTTGTTGGGTTGAATTCACATGATGCAGTGAAATAAAATATAAGATCTTATAAGGTGCAGCCATGTGCTTATTATGATCATCTTTTCATGGAAAATTCTCCTTTTGACTGGTCATATCCATTGTCACTGCCCTTAGATCAGAGGCCACTCTCACACACCCTCCCACAATTAATTTTAAAGCTACCTTGCATTCACATTGAGCAACTTTAAGAATAGTCCATATTACCTCCACTTTTTAGTATCACTTTTCAACAATTGTTTAACTTTTATTATCTATAACTTTAAAATCTTTTTTTTTTTCAAAAACACCCTTGTGAATGAAAGAGAAAAATATATTAGTATTTTAATAAAAGCTATGATTTTTTTTCTTAATTATTATAATATTAAATGAAACAAACAAAAAATAGAGAAAGTAGCCCATGTTTGTCTTTTTTTTTTATATACTTCTCATCTCATCCTATGTTATAAATATGAGAATATATCTTTTAGAATTATCTTTAAGGAGAATGTTTGAAGAATCATTCTTGATATGAGGATATTTTTAAGTTATACTTACTCATTGAATCCCATGTTTTAACCTAATTTCATAATAGTTAAAAATGAATTGTGCCATGGTTTCCATAGATATAAATAGTTGAAGAATCCAAGGTGATATTGGAGAAAAGATGGTATGACAAGAGTGTGAGATAGGGATGGCACAATGATATAGTATTGATTAATGGGAGTTGGAGATCCAAGAAATCCCTTACTTTCATGCACAAAATTCATGCACAATTAACTTATTTGCCCTCTCTTTTCCTAAAGACTGGAAAAGCTCAATGTGTGGAAACTTTGTCTCCATGCCAAACCCTCATTTGCCACTATCTCCCTTCACTATAAAAGTTTAGGGTTTTGTGGGTTTACAATACATTCAAAGAAAAAGAGGAAAAGTTGCATTGCCTTTTGGTGAGGAGTGTGAACATTTTGAATGCTAATTCTTTTGTTTTTGAATGTGTTTGTGATTTTAAGGGCTTTAGTGACCCCTAAAAAGAAGGAAACTAGTGGGGTCATGTGCTTTTCAAATTCTCTTTTCCTTCCCATTGTAATGATCTTTGGATCTTCTTCTTTGAATATCTTCATATTTTATGCAACGTTCTTTCTCATCTTGGGATGAACACTTCAATCATAAGTTCCACACTAACAACCACGTAATAAATTCCACATTCATGTTATTAATTATATTTTTCCAAAAATGTGTTCATTAATATAAACACATTAATGTCAAAAGCATAATGAAATATTTACAAAAATAGAATTTTTTAATTTGATTTAGAAGATATATATTATCCTTAATCGCATTTATTAAAGCTGATTTTAAAACACTTTTAAAATAAATAAATTGAATGAATTAAGATTTAAGCCATCAAACTTGAGTCAACATGAATTTAGGGTTTGGAGAAAGATATGAGAAATACAACTAAGTCACTTAACTTTTATACTCACCACGTTAAAATTCTGCTAAAATTTCGAATGTTTATAAACAATTATATTCTTAAAATTTTGTAAATTTTAGCATCTCTGAATTTGAAATACACAACAAAATTTAAAAATTTCATAAATTTTTAACAATATTGTTAACAATATTTCATAGTCAAACACTAGTAATGGAAATTTTAAAATAACTCTATTCAATAAACTTAATTAAGTATTTTTAGTAAAATATTATATTTGTAACATATTATTTAATTTTAATAACTCTATTAAAAAATGAAATTAGTCTTTGATCCACTAAAATTGAAAAAAAAAAAAATACAAAGTCAATGAAAAAGAAAAGTTGTTGAGAACCTATTTATTATCAAAAGATTCAATTTTTATTGGGATTCTGTCCAAAAACCTGACATGAGAAGGTCAACAAGGTGCCAAACATTTCAAAAAAAAATCCTAATTTTTATTATGATTTTCAGCAAATTTTTACTGCGAATAAAATTAAATTATATTTAAATGTTCTTGGTATGAACGTAAATTATGATTCCTTATTTAATGTTCTTGGGACATTGAAAGCTGGACCATGTCACTATAAACATATCTCATCAACTCATATAATTTATAATGAATTTTTATTATTTTAATAAATTTATTAATATTTTATTTTCTTAATATTCTCAAACATTAATTTTAATCATTTTTTTATTTATTTATTATTATTATTATTATTATTATTTTCTATAATAAATATAATTAACAAATAAAAATACTAATTAATATAATCTTAAATTTTTACCCAATATATATATTTAATTTTTTTTTTTCACCAAAACCTCGTACATTTCAAGAAAATTTGTCGTGATTCCATTTGGTTCTGCAACTGATGCAGTACTGACCTCGAAAAGATAAGAAAGGGTGAAGCCAAAGTCCTTTTAATGATATTTTGTGGATTTGATGAATGTGATGCCAAAATTTAATAACTTCACTCCCATTTGGAAGCATTGGAAGCCATTTCTAGGCCTTGTTTGGATGCATTTAATGACTCTTCTTCTCCACTTTCAACAATTCTCAGAATTCCGATGTTTGGTGCGCGTTTCAATGTGTCGTGATAAGGTTGACTTTTTAATTTGTTTTTTTTTTTAAGAAAATATTGGTATATTTGTCTTGTATTCTAAAAACAACTACATTTTTAGAATAAAAAAAAAAACAGTTTTTATGTTTGTTTTTGTTTTGCTTTTATTTTTTGAATAAATGTGTAGAAATTGTTAATAAATCATTATTTTATTAAAAAACTTTGAATCAGAATTGATTTTGTGTAACCAAATAAAAAAAACGGTGATTAATTATTATTATTATTATCATTATTATTTATGTTTTAATTTTCAATTCATTTTATCATTAATATCATATATAAGATAATGTTTATTTTAAAGCTTATATATATTTTTTAGAATTTTATTCTACAAAATTATGTTTTACTGTAAAAAAATATTTATAAATCAACACTTAAACAAATTTTTAAAATATATTAAAACAAGTCTATTTCCAATGACATAAGAGTAGCAATATAATTAGGGTTCTTTCATTTTAACTTCTTCCATCTATTTTATGAATTCATCAAATTTTCACGTATCTTTGAACCCACTAAAATAATGAAGACGATAACAGTGTAAATAATTTTTACACTTTTACATTTAAATGCTCTCTAATCTTGTTTTTCTAAACCATACACAGACAAAAACTTTTTTTTTTTTTACCATAACATAAATGCATGGATACATTTTTTTTACATTAAAAATTACTCTCCATAACTTTAAATAATATAAATAACGTAGTTTTAAACATATACTCATATCTAATAAGGTTTGTTTAATTTATCTTTTTAATTTAGTTATTCATTTTATTGTTATTATTTTGAGTGGAATTTTTTAATCCTTTTTTATTTTAAAATATATTATTTATTACTTTATAAGTATAGTTTTAAATTTATTTTAGTTTTTATACATAATTTTTAATTTCTTTTAATCTTTTTGGCTTGGACTAAATATGATTATAAATTATTTATGTATACTAAAATAAAATATTTTCAAGAATAAGATTTAAAATATAAAGTTTTATAATTATACAAATCAATGCGAAATTAAACTATTTTAGTTTTTATTTTTCGATTTCACTTTAGTTTCTAAATAGCTATTTATTTTCAAATATGTGTGCACAAAATGTTTAAAAAGAAGTTATTTTTAATATGATATCTCAGTAGAAAACTAAACAAATTAAAAATAAGATCATAGTTTTATGATTCAAAAAAATAAAGCCACACTTAACAAAAAGTAAAGAAAGATCGAGTGTGCATTTGTTCACTTTTACTTTTCTTGCATTCTTTTTGATAAATTTTATTGCAAAATCATCTTTTACATTAATTTTCTTCTGGTTTCTTTTTTCATTCTTTTGTCTTTTGAT